AGCTCACCCCGTCGCAGGGATTCGAACCGCCAACCTTCTGATCGGCAAGCCCAAGAGGCTCCGTGGTTTAGACCACAGCGCCACCAGAGCCACATGAAAAGGAGCATCAGAGAGAAAACGGGACAGAAGAAAAAGGGAGGGGAAATGGCCACGTCACAACAACCCTGCGAGGTAGGTTAGGCTGAGAGGCAGTGGCTAACTGCCCCAAGGTGTCCCCTATGAATTTCATGGCTGAGTGGGGATTTGAACCCCCTACTGCTCAGCTCAGCACCCAGATTTGCATTGTTCTCATATCGTCCTGTAGATGGCAGCAGCCACACACCAGGCTACCTGTGGTTCTGAGGACAGCAGTGGAGACCTGAACTGTTCTCCCTGGTCCTCTCCCTCCACCAAAGGGCCTCTGGAGGGTTTCATCCTGCACACACACACACCCCAGGAAGAATGCCACGGCAAAGGGAGCTTCAACTATCAGCCAGGAAAGGAGCAATGGTCTGGATGTTGCCTTCTCCCCTCCCTATCAGAATGGCCTTTTTTGCCAGTGTAGACAGGTCCAGTGAGGACAACCTGTGACCATCAACTCTCATCACCCTTGAGCACTGGCTGGGGCTGATGAGAGTTGAGAGTCCAGTGACACCTGGGAGGGCTGTGCGTCTCTCTTGCCATTAAGTATAAAATATAAAATTAGAACAGAGCCTAGCTCTATAAATACATCTGGCAGAAAACTCCTATCTACCAGTAAACAGACATCTCTTGCAGAAAAATGGCAAGGGAGTTGTGGAGGGGCATGGCCAGTGGTCAGAAATGATGGGGACTGGACTCCGGCAACATTTGCTTAGTTATTTATGTTTATTTTATATAAAAGGTAAAGGACCCCTGGACGATTAAGTCCAGTCAAAGGTGACTATGGGGTTGCGGCACTCATCTCACTTTCAGGCCGAGGGAGCCGGCGTTTGTCCACAGACAGCTTTCCGGGTCATGTGGCCAGCAGGACTAAACCGCTTCTGGCGCAACGGAACACCATGATGGAAACCAGAGAGCATGGAAATGCTGCTTACCTTCCTGCCGCAGCGGTACCTATTTATCTACTTGTACTGGCGTGCTTTCGAACTGCTAAGTTGGCAGGAGCTGGGACAGAGCAACGGGAGCTCATCCCGTCACAGGGGTTCGAACCACCGCCCTTCCGATCAGCAAGCCCAAGAGGCCCATTGGTTTAGACCACAACACCACCTGCATCCCTTGGTCATTTTATATACCACTTTTCAATCAAAGTGGTCACCAACATCCCTGCTATTCTCTCCCACAACCAAACACATTATCAACTTCTTAGAGTTTCCCCTTCCTACTCCATGTGCTCTGGATACATCCAAATCCAGGATTGTGATGTGGCAGGACAACTCCTCCAATGGGGGCTGTGTGATGACAGCCTTGCATTTGTATGTATATCGGAAGATAAGCACCATTGCAATAAAAGGAAAAGACAAGTTGTTCGTTTTACAATAATCTTTTGCCACTTCATCTAACTCCCCACTGGGGAAGGTGGTCCTTCAGACGTTGGGGGAGGGACTACTATGGGAACTGGAAGGGGGCAATTCCACAAACTTCTCCTCCCCACTTCCAACTCTGCTATTGTCTCTGAATGGTCGCTATGAGACACAGGGGCTGCATTAGACTGGCCTTTGACTAGATCCAGAGGGGCTCCTCAGACGTTCTTATGAAATTAGGGCTGCAAGAACATAGCAGGCTGCCTTATACCACTGGTTCAGTATTGTCTGCACTTACTGGCAGCAGTTATCCAGGGTTTCAGCCAGGGGCCTTTTCCAGTCCTATCCATAGCTGTCAACCGTCCCTTATTTGGTGGGAAAGTCCCTTATCCCAGCGCTGTGTCCCGCTGCTGTCCCTTATTGATGATGTCCCTTAAATTTCCCAGGTTTCAAAGGAAGCAGCTCCTCTCCCTCCCTCCCTGCAGGCTCCAACTGTGTTGCTTGGCTGTGTTGCTCACCAATAAGGAGTCTGAGAATGACTGGGGGTTGGAGCTTGCATGCCTTGTGCCAATCAAATCAGCTGCGTTGCCTGGGGACTCGCCTTTGCTCAGCGCTTCCCAGCGGAGAGGTGACGGTGGTTTTCCTTGCTGCATCCCCTTTGCTGGGTTGCTGCGCTGTGGGAACCACTGCTTGAGGCTTCGTTTGGCTGCTGGCTGGGCTTTCTGCCTTTGGCTCGGAGGGGCTCGGAAGTTGAACATACCTGTGCTGGGGAAATCCCTTATTTTGGCTGCCGATCCCTTATTTTCGAGGCTGCTGGTCCCTTATTTTCAAATCTGTAAGTTGACAGCTATGGTCCTATCAGAAATTGCTGGAGACCTTCGACATGCAAAGCAGATGCTCTACTGCTGAGCTACCACCTCTTCTCTCCGTGGCAACATTGGTCCATTTAGCTCAGCATTGTCTCCACTGACTGGCAGCTATGGCCCTTCCCCACAACTGAGCCACTAGGCGATGCTGGGAAGACAACCGTCTTCCCCCAAGCCAGCCACGCTTTCTGCTCACGCGTCTCCTCTCCCTCCCATCCCTGTTCAAAATCTGCCATTCTTATCAGGTGGAATGTTGTCTTGGACGTGCCAAGACACAGCAGACAAGGAATCTTTTGTAAAACACACACACACATACCAGAACTCTTTTCTTCTTTTTATGAAGGGGAATAAATCCAGGCCACACACAAAGGAATATGCAGCCAAGCGGCATTCTTCCTGCAATTTTTGCCTTACAGATAGTTGGTGGTGTGTTGGGACGGGCACGAAATTCAGGTTTCTCTAGTCGGGGTAGGGTCCCAAACCTGCAGAAAACGTATTTGTGCACCGGCATGCGAGAGAAAAGCAACCTGTAGCCGATGAAAGCTTGCATAAAGGGCAAGAGGTGTTTTTCATCCCCCGGGGGCTGCAAACTCCTCAGGGCAAACCACTGGAGGCTGCATGCCAGTGGGCAAAAGTGGATATTCAATGGCACTTGGGAGACTCTTCCACCAAGCGCACAGCCCCAGCTTCCAGTCTGGTAAGGTAAGAAACTGCCTCATACCAGGTCTCCACTGATTTCTCCCTCCAGCCCAAGCTGACAGCGGCTGGCTAGGATCTGGGGCTGAAAGTTTCCCATTGCCTCCTACCTGATCAATTTTTCAAGAAGAGGAGATGCTGAGGATTGAACCTGCGACCTCCTGCCTACGAAGCAGGCTCTCTGCCACAGAGCTATGGCTTTTCAAATGGACAAGTGGAGGCTGGTGTGGATTTTAGAAATGCCAGCTCAAAGGAAGATAGTAATAATAATAATAATAATAATAATAATAATAATAATAATAATAATTTATTATTTATACCCTGCCCATCCTGCTGAGTTTCCCCAGCCACTCTGAGCGGCTTCCAATCAAGTGTTAATAACAATACAGCATTAAATATTAAAAACTTCCCTAAACAGGGCTGCCTTCAGATGTCCTTTAAAAAGAAGATAGCTGCTTATTTCCTTGACATCTGATGGGAGGGTGTTCCACAGGGTGGGTGCCACTACCAAGAAGGCCCTCTGTCTGGTTCCCTGTAACCTCACTTCTCGCAATGAGGGAACCGCCAGAAGGCCCTCAGCACTGGATCTCAGTGTCCGGGCTGAACGATGGGGGTGGAGACGCTCCTTCAGGCATACAGGACTGAGGCCGTTTAGGGCTTTAAAGGTCAGCACCAACACTTTGAATTGTGCTCGGAAACGTACTGGGAGCCAATGCAGATCTCTCAGAACCGGTGTTATGTGGTCCCGGTGGCCACTCCCAGTCACCAGTCTAGCTGCCGCATTCTGGATTAATTGCAGTTTCCGGGTCACTGTCAAAGGTAGCCCCACGTAGAGAGCATGGCAGTAGTCCAATGCCTAAATCCTGCCCTGTCTTTTAGGACAACGTCTGATCCAGGCTCGTAATTCCTTCTCTCCTGCCCATTTAATAATAGCTGCAGCTGGGTCATACACAGTTCTATTTTTCTAGAGAAAACTAGAACTCACCATGAGAGCCGCCCTTGTTCTCTTATATTGGCCATGGTGCCCACCTGAGAGGTGCCGGAACTGAGTTCCGGCTTAAAAAAAGCCCTAATCATACATGTCTGGAGGATACAAAGAGTGCCTTTCAGAAACATGGAACATATACCGTATTTTTCACTCTATAAGACGCACCAGACCATAAGATGCATCTAGTTTTTGGAGGAGGAAAACAGGGGTGGGGGGGATTCTGAATCTCAGAAGCCAGAACAGCAAGTGGTATCATGGCGCAGTGACTGCAGCAATCCCTCTTGATGTTCTGGCTTCTGTGATAGCTGCACAGCCTGCATTCGCTCCACAAGACGCACACACATTTCCCCTTACTTTTTAGGAGGGAAAAAGTGAGTCTTATAGAGCAAAAAATACGGTAGCTCCCCTCTGGCCATGATTTTCCTCAGATTGTGCTTTCAGAGAAAGACTTCCAAGTCTGGATTTCTTGCACCAACAAACTAGCTCAGCGTTGGAAAACCTCAAGTCCAGGGCATAAATGCATCACTCTAAGCGTCTCCCTATCAGGTACCTGATGTTCTCATCAGACCACACCCCCTCTTCCCAGGCCACACCCCTCACCAGATCTATTTTGGTGGTTTGGCTGGTTGGAATGGGTCCTTGATCTCTGCTCATTAGTCTCACTTATCTGGATGGAGGACTGAGAGGGGCATGTCTGTGTGTTTGTAGAAACCAGCCCACTGTAGAAAGGTAAGATTGGCGTTCATTGCTCCGCCCCCACCTTTTGCCTCTGGCCACGCCCACCCCTCACACCTGGCCCTCTGGGCATTGCTTAGAAGGGAATGTGGCCCCTGATCTGGAAAGGGCTCCCCACCTTTGCGCTAGCTGAACTCGCGCTTTGAGAGCTGGGCTATGCGATAGGGATGTTCTATGCAAATGAGTGGAATCGCATGGGCAAACAGACAGGATCCATTACCTAACAATGACAGAGCAAGATTCTCTGAGAGGCATAAGCAGTTCTTTGGCTTCCGTGTGAACATTTGAGGCAAGAGACTTCCTCACGTTGGCAAAACCCCTCGATGCTAGGTAGCCCGCTGGGCAGGATCCTCAACGAGGAATTTGGAATCTGGGATTTTTCACCCTTAATGAACACAATTGTGAGTAGCGGTTTGGTTTTTTAAAAAAGGCTGGCACATCAAGTATGGGACTTACTTGGATATGGAAGGGTTTGGTTGTCCTACGTGCATTAGAACTGGGATTTATCTATACTGATTGCCTCAACTTTCAGAGTTTCTAGCCCTCATGAAACCAAGTGCAGTGGCACCAATCTGGAATACTGCTGCTACTGATATCTGACAGGCGCCTACAATTTCGATATTTCACCTCCTGCTTAAAACTATTTGGTTCCACTGAATGTTTTTATAGAATTGATTGAGCGTAGCTCAATTCATTCTGTTTTTATGGCTATGTAATTTTACAACGTTTTAACGGTTTTGCTGCATGGCGTCGTGATGTTTTGAAAGTGCGGGCGGTTTATAAGTATTATATATTTATATCGAAATTAAACCCTCTGTCCCTTGCCAGGTCGACATCTTCGCACTTTTGCTACCAAACTCCGATATCATTCACACACCAAATATTTTCTCTCTATGAAAATGTTGATGAGCACTTTCCTTCCTAGACCTTTCATCAGGAATTCACTTTTGAATTCACTTTGTAAGCTAATAGTAAAGGTAAAGGGACCCCTGACCGTTAGGTCCAGTCGGGACTGACTCTGGGGTTGCGGCGCTCATCTCGCTTTATTGGCCAAGGGAGCCGGCGTACAGCTTCCGGGTCATGTGGCCAGCATGACTAAGCCGCTTCTGGCGAACCAGAGCAGCGCACGGAAACGCTGTTTACCTTCCCACTGGAGTGGTACCTATTTATCTACTTGCACTTTGACATGCTTTCGAACTGCTAAGTTGGCAGGAGCTGGGACAGAGCAACGGGAGCTCACCCCGTCGCGGGGATTTGAACCGCCAACCTTCTGATCGGCAAGTCCTAGGCTCTGTGGTTTAACCCACAGCACCACCCACGTCCCGTAAAATAATAACAACACTCCTATTTTTGTGTGTCTGTTTGTGCAGGAAGAGGAGACAGAAGGTGTGAAAAGAAAGGAGAGGACAGCTGCTGTCCTTTCAGCACCATGGTGAGTCGTAGATATTCCGGCTATCTGGCAGATGATGAGAGCCTCAGGGGACCTCAGGTAAGGCCCAAAGAGAGACAGAAATGGGTTGCCCTTGGCCATCCCATTCGAGGAAAGGGAGTCACCCAAGCTGAGTCAGTGTAGTGGTTAGAGTGTTGGACTGTGACCTGGGAGACCAGGGTTCGAATCCCTACTCAGCCATAAAGCTCACTGGCTGACCTAGGGCCAGTCACTGACTCTCAGCCTAACCTACCTCACAGGGTTGTTTTAGGGGTTAAATGAGGAAGGGGAGAACCGAATATGCCAGTCACCTTGAGCTTCACGGAGTAAAAAGTGGCATAATAAACGCAACAAGCAAAGTGCCCTCTGGTGCTGCCCTACTTTGACATTGGACTTGTCAGTCTTAGGTGGCAGGAGGGGGGTGGCAGCACTCAAAGTAGTGGGCAGCAGCAGAGCCAGCTGCCGTCCAGGATACCTCAAGGACTGCCTGATCCCTTATATTCCTGCCAAATCGTAGAGTTCTTCAGGGGAGTCACTGTTAGTGGTTCCCCATGGCTCTGATGCATGGCTCATAAACACTAGAAGCCACGAGTTGAGTATTGTGGGCCCGGTTTTAAGGAACCCGGTTTTATCTGAACCTACCTGAATTTTGGGGACATGGGTGGCGCTGTGGGTTAAACCACAGAGCCTAGGACTTGCCGATCAGAATGTCGACAGTTTGAATCCCCGCGACAGAGTGAACTCCCGTTGCTCGGTCCCAGCTCCTGCCAACCTAGCAGTTCAAAAGCATGCCAAAGTGCAAGTAGATAAATAGGTACCGCTCCGGCAGGAAGGTAAACAGCGTTTCCGTGCACTGCTCTGGTTCACTGCTCTTAGTCATGCTGGCCACATGACCCGGAAGCTGTACGCTGGCTCCCTCGGCCAGTAAAGCGAGATGAGCGCCGCAACCCCAGAGTCGGCCACAACTGGACCTAATGGTCAGAGGTCCCTTTACCTTTTACCTTTACCTGAATTTTGCAATGCGGTTCTCCAAAGAATATGCATCTGTGAACGAGAAAACATGCACAGAATGCATACATTAGTGAAAATAACATACACAGATGCATTAGATTTTAAGGAAATTGCTTACAAAAAGGTGTATATTAGTCAAAACTGCATGCAAACCTGTGTTCATCAGGAGAAATTTGCACTCTGCCGATATATTTTCATGGGTTTTTTTAAAAAGGCAAATTGCTGCAGAAATGCGGAGAGCTGAAATTAAGATTGAAAAATGAGAAAACTAGGGAACCAAAATCGACAGATTTGTTGACCTCTTACTGGGTCTAAGCACCACTCAACTGTCAGCAGTGTTTGCTTCTGATGGCATTGGTTCAACTTGTAAAACCCATTGAGCTTCAACAAAAGGTCTTCAGCCAGCTGAAATGTAAACATTGGCTTGCAATGAAAAATTCAAATAATTGTAAAAGGAAGTGTTACCCTTTAAATTGCTAGCATGAAGTAGGGACGCCCAACAAAGGAAAGGAAAGCAGTGACTAGCCTCTACCTGCTTGTTTCCTCACACTAATCTGCCACAAAAAAACTTGAAAGCCTTATTATCACCTCCTCCACTCACCAGAGCTGCCAATTACCCAGGCCAAAGCTGTCATAATTCCTGCTCTGAAAAAAGTCCTAGAACTACACACCCCTGTGTTTTCCCCTCCACTATATCACTGCCTACATTGCTGGTGTTACACGCATTTTTGATACAGTCCCAGTAACTTCAGACCCGATTCCCCTTTTCACCCTGGCTTTTCCTTGTCTACAGCTGAGACAAGGAGATCCCTCTGACTGGAGGAACATCCTGAGGCCACCTTCCCGCTGCCAATTCCGGGACCAGTTCGCCGCCACCACAGCTTCTGAGTTCAGAGCTTTCAGCCCAGACAAAGGGAAACGAAAGCAGCGCTCCAGCAGTCACGGCGAAAGCAGCCACCTCGCCAACGAATTCTCGGAGTTTGTGGATTTCTTAGCTGACGAGGAGGTCCTGGAAAGCCTTCAGAACATCGTCGAGGATGCCGTGCGGAAGCTGCGGCGAGTGACGACCGAGGATGGAGACCCGCTATTTGATATCGAAGAAGAATCTGGCTCCAGCATGGACAGCAGGTCGTGGTCCTTCTCCTGCAGCTCGCAGTCTAGGTACCACACCACCTCGGCCACTTCCAGCTCTGAAGACGACTGGGAAGCATGTCTCACCAGCAGAAGGGAGCCTAGGCTCGAAGGAAAAATGTCCCTCCTGGATAAATATGCCGCCAGGCTCCCGAGGCTAGATGAGAGGCCCAGGGAGGGAGTTTCCGGAGGATTCCACGCAGAGGTATTTGGAGGACTTTCTTGACGGATCCGACCTCCCGCGCCGCGCTGAGAGTTCCCCGCTCTGATCCAGCCAATGTAATCCATGCACGGAAATAAACTTCTGCACAAAATGTCTGGATCCGCTACAGAAAAGCCTGCTATGTGTGTGTGGGGAGGTGTTTATGGGTGTGGAAGTGGTGTACTATATCCAGCAATTCCATAATGCATGTGCAAGGACATAGGATAGTTGTGCATTGTTGCACCGCAGGACCCAGCAGTAGAAAGGGAGCCTTCTCTTTGCAGTTCTTTTCCAGCCACATGCCTGGTGGCCAACTCCATCCATTCAGATCACTGAACGCTCATTTCATTTACTGAGTCAGGTTGCAGACAATATCCTGCACAGACGCTTCTGTTTTTCCCTTTGCAATCTCCTACTGTTCTCATATTGGTGCAGGTTCTTAGCCCTCAAGGCACTGTGTGTTGTTCCTGGGGTGTGTGTGTGATGTGATTCTTTCAAAGCTAGTGACGGCATGGCAATTGGAAAGGTTCTCTATAAAACTTGAGTGTCGCAGGAACCTACTGGACAGTGCCTGTGACGCAGCTAATGACAGATGAAAATCGCAGTTGCACTCCAGGCTTGAATTATGTTGTGACCCTAATGCAGGGGTGGGGAACCTCGGGCCTGTGGGCCATACCTGGCCCATCAAATTGCCCAATTTTGCCTGTCAAGTTTTCTCCAAATCATGCTCACCTACCCATCAGCTGACATCACCGGTGTTGTCAGCTGATGGGCAGGAGGACAGCGTTTAATCTGACATTGGCTGCAGAACCAGGAACGAACAGGATCATGCAGCCTAGCCAGCAGGATTTAATCCCCATTCATCAACTGATGAATGAAGATTAAAGCCCTTGAGTGGGTGGTGGGGTTGCAGAGGGGAGAAGCCACTTAAAAGAGAAGCCGCTTTAAGACATTCCCTGCACTCCCAACTGGAGCACAGAGACTGCCTTAAAGCAGTTACCTTTGCAAGTGTCCCCATGTTCCCCATTTAAAGTGCCAACAATAAGGGGTTAAAAGGAGAAGCATGGGCAAAGCCACACAGGGGAGTTTAACTGGTGGGTATGCCTCCTCCAATAGGGACGCGGGTGGCGCTGTGGGTTAAACCACAGACCCTAGGACTTGCCGATCAGAAGGTCAGCGGTTCGAATCCCTGCGACGGGGTGAGTTCCCGTTGCTCAGTCCCTGCTCCTGCCAACCTAGCAGTTCGAAAACAAGTCAAATTGCAAGTAGATAAATAGGTACCACTCCAGTGGGAAGGTAAACGGCGTTTCCGTGCGCTGCTCTGGTTCGCCAGAAGCGGCTTAGTCATGCTGGCCACATGACCCGGAAGCTGTCTGCAGACAAACGCCGGCTCCCTCGGCCTATAGAGCGAGATGAGCACCGCAACCTCAGAGTCGGTCACGACTGGACCTAATGGTCAGGGGTCCCTTTACCTTTATCCCTCCTCCAAAAAAATAACTGTCAAATCTGGCCCATGAGGCCAATCCTGATAATGATCTGTCCTGTGGACCCTAAAATGTTCCTCCCCGCTGCTCTAATGCTATAGAGCTCATCCATCAGCAATGAATGAACAATGCCCACATCTATATTAAGGAATCCTTCCACCTGAGAAAAGGCTCCTCAATTCTAATTCCATTGTGCAGGGACAGCGTAGCAGGCATCCACAACTGGATGCACGGACTGAAAGAGGGGTTCAGGCTCCTCCAGACTGGTGTTTTATTGTGAGTGTATTCTGCAACATATAACAATAACAGTGAATTAGTGGCATATTGGTTCTGCTTCAGTTTGTTCTGCAATGTTTCCCAATGCCATTATATCGTTGCTGTCCAGACGGGCTATAGCACACGAAAAATAAACCAGAACATTTGTGCTATAAAACATTCCGGGATTTCAGCAGGGAGTTATGGGATGTGCACTGACTGAAAAGGAAGCAGTGTGACTCTCCCACAACTTTTTGCAGGGGTGAATATGACTGAAAGCGGGAACACGTGTGACCTCCCTGATAATTCCGTGTGCACAAATCGTCATGAATGCACAATAAAAAATGACATCTGGAGGGGCCCGTGGAAGGGGAGGGTGAAGAATAGTCATTCTAAGATGAGAATCACACTTTTCAAGAATGGTACCTATTGTGTGATCACTTATTAATGTGCAGCGATTATCACAGGTCTCCTATAACAACTTTCCTTTCCTTTCTTTCTTTTTACTATTCTGCTGTTTGTCCCTTTTTGGAGGGCAAACCAGCAGGAATGGTTTGATGTGATTAAAAAAGGAAAATGAAAAAGTCGGGAAATAGCTCAGAGTACCCAAAGACACAGGAGAATGTGGAAATTGTTCAGAGTGTCATTCCAATTGATTGATTGATTGATTGATTGATTGATTGATCTGGGTTGCTAAATCTTTTGGTTTGTAGGGGTAGACCAGGGGTGGACAACCTGAGACCCTCCAGATGTTGCTGGACTCCCATCAGTCCCAGCCAGCATGGTCCATGGTCACGGATGATGGGAGTTGTAGTCCAGCAGCATTTGGAGGGCAAGAGGTTGCCTACCCTTGATTCAGGGACAAAAGTCTCTACTTAGGATGCAAATCCTAAACAAGATGGGAACACTGGCCGTGCCTTTGGTAGCTCTGTGAAAGAGCACCTGCTTTCTATGCAGGAAGGTTCAACCCCTGCTGGAAAAGAACCCTGTCTGTAACCTGGAGAGCTGCTGCCAGCCAGTGTTTACAATAATGAGTTAGATAGGTCTGACTTTGCATGAAGCAGCTAAGAGAGAGGAAGAGCAAGTGTGCATTTGGACAGTGGTTGTCCAAAACCCCAGGGAGCTGCACCCCAGTCACTATACACCAGTGCTTTTCCATCTTGGGCCTGGAGATATTGATGGACTAAAACACCCACCATCCCCAACCAGCTTAGGCAAAGGGTAACGATTTAGTACAACAACATCTGGGAGCCTAAGGCTGAAGAGCACTGGTGTGGCCAGTATTGAGTTGGATGCACCAATCGTTTGGTTCAGCGTAAGGTGGTTTTTTACATTCCTCCGTTGTCTTATCTGGGAGTTATGAAATGGTCTGTTCCCAGCTTCCACCTAGACTATCCAGACCGAACACATCCCCTTGTTACTTGTTTTGATGCTGTTATAATATACTTTCTTTTCTCTTCCTTTACTTTCTCCTTTACTCGCTTGCAGACATTTTCAGAACGATCAGGGGACAGTTATTATTTCCGGCAAGAACACTTCCACATTTGGGCCAAACTGGCAGAGTCTTTCACTAAGCTACACCCCCCGCACAGAGATTATTTTGCAAAGTTCAGGAAACAGATCCCAAAGCAGACGATGTCCGTAGAGTCCCTGCACAAGGAGATCACCAGTGTTCTGAAACGGCCCACGCCCAGCAGCATCCCTTTGTACTATCCAGGAAACGAACCTTTCTCGGCCCTAGATTTCTTGGAAGAAAACAAAATCCTCGCGGCTCTTCAGTGCATAATAAACCAAGCGGTCCTCAAAGTCCTGGAGGTGACAATGGCAGATGGAATCTCCTTTGTGGGCGCTTACGACGAACAAGGCCACCCTCTGCTGCCGTGGGCCTCTTCAATGGAGGAGAGCGAGGAAGGCGAGGAAGAAGAGGAGCTGAGGAGCGGCTCAGCCGACTCCGAGAGCGGAGAGGACACGTCAGAAGAGGGTGACTCCAAATCCGAAGAGGGGAAGGAGGGAGAGGGGGGAAAGAAGAAGAAGAAAAAGAAGAAGGGGAAGAAGAAGAAAGACAAGGGGAAGGAGAAGGAGAAGGAAAAGGAGAAGGACAAGGAGAGGGAGAAGAGGAAGAAAGCAAAGGGGGAATCCGTAACCCCATCCCCGGAAGAGAAGGGCAAGCCAAAATATACACCACCAGTCCTTCCAAAATCGAAGCGGAAATCTATGGGGCCTGAGGAAGCTCAGCGCAAACCCAAATACGTGCCGCCTCCGCTGCCGAAAACGAAGCCAAGGCCGCCGCCAGAGGAGCCCCCACCCAAACCGAAATACGTTCCGCCCCCGCTTCCGAAACCAAGACAGAAAAAAGACTCTACCCAAGGAGTTGCTGAGTCCAAACAGGTACGTAAATTTCTAAAGAAAGGGAGGCTGCGGCCTACCTGGGGAGTATGACAAGGGTCCCGCAGGCCTTACCCACTAATAGAGATGGGGGGGGGGAGAAGGTTTGAATCCGTCCACACTTAAATTTGCTTAATTTGCACTTTCCAAAACACTATGTGAACTAAAACACAGCCATCCTTTGAAATTTGCACTTCTTCTGAATTTTGCAACGCTGTTTTCCAGCTGAGCGATGTATTGAAAAATAAAGTGTGAATGAAAATGCATGTATTAGCAACAAGAATAATCAAAATGCATTGGCAAAAATAACAGTACAGTACCTGTTTTTGCTAATATATAGTTAACTCCAACCTGCTGGGGTGATTGGCTGGTGGCTCGCCAACTACATTCTTTCTGTGGCACCCCTGTGGGGCTGAGGAGCCCAGTTATGTCACCCCTCGACTTCAGAGCTGATAGCCTCTCACCCTTTTTTGAACACCCTCCTTGTGGAGTGTTCCCTCAGTCTCCTCTGTTCTCCCCTCACCTTGGGAATCCTCTGGGCTGCCGCCCCTGGTCTCTGAGCTGCCCCCCTGCCCCAGAGAGAGATACCCCCTCACACTGCCCCACAGGGGCCTGGGAAGCACCCCCTGGCCAGCCCCAGAGGCACCATTTGCCTGGGGAGTTTGTAGCCAGGGCTGCTGCAACAAACACCTGTGCAAACCTTTGGGTGGCAGAGATGTGAGAGGGCATCAGAGGAGGGGGGAGAGGAAAGAGGGACAGAAGCTATTATTGCCAATGGCACGCCTGGGCATCATTCAAGGCACCCCAGGGTGCCACGGCACACTGGTTGAAAACCACTGTCCTATGGCATTGTTAGGGACACGGATGGGCACTGTGGGTTAAACCACAGAGCCTAGGACTTGCCGATCAGAAGGTTGGCAGTTCGAATCCCCGCGATGGGGTGAGCTCCTGTTGCTCAGTCCCTGCTATTGCCCACCTAGCAGTTCGAAAGCACGTCAAAGTGCAAATAGATAAATAGGTACCGCTCAGGCGGGAAGGAAAACGGTGTCTCCGTGCGCTGCTCTGGTTCGCCAGAAGCGGCTTAGTCATGCTGGCCACATGACCTGGAAGCTGTATGCCGGCTCCCTCAGCTAATTAAACGAGATGAGCACTGCAACCCCAGAGTTGTCTGCGACTGGACCTAATGGTCAGGGGTCCCTTTACCTTTATGGCATTGTTAAGTAGCTCTTTCAACACTTTCTGTCTTCCCTTTCCACTGTTCCAAGCCTGCTGTCTCAAGGCGTATCATCAGCCCCAGCGACATCAAACGTGCCCGCCTGCAAGGCAAGCCCCTCCCGAAGCAAGCCATCATTGATTTCCTGATTGAAAATGCAGCCAAGCTCATCTTATACAAGTACAACTACGAAACCCTTCTTTCCGAGAAGCTGGGCTTCATCTCGGTTCCCGTAACCAAGGTCCTGCTGGAGATCATGTTCGGCTACAAGAGAGTTAAGGGCAGTGGGATACGGCTGTCGTCTCAAATCGACTGGTCAAAAGTCCACGACGAGATCTACGCACCGCGCAAACCGAGGCCCAAGACCCCGAAGCAGAAAGACAAGAAGAAAGGCAAGAAAAAGAGAGTCCTGTGGGACCTGCAGAAAAAATCGGGGGAGAAGAAGAGCGTCCTGTTCAAATCCGACATGCCCACTGGCAAAGTTGTGGTGATGAAAAGCGCCGTGGAGAAGGAAGTGAAGTCAGGCATACTGCAAAAAATAGAGTCCAGTAGCCTGCAAGAGGGCAGCCAAGAAACAGATATTTTTGATATAGTTGCTTTCGGAGAGGGCGAATCTGAGGAGTTATCTGTAGAGGGCGAAGGACTTCCAGACCAATTCGTATCAAGGAGATCTATCACTTCTGAAGACAGCAAAACCTTGCTTGAAGCTCCAGATTCTGAAGACCAGTCGCCACTCGATGTGACGCCAAAGGCATCGTCTTCTCAAAAATTAAACATAGACCCTGACGGGGCCAGAGAGTCAGGGACTGTTTTGCCCGAAGTAGGAGCTCCGAGTCAGAACTCTGGAGAACATTTGAAGAAACACTCGTCGTCTCGAAGGTCTAGCCTCAGCGAGGAAGGTAGCAAAACTCATCTGCCTAAAATCTAAAACTGGTATAATAGCAATAAAGCATATAGGTTTGTATACCCTCGTGGTTTTGTAATTTATATGTACTGTATATGCCCAACTACGGAATCTGTGGAAGGTCTCAGACAAGAAGTCCATTAGCTGACGAGAGAGAATAATACCGTATTTTTCGCTCTATAAGATGCACCAGACCACAAGGCACACCTTGTTTTCGGAGGAGGAAAACAAGAAAAAAAAATATTCTGAATCTCAGAAGCCAGAACAGCAAGAGGGATCGCTGCGCAGTGAAAGCAGCGATCCCTCTTGCTGTTCTGGCTTCTGGGATAGCTGCGCAGCCATCTTTCACTCCATAAGATGCACACACATTTCCCCTTTTTAGGAGGGAAAAAGTGAGTCTTATATAGCAAAAAATACGGTATTTGCAGATTGTTATTTTATAACCTCTTTTAGCTTCCATTGTGGTGCATGACATTTCAGAGCGGTTCAGAACCTAAAGCAGGGGAGGTTGACCCGTTAAGGCAAATGGGACACTGCCCCATTTACCTCTGCCCTCATCCAACCCCTACCTGCCTGCCTTCTTATTTACAAGTAGTCCACTGGCCATGAGCTTCCTCCTCAGTCTCAGTTTTGACCTTGTAGAACTCGGTAGGGAAGAGGATGGGGGTAAAACTAGAATGAGTTGGCTGTGCTCCACCTGCTGCTGGTCTGCCTGCTTTCTACTCTCTGCCAGTCCACCACTGAGCTAAAGATCAACAGGTGCCAAATATTTTATACTTGCTTTAGGTAGAAATTCCATAAATGTGCGTACCGTATTTTTCACTCTACAGGACGCACTTTTTCCCCTCCAAAAATTAAGGGGAAATGTGTGTGCGTCCTATAGAGTGAATGCAGGCTGCGCGGCTAAGCCCAAAACCAGAACAGGGAGACGGAGCGCTGCGCAGCGCTCCGTCTCCCTGTTCTAGCTTGGGGTTAGCTGTGCAAACCTCTGCAGGGCAGCGGGGTGAAGGCACCCCACTGCCCTGCGGAGGCTTCAAAGGCTGTCCCCGAAGCCAGAACAGCGAGACAGAGCGTAGTGCAGCGAGACGGAGCGCTGCTCAGCGCTCTGTCTCACTGTTCTAGCTTGGGATGGCTGCACAAAGCCTCCGCAGGGAAGCAGGGTGCCTTCACCCCGCTGCTCTGCAGAGGCTTCAAAGGCTGCGCTCCGGGGGCTTCAGGCAGCTATCTGCAAGCCTTCGGAGCGCAGCAGGAGTTCCTGCTGCGCTCCTAAGGCTTGCAGATAGCCGCCTGAAGCCTGGAGAGCGAGAGGGGTCGGTGCACACCGATCCCTCTTGCTTTCCAGGCTTCGCTTTGCTGGAGAGGCGCTGCACAGTTTTCCCTCTCTGCGCAGCGCCCCTTCAGCGAAGCGGGAGGAGAAATGGAAGGGGCTCTGTTTCTCCTGCCGCTTCGCTGAAGGGGCGCTGAGCAGAGAGGGGGAGAATTTTTTTTCCCTGTTCTCCCCCTCCTATGGTCTGGTGCGTCCTATAGAGCGAAAAATACGGTAATTTATGTGCCTAAGGTTGAATCCAGCTCAGTGAGGCCTTACTGAAAAAATGGACTCAAGTTGGTACTCAGCATGGGTTTCTTCCATATGTTGTTGGGCTATAACTCCCATAATTCCTAACCATTCATCATGCTGGCCGGGGCTGATGGGGTTTGTAGTCCAACAACATCTAGAGGGGACCACACTGGCTTCTCTGCTCTAGAATGACCAAATGCAAAACCAAAGCAGATCCATGAAGATAAAGCTGGCTTGGTTTTCAATTGGTTTGCTATGTTTTATGGGATAAAGTTGCTATTTAGGACATGGCTGAGATAGCACAATACCTTGCTAGTGGACAGATTTTTACTTTATTCCTTATAATCAGGCATAGGCAAACTCGGCCCTCCAGATGTTTTGGGACTACAACTCCCATCATCCCTAGCTAACAGGACCAGTGGTCAGGGATGATGGGAGTTGTAGTCCCAAAACATCTGGAGGGCCGAGTTTGCCTATGCCTGCTTATAATGAACCAGCAGTCTCGTACTTGGTGTTGCTTGGGAATTCTAAGAAACCAAAAGAGTGGTGCAGTTGTGAAAGCTTAAGTCCAGTATTTTGATTCAAAATGGTATCCAACTGTATCCAAACATAGACAGAAACCCACTCCTTGATCTCAGGAACAATCAAGCAAAATTTGGTTACCACATCTTAAGAGGTGTCGAAGTGCACAGTGGCAGAACTTTCCAAAATGTATAGCTGATACAGAGGGCCCCGGGTTCAATGCTTGACTTCTCGGATACAAAGGCTTAGGTCATGGGTAGGCAAAATAAGGCCTGGGGGCTGGATCCGGCCCAATCGCCTTCTAAATCCGGCCTGCGGATGGTCCGGGAATCAGCGTGTTTTTACATGAGTAGAATGTGTCCTTTTATTTAAAATGCACCTATGGGTTATTTGTGGGGCCTGCCTGGTGTTTTTACATGAGTAGAATGTGTGCTTTTATTTAAAATGCATCTCTGAGTTATTTGTGGGGCATAGGAATTCATTCATTATTTTTTTTCAAAATATAGTCTGGCCCCCCACAAGGCCTGAGGGACAGTGGACCCTGCTGAAAAGGTTTGCTGACCCCTGGCTTAGGTTGACCAAGAGATGTGAAAGACCAGTACTTGAGAGCCATTGCCCAGTCACATGTTCTTTATCTTTGGGCCCACAGATTTTGCTGGACTACAACTCCCATCATCACCAGTTGGCTCATCCAGTGGTCAGGGATGATGGGAGCTGTGGTCCCACACAGAGAGGACTGGGGAGAGGGGCATATTTGGCTTCTCTATCACTGCACTGGAGATTAGTTGACCTTTTGCAAAAGTCAAAATTGTAGCAGCAGAAAGGAACCCGGCTGCAAGGGATGGAACGTTTGATCTTTGATCTGAATGTCTTTATTTATCACTAAGCTCTGGCCTGCTGTGGTTCCACGAAACCACCTTTTGGTTCAAGTTCGCAAGAAATAGAAAGAGAAAACAATAATAAAAAGCTTCCTTCAAGCCAACTATGCGTCTCTGCTCCTTCTTCCAATCCAGCAGCATGGTCTGGAATGGAGCTCTCCATCTCAGTCTGGGGGTCTCCCAGTACATCCGCCACTGTGGGAAAGTGGCAATGAATTATCAGGGCAGTAAAGAAAAGACAGGGCAGATAATATTTCAACGCCAACCAAGTTCTTTGACAGCAGCTATTCTAAAGGCAATTACAACTTGTTGTTTTAGTTTTGCGTGTGTGTGTGTGTGTGTGTTGTTGTTGTTTTAAAAAATACGGCTGAAAGGCATTGTGAAGGAGCACAACACAAACTGTACTAAAAGCCTTGGGGGGTTGGTGACCTCCCAGAAAGATAAACAGGTGCCAGCTAAAGCCCCATAGGATTGATTTTCTATGGCTAAGCTGGCATCCCGAGACATCTGTTTTGCCCTGTTTCAGAAAAACAGCATGAGCCATTGTCGGCCTTAACAGGAAGGAGCTGCCGTTTCTCATGAAATACAAATGCATTATGTGAAGTGTCAGGCTGCAGCAGATTGCTTCCTTTCTTTCTTCCTCTCCTCGCTCCCCCCCCCCCTTCGGTTTTTTGCTTCGTCTTTCCAGGCGGTAAGGAAATCTGCATGGTTAGTCCAAAAAGGACGCACAGACTGACGCTCCCTCCTAGCATCCCAACCACCGATTTAAGTAATTCTTCTTCTTCAGAAAAATGTGTCGTCCCCGGGAGAAAAGACATGCTCTGACAAATTAATCTCAAATTGCCAGAATATTTGGAAAGGAAACTGGTTAATCCCTCATGTGAGAGGTGGCTCCTTCGCTCTCAGCTTTTGGGGGGGGGCTAAGAGAGGGCCTTCTCTGTGGCAGCCCCTAAGCTGTCAAATGCCTTCCCCACAGAGCTGCATTGTACAGTTATCTGCGGATGCTGAAGATGCACCTCTTTCCCTTAGCTTTCGCCGCTTGAGGTATATATTTTGACAACCACTTATTTCTGCGATGTAAGCTTTTTAAAAGCTGTTTTTGACATTGTGCTTTAATGGTGTAACCCACACTGGAAACTTAGGGTGAGAAGGGTTAATAATAATAATAATAATAATAATAATACTGCAAGGATTGGCTGGACCTCAGGCCTGGGGACCAAAGGGCTTAACTGGCCTTTGAGATGCTCCTCAGACCCCATCCTCAGTCACACCCCTCCTGGTTCACAGTCTCCTCACGTGTGTTTGCCTGGTTGGTATGTGTCCCTGAACTAATATTAGTCTTCAGGTGCTCGGCCGGGACCTATAAAAAGTAGCTTTTAATGTGCCTGTCCCTTTTCAAAGGGCTGGTTTTGACTAATATAAAGCCTTAAATGGCTCATGACCGCCATACCTCAAGGACCGCCAGTCTCCATATGAACCTACACCTCTGATGCCCTTCCTTGTGTGCCTCCTCCACAAGAAGTCCAGAGGGTGGCAACACGAGAACGGGCCTTTTCTGCAGTGTCTCCCCATCTGTGGAATGCTCCCCCCAGGGAGGCTCGCCTGGCGCCTTCATTGTACACCTTTAGGCGCCAGGCAAAAACGTTCCTCTTCAACTAGGCCTTTGGCTGATGGACATCCAACACCCTTTTAAAATGTGTTGGGGAGGAGGGGATTATTGGGTTGTTCTTGTTTTTATTTTTGTATTTATTTTTATTATGTATTTTATTTTTTATATTGTGATTTTATTATGTATTTGGTTTTTTATATTGTGATTTTATAATGTATTTTTATTATATATTTTGTTTTTTATATTGTGATTTTATGCTGGGAACTGCCCTGAGACCCGTGGCTATAGGACAGTATACAAATTTATGAAATAATAATATTTTATTCCCCCATGGAACAGTATTCCTGTCGAGATAAAACAGGTGTGCACTGTCTGCACTTTCCGGAAGGAGCCGGAGATGCTTTTGTTCTGACAGGCTTTCCCAGGATGGATAAATGAGTTGTTATAGGAAAAATAGAGAGTTTGGCTTTTGCTGCCCAACTCCCCAAGGGTCTGAGTCCCCTAAGTCCATGATGAATAGATGGAGGCAAGTTTCATAGAAAGCAAGGCAGATCTTTATTTTTCTCTTTATTATTCCCTCCCCTCCTAGCAAGGCGTTAAGAGAGACCCCAAACAATGGAGCGCAAACCCCTATAAAGACTTTGGAAATTGTGCACCCTGTAACCCAAGACCACCCCCCCAAACATCATACCTACATCACAGAAGGAGGTGGTCTGCAGCAGAAATTTGAGAGTGTTGCTTCTCTCCTGTCTGCCAGGATACCTGATAATGCCTTACTTAATTGCATTTTCTGGGTAGATTTAGTTCCTGAATCTCTTACAGATATTGATAGTTTGCTCAGCTTAACAGATACTTGCCAGACTGTATTTGCAGGGAGGTGCAGAGGCCCCTACAGTCCAAAGACAATTGGAAAGTTTTTCCCATTTCCTTCCTCCTTGCAGAGAAATATTTGAGGTCAATTTGGGAGAGTCAAAATGGCTTGCTCTCCTGCACTATTTCAGACACATGGTTTATATACTTATGTGTGTCTGTTTGCCTTGTACATTTATGAACATTTATTCTATATTCGAGACCTTAGAATTCTTATAACAGGGTCTTCGCCACATGTACCCACTTGTTAGGGTTTTAAGTCCTGCTTCAAATATATTCGTTGTTTGTGTGTGTCTGTTTAACTGTTGCTATTTATATGTAAATCGCCTTGAGGTGGTGGTTTAGAAGGCGATTAAATACATCAATGATAATAATGCCACCATGCAAATATATAGCTAATAAAATGTAACATATGGGTCCCAAAAGGCAATATTTGGATTAAATGTAGGTCCCAACCCTTAAAAGGTTGACGATTACTGCTCCACAGTAATATTGTATGCGTTGGGCCTTTAAAAAAAAAAACAACTCGCCCTGACAAGGCTGTTAAACAATTGCATGTAGGCTGGCCAATTTTTCAAAAATGCCTAAGTTTATAATGTAAAGCGTCTTTCCTCCCAGCGGAACACTTTTCTGAAGGAAAGGACATAAAATCTGAAACGGGCAAAGCGCCTTCTCTCAGAATTAGCGGGAAATGCCTCCTCGACCTGCAGTTTGGGGGTTGAATTGTTTGGGGAGAGGACGGGGCTCGAACCCTTGTCTCTGCGGAGCCAGCCCCTGAGAGAGCCAGTTGGCCTCCTCAGCATCTCACCTTTCCCATTTCGCTTCGGCCCCGCCCCTTTCTCGGGAAGGAGGGGTGGAGTTGGGGGAAAAGGCGAGGAGGGGGAGGCGCGTTCCTCCGCCACGCCGCAACACCCGATTGGCCGCTCCGCCGCCGCGCGCCAATGAGCATCTCCTTCGTCGCTTTCGCGAGCCGGCGGCAGGACGGGGGAGCGCGTGGGCGCCGTTGGCAGCCGCTGATTGGTCCGCGCCGGGGGCCGGTGGCGGAAACGGTTCCTGAGGCGACAGTTCGCCGTTTACCTCAGCCGCCTCCGCCGCCGTCGCGGTGCTGAGGGACTCGGGGGGATGCGGCGACCGAGTGGCCGCGGCGGCTTCCCGCCCCTGGCTTCTCGCTCCTGGCCGTTGTCGCCGCTCTCTCTGCTCCTCCTCGTGTGCGGCTCGGGCCTGGCGACGGGAGCCGAGGAGGGCGCTGTCACTTGCGGCTCGGTGCTGAAGCTGCTCAACACCCGGCACAACGTGCGGCTGCACTCGCACGAGGTCAAGTACGGATCCGGTGAGGAGACGACTCGGGCGGGAGGCGAGACAGAGGAAGGGAGGGCGGCGGCCGGAATCGGTTTCAGAGCGGGGGAAAAAGAGGAAAGAGCCGCGCGGCTGCCGGGAGGAAATGAAACCCCTCTCGGCCCCAGGCGGAGGCTGTGGGGCGGGTTAGACACCCGAGGGCCCGTCAGAGCCCCGCATCGTTTTCCCAGCTAGTGGCCTTCAGAGGAAGGATGCCATTAGCAGTACAGTGGTATCTCGGGTTACATACGCTTCAGGTTACATACGCTTCAGGTTACAGACTCCACTAACCCAGAAATAATACCTCGGGTTAAGAACTTTGCTTCAGGATGAGAACAGAAATCGCACAGCGGCAGCAGGAGGCCCCATTAGCTAAAGTGGTGCTTCAGGTTAAGAACAGTTTCAGGTTAAGAACGGACCTCCAGAACAAATTAAGTTCTTAACCAAAGCTATCACTGTAGTGGCATAGGTGCTGGGGGCCCCGAGCACCAGTGCCAGATTTACGTATAAGCTAAGGGCCCCTTTCTCTTCAGGGGCCCCAAAAAAATTAAAAGGAAAAGAAAAACTGGATGTACATTTCCAAAATATAGGATAAAAAAATATTTTAAAACCTACATACAGCAATAGTGTTTTGTGTTGTGTAGGCTCCTATGATGTAAGTAATGGGCCCCGCCTGCTAGCCTGCTGCCTAAAATATCACTGGTTTGCTCATTTCTATATATAGGGTGCCTACATTCTGCATATTTTGTTATGTGCAAGTGGCTTTAGATATCTATTAGGTCCATAATTACCATATAGCATATATTCAACACAAAAAACAGCGACAATTTGTTGTTGACAAAGGACAGCTGGACATATAAAGGGTCCCATTACCTTCAATAGCTTAGGGTCTCATCAAACCTAAATCCGGTCCTGCTGAGCGCCCACAAAATTCCCCATGAAGGGGCTGGGCACCCACAAATTTGAGTGCCAGGGCCATGCACACTGCATGGCACCCATAGCCCAGGGCACCCACAGCCAAGCTGGCACTCCTGAGTATTGATGTTGATAATGTTTAGTCCTCCTCATCAGCCTAAACAGGTTCCCAGAGCATGGGCGTAGGAGGTGCGCCCCCCCCCCCCGCATCAAGTAAGTAAATAAAAATACCTATTTTTAGTAGAAATGCAATATCTACTCAAAGTAGAAATTGTAGAAATATTTTGATGGATTTTTCTGAGCCCTTTGGGTCAAAAGAAAGCAGTTTAAAGCAGCTGACATTTCATTCTGAATCTGCTTGGCAGAGGATAATTAATGACAGGTGGCTGTCCTGCACCCCCCAACATAAATCATGGTCATGTCCCAGAGCAACTTGGGAGATGCCCATGATAAAACAGCCCTCTTCCCTCAGGCTTTTACAGTCAGAAAATGAGTAAACCATAAGGAAAAAAGGCATCAGGAGGGAGGAGGAAAAAACATACCGACAGGCCCTGAACATACCGACAGCGACAGGCCCTGAAAAGGCTCCCAGAGCGGTTTAGGAGGTATTGGTGATAAAACAGGCGGTGCCCACAGACTTCTCAGTGGCAAATGGCAGAACCCCAAAAGGAAAAAGGGATCAAGAGGGAGGAGGAGGAGGAAGCGAACATGGCCATGGTGTTTTACAAAAGAACAGGTATGGCAGGTATGCCCTGCCCCAAGGGTGACTGAAGTGTAAAACAGACACAGGGAAACAAGTTAGGGAAAGGAGAAATGGAGGTGTGGGGAGAAAATGTGGCCATTTCAATTATGCACACTTTGATTTGGTCACCACGATACAAGGGTAGCTAGTGTGGTGCCCTCCAGTTGCTGCTGGACTACAACTCCCATCAGCCCCAGCCAGGGTCACAGTTGTAGTCCAGCAGCACCTGGAGGGCACCATGTTGGCTTACCCCTGTAGTAAGATATAGGGACATGGTGACTGAGGGAATGTTCATTACAGAGGGAACAAGGGAAGGGAAGAAGGGGCAAGGTGAGGCAATGGATAGAGATGAGATTGGGAAGGTGGGTCCTATTGTGTTCAAAATAGGTCACTTAGGCAGAACAGAACAGGATGGTGGCTGGTACCCATAGGGGCTGGTCAGGTGGAAGCCCAAAGAGTAGGCAGAACTAGAGCCAGTGAGAGGTAGAGTCATCTAATGCTAAACTACTTACACACTTTACCTTCCAATTCTACGATTCTCTGATTCACTCAAAGAATTCTGGGCACTGTAGTTTTCCCCTCACCTAGATACAGTGGTACCTCGCAAAACGAATGCCTCGCAAGACGAAAAACTCGCAAGACGAAAGAGTTTTTCGTTTTTTGAGTTGCTTCGCAAGACGAATTTCCCTATGGGCTTGCTTCGCAAGACGAAAATGTCTTGCAAGTTTGTTTCCTTTTTCCTATGGGAAACCGTTTCAATGCATTCCTATGGGAAACCGTGCTTCGCAAGACGAAAAATTCGCAAGACAAAAAAACTCGCAGAACGAATTAATTGCATGGTGAAAGCGTTAACCACTGAATAGGTTTCTCCACCAGGAGCTTATCTGATCTTTTATAAAGAGCATAAGAAGAGAGATCTGCTAGATCAGACCTAAAGGTCTTAATAATCTGACATCCTGTTTCCTACGCTGCCCCCAGCCAGATACCTTTGCATGAAGCTTATCAACATGCAGGACAATAAAGTAATGGATATCTTCGCTGAGAGACTGCTTCTGAACAGGGAGCTTTTGCCTATTATGGCTAATAGCTGCTTATTGACCTGCCTACAAGGAATATATATATATATATATCTCAAGGACATATGATATGAAGAGTCCCCCTGGATCAGGTGTGGAGATGCATCTTGTTCAGCATTCTGTTTTCAACAGTAGCCATACAGATGTTGCTAGGGGGAACTCACCAGCATTAGTAGACCCTTTGTTTGTGTACACATGCATGTTTGTATCCCGCACCCTGGTATAGACGTTTCTGCATTCTTTTCTAAGTTTACATCCTGTATTATTACCAAAGCCTCAAGGCAGCTAGTTCCAGTACATACAAAAGTATATAATAAAATATTTGTACATGGAAATGGAATTTAGCTGTCATGGTTAATTGCTCCCATTGGACATAGAAAGTTTAGAAACATTAATTAAATTTATTATTTTTATCCTGCTTTTCTGTCTGAGGACACAGGCTGCACAAAAACATAACTGAAGCATACACAACAATCATAAAAAGAAATAAATTGCAGCACATAAAAGCCAAATTCAAAATAGTAAGTTAAAATCCAAATAAAGCTTAATAATGGCAGGGGGGAAACCTTGCAAACCAAAGGCATGCTGAAGCAAAAAGAGAAGGGGCCTCTCTGTAAAAGAGGGGGGATGTTCTGCTTTTTTGTTTGTTTTTTGAAGAGAGCAGTGTTCTCAGGAAAGAAAGAACAAGCAGGTGGAGCAACCTCACTTGGCCCAGTTTTATGACAAAGTCTTATTACCTGCCTCTGTATCTGCACACAATGACTATATAGCAATTGTTTTGTTTATAGGAAGTGGTCAACAGTCAGTAACTGGAGTTGAAGTTTCTGATGATGCTAACAGCTATTGGCGGATCAGAGGCAAAACTGATGGGTCCTGCCAGCGAGGAATGCCTGTAAAGTGTGGGCAAACAGTACGCCTTACCCATGTTAATACAGGGAAAAACTTGCACACCCACCACTTCCCATCACCACTCTCCAATAATCAGGTAAAACCAGAGCTTGTCCTTCATACTTGTTTACTTATTTTAAGTATCTCAAAAAATGTAAGCAAATCAAAATGGAGTTTACTCTTAAATTGAATTGGAAAGTTATGAAGGCATGAAATATCTATATATTTAGGAACAGATTAAAATATCAGTTGTGCTTTTCCATATGTAGTATACAATTTTATTATAAAGATATGCCATTCAATTCTATGCAAGTTTACTCAGAAATAAGTCTCAATGCAGAATTGCTTAGGTCTCTTGCTATGTGTTATATCCTCTTCTACTTAATTTCTCTCTTGATGCAGAAGAGAATGTGATTTGTAGAGGGGTGGCCCAGATAACACTTCTTAAGTATGCAGAAAGTGGTTGTTGCTGTGGCTTAGGTTGTATTCATAGTGGTGGACTATTGATAACATGCCCCAAATTGACACTGGTATATGTTAAAGGCTGGTTCTTAGATGTATAACAGAAGATAACCTTGTCCTAATCTGTAGTTTGTGAACTTCTTCCATTGTACAGTGGTGCCCCGCAAGACGAATGCCTCGCAAGACGAAAAACTCGCTAGACGAAAGAGTTTTCCATTTTTTGAGTTGTTCCGCAAGACGAATTTCCCTATGGGCTTGCTTTGCAAGACGAAACGTCTTGCCGCTAAGCCGCTAATAGCCGTGCTTCGCAAGACGAAAAAACCGCAAGACGAAGAGACTCGCGGGACGGATTAATTTCGTCTTGCGAGGCACCACTGTAGTTGCTATTTACTTGCTGTGGAACATGAATACATAGAGCAGAGAGAAAATCTGAGTGGCTTCTCTGCAGTACTGTACAAAACAATCTCCCATGACTCTAGAATCTGTGATGTGTTTAATGAAATGTCATTTAGTATTTATATAGTAATTTAAAATGTTCAAAATGCTTCAAATAAGTTAAGATCTCTTATCTGACCTTTACTATAATGTTTTGCAGCTGGTTAAAACCAAAACAAGTAAAATAGTTTATAGAGGAATTAGAACCAGTAAAATAGTTCAAGAAAGAAACAGAATTCTATAGATTATAGTGGGTCCTACAAAAAAATTGCTTAAATGTCAAAAGGCAGGGCAAATACTAATACCCCTTACCCAGTATTATTATTATTCCTGTGTTACAGTAGATAGTCTGAAGGATTGTGGCTGGATTAAAGATACTGTACCTACCAGGTCCAAGGCAAATGCAAGATGTTACCTGTGGGCTTTGCACTTCTATCCTTCATAGTTGTTTTGTTCTTATTTGATCATAAGCAATCACTGATAATGTACTTCATTTCCCACTTCCAATTCCTGACTGTTTCAGTAACACTTGGTTTTGGCATTTAGATTCTAAAAAACAGGGTTACATTTCAGGTGTCGGGAAGCTTTAGCTCTCCAGATGTTGCTGAACTACAACTCCAATCAACCCCAGCAAGCATGGTCAGTGACCAGGGATGATAGGAGTTGTAGTTCAGCAATATCTGGAGCAGGCGTAGGCAAACTCAGCCCTCTAGATATTTTGGGACTACAACTCTCATCATCCCTGACCACTTGTCCTGTTAGCTAGGGGTGATGGGAGTTGTAGTCCCAAAACATCTGGAGAGCCGAGTTTGCCTATGCCTGATCTGGAGAGTCAAGTGTCCCCTATACTCTGTTATATTTGTTGTAGCCAGTTCTAATCCTACTCAGAGTGGACCCATGGAAATTAATAAAAATGACAAATTTAATTCCATTAATTTCAGTGGCTCAACCTTGAGTAGAATACAACACGTTGCATTATTATTTTGAAGTGGGTACCAGATCATTTTATCATTTCCATATACTACTGTCATTCTGCTTGTGTGATGTCACACACACAACACACACACAAACAATATCTACCCCCACCCTTTTTGTTCTTATAGGAAGTTAGCGCCTTTGGTGACGATGGAGAAGGAGATGACTTAGATGTGTGGACAGTGCAATGCAGTGGGACATACTGGGAGCGAGACGACGCAGTACGTTTCAAGCACATAGGAACGGATGTGTTCCTTACAGTAACAGGCGAACAGTATGGCCATCCAATCAGGGGACAGCGGGAAGTCCATGGCATACATTCTCCTAATCATCACAACTACTGGAAGGCTATGGAAGGTGTTTTCATTAAGCCCAGCTTGGACTCTACAAAGCACGATGAGCTCTGAATGTGTGGTCGACATTTTATGTTAGAGTCCACCAAAGTGTATGAGGTGGTTCCTTTCTTTAAACACCACCCTCATTTTCCAATATTGTTAAGACACTGGAATATATTTGCAGGTCAATGTTTTCATGAGTAACTGCAATTTTGGTGAATTCAGACCGAAAAGAAGCTAGATTTGCTGTTTGCGCCCCCATCTATTTTCAAAAGTCATTTCCTTTTTCTTATCTCATTCCTTCTTTCCCTTAACTAAGAAAATAGTCACTTGCTGTGTAAACAATCTAATCCAAAGTGCAATAAAACTTAAATTTTTGTAATTCTCAAGTTTTACGTAAACTCATTAAAAATATATGTATGGAAACCTTGCTTTTAGCAACAACCAGAAGGTGTGTGGGGTGTATGTGTGCTATAATGTAAGTCTAGGAAGAGATAAAAAGTTTTGTAGATAAAATACTTTGTAATCCTGCCAAAATATCTGTAGTTCAGTCCTATTCTTTTTAGCTCCCATTATGCATCATTTGCTGCTAGCGTTCATTTGTATCTCTTGGGAAATATGTAGATGAGTATTTTGGAGCAAAGGAATTTTTTTAAAGTAGTTACATTTCACTAGTGAAGGGAAGGGGAAATTTGCTATGTGGAAGACCATCCTAAGATGGTTTCATACTGTTGACTAAACACACTTCTTTGTACAGCTTGGGTCAGTTTCATTTAATACCTAGTACCTTTCCCCTCTCCATTTTGTATACTTAACATTAAACAGGAGCCTAGCTAAAGGAAAGCCAAATATACTTTATGAGCACATACACAATCTGGAACCCAGTGACTTCCCCTTCACAAAGTCGCAGTTGCAACCTATTACACAAAGTGATTGATATTTATATATATTGAAAAGGCAGATCCTTGCACAACTAGTCTTTATTCTGACTAGGGGTGGGTCATTAGGTTACTCTGCTACCCCAACATTGCCCCCATTTAAATGTGAGCTGAGTCATGTGGCTGCACTGCACTCATACCCATTTTTTCCCCAGGAGGCACAAGTATCACTGGGTAGAATTGATGTTCTTAGGTTGTGCTCTTGACAAGGACAACAGAAGCTGTGATGGACAGCACCTGCATGAGGCTGGATGGATTCTGAGATGAGCATTCCTTTTGGATAGGGTGGCCAGAGGCTGGAGGCCTTATTGAGAGCCAGTGCCTCACTTTCTGAAGGGCAGTGGATGACCACACTTATAGAGTGCAGTGCATATGTGTTCCATCAGAAGTTACTAAGTAAAATAGAAGCAGCTTTTGACCACTTGTGAGGCTGGGAGTGCTGATGGCATGGAACTCTAGGTTTATTATGCAGTGTGAAAAAGTCCAAATGGGAACTCTGTGTTCCTATGTCAGAAGGCAGTGTTTTCCTTGCCCTGGATTTTCCCTAACTCTTGGTAGAGAGCAAGGTTGGTGAAATGTTCTTGGCAATGCCAACATTATTTTTTTTGGCCAGCACCATTCCAAAAATTTCTGAAAAGTCCCTCATTTCCCTTTTCACTACCATGCATGTCAATGAAAGAAACAGAAGCATTTTTACTTCCAGAATTGTCTTGCTAGTAGGCACCATCAAGCAAGTTATACAAGGCTGCCATGTAGGAGGGCTTTCTAGCCCCCCCAAATATGCTTCAACTAGCTAGGACAATGGGCCCATACCCCAGGAGGGCTTTCAGCTGGAAGGTCTGATTTCTGAGCCGGTTGACCTGCAGTAAAGGACCACTGGGGTAACTGATCTGTCAAAGGGGAAGGTCCAACGATGGGCACCAAGAGACAACAGAAAGGTAAGTCTCACCAACAGGTAGAGATCACAATCACCATCACTAGACTCCACACGGAGGGGGACCATAGATTGCTGTTACAGTGTTGGCTTTGTATATAGAAGATCCCAGGTTCAAATCCCTAGCATCACCAGTTAAAGAAGATCAGGTAGCAGATAATGGGAAAGACCTCCCTGTGGGATCCCACAGAGCCACTGCCAGTCAGAATAGACAATACTAGGCTTGGATAATTAAACCTGGTATAAAGTACTTTACTGTAGGATTAGCAGTGGGCATTGCTCAAATCAGCCTTCTTTTTCCTTAGCAGAGCATGGGATTATCTTAAGGCTAGGTCTAGTTTTCCTTCCAAAGATACATAGTCTCCCTATAGGTTATTTTTCTACCTTAACACAGACTTCTTAATACAACACTAATTGCATACAGCACCAGGAGATTTCACTCTATTTTATTAGTGACATCATTTATCCCATTTCAATGTGCTGTAGTATGGCCAGCAATAGCTAGGGATTTTCTGAGTTTCTGTTGCCCCTTCATGAACCTATAAAGAAATTTCTCCTGTAATAGCCTGTTGTAATCATTTTGCTTTTTTATTATTCTGAGATGGATATGAACTGTTCTCTGTTCCCACTTAAGAAGATCCAATTGGACTAAGGGGGTCATTTGAGGCACAGCCTTTCACTCTCCAGAAAAGATTAGCTGCACTGGAGTGTTTCATGCACTCATAACTTCCAGGTCAGTAGCCAGTATGCTGAATCAAGTCACTTGGAATTGAAGTTATGGCCGTAATACGGATTTATATAAATTTTAAGCCATTCATTGATGACTTAAAAGTAAAGTGCTGGTCAATCGATGAAAACGTCTTTAATCAATTGACAGCCACACCAGATACCAATTGCTACAATTTTAAACCACATTGTACTGAAATGTGTTGCTTTGCTTCATCTACTATAGATTTGGAAGGTCTTGTTTGCTTTGCAATTTGGACTCGTCTTAGGATATCATAACTAAATTTGACCTGATGGTTCTTGTGATAGAGGAGCAGTTTTCATCTCCGGAGGCTGTTTTGAATCAAGATGGTAGACTGAACCTTTCAAAATTGCATTGAATTTTTTGGTTTCTTAGAATTCTCCAATGACACTGGGCAAAAGGCTGTTGTCCTCTATATGAATTCCCAATAATTTATCTGTATACCTGTTTCAGTTGCTTCCTTGAAAGAAGACTGTACTGCACTTCTACCTTGATATGAATGGACTTGCACCACTGCCTCTAAGTGGTACTGCAATGGTAGTATATAATACGTTCTGCATATTGATACTTCAGTTAACTCCTTTTCTGCCAGGATTCCCTGTATTTGCCTTTCTGATCTTGTAGAAATTGCCAAAGGCTTTGTTGCTAGAGAAAGTAGATACTGGTTTACAAAGGCACTCCAAATAATACCAACTGATTGATCTCTTAATACACACCATTGTTTTAATGAACACTCTAATCAGTAATAATCACATTTAAAAATAATCATCTCAATCTAACATGAGGGAGAAGTGTGTGTGTGTGTGAGAGAGAGAGAGAGAGAGAGAGAGAGAGAGAGAGAGAGAGGAAAAAACCTTTTATTTCCAGCTAGGGTCAGTGGTTGTTATGCATTGCCAGTTGCCTGCAACTAGTTGGATATCCATTTCGCCCTGATTCAACTGAAAATACATGAAAAGCAGCTGGGACTGCATACGCAGAAGCAACTGAACAGTTAGTCAGCATTAGGGATGGGGAAGAAGTTTCTCCTACTCCAGTCATCTATTCAAAAGTGAGTTTTGGAAAAATATATCTATATAATGTTCCCTTGCCTGCAATGATGCTGCTGGCTTGGCCTCATTGCTGGCTGTGTTACCTCAGCGGAAACTGCTCCTGTCCTTCAGCAATGAAATCAACAGCCGCAGCCGGGAGCACGTTTAACAGCTGGACTGCAGAGTTCTTTACAGCGGCAGCAGCGTCTTGCTTGGTGTCTGGTTTACTGGGCTGGCACGTTTGCTGAAGTTTTTTGGTCGGGTTCCTTGCTAGCAGCTGCAGAATTAGCCAGCAAATGCTGTCAGGTGTAAAGGCTTCCAAGGTTTCTCGACTGATGCTCTTATAAAAGTCTTGTCTAGTTCTTACCATTCACCCTCTCCTATACTGTGAGCTATGAGCGTCATGTGTCCCCCACACCCCACCCCAGTATTTTTATTACATAACCCTCAAGTGTCCTGGTTTTCCTGGGACAGTCCCGGAAGTACAGAAGCCACCTCGGTTTCTGATTTGATGCTGGAATGTCTCGGTTTTCCTTTTCCCTTCCCTCTACATCTCGGAGAACAATTAAGAGTGGTGTGTGTGTGTGTAGGTGCAAAAAAGAGAGTCGTATTTATACTGAAAATAAAATACCTGCACCAAATGAAGGTAATGATGAAACTGGTATATGAAGCCATTCCTATAACGTTGAAGGAAAAGGTCACTGATCCACTTTAAATTCTTTAATTGCAATGCTTTGGCAGCCAGCCATGTCTTAGGAAACACACAGAGCGTTTATTCCTTTATTGTAGATGTCTACAGTGGTACTTTGGGTTAAGTACTTAATTCGTTCCAGAGGTCCGTTCTTAACCTGAAACTGTTCTTAACCTGAAGCACCATTTTAGCTAATGGGGCCTTCCGCTGCTGCCGTGCCGCCGCTATGCGATTTCTGTTCTCATCCTGAAGCAAAGTTCTTAACCCGAGGTACTATTTCTGGGTTAGGGGAGTCTGTAACCTGAAGCGTCTGTAATCTGAAGCGTCTGTAACCCGAGGTATCACTGTACTCATAAATAAGTCTCACTGTATTCAATTGAGCTTGGTCTCAGGTAACTGGGTAAAGACTGTGCAGCCTTACACTGCAATCTTAAGCATTTTTACTCAGAAATAAGTCTCATTGAGTTCAATAGGATTTACTCTCTGGTATGTTCCTGATAAATCTCTGTTTCCATCATTATTATTATATTACACCTTTCTCTTTGACTTAACGCAGCTTAGAGCCAAAATTTTACTTCATTCCATTCATCTTCTGAAGGTGTTGTACATGATCCCTTCCCTCACACATTATTTCTTTACAACAATCTTGCAAGGTAGGTTAGGGGAAGAGGTTGTAATTGGCTCAAGATGACAGATATAGATGTGTACATGAAGTCTGTGTGTTCGGTGAGATCAAACACAGGAGAAGCTTCCTGATGGAGAATAGGATATCCCTATTTTCATTGGAAAAATGTTGGCTGGTATGTTATAATATCACTTTATAATCCAGTCATAAGAATCATAAGATGAGCCTGCTGAATCAGGCTAATGATGGTGGCGCAGGAGAATATAATAGGGGATTTCTTTTACCAATGCCAGTATTGGTTGTGTCACGCACATAATGTAGTTTCAGCCTTATAGGGTTACACCAAAGCTCAGTAACTACTAGATTTCATATTTCAAAAAACGGTGAAATGTCTAACCATGCTGTTGTTGTGATCGCAACAGCACTGGTTCCATCTCACAATCTGCCTTGCATCTTGAGTGACTAATAAGATTTTGTCGGCAAAACTCCTGCATTCCATCTCTAGATGGTTACAAACAGCAGATTTTAGGAGCAGCTACAAACGGCATTTTCGTGCGCTGCTCTGGTTCGCCAGAAGCGGCATAGTCATGCTGGCAACATGACCCAGAAACTGTACGCCAGCTCCCTCGGTCAATAAAGCGAGATGAGCGCCGCAACCCCAGAGTTGGTCATGACTGGACCTAATGGTCAGGGGTCCCTTTACCTTTACCTTACACCACTCTGTGCCCAACGAAGAGTTTTGGAGATTTTGAAAGCTTGCTGGCAATTTATTACCTGCCCTTCATCCTAAAGTCTCAGGGCAGGTTGCAACAATCAAAACACAACAATGTGAATGAGCCAAAACTACCGTATTTTTCGCTCTATAACACGCACCCGACCATAACACGCACGTAGTTATTAGAGGAGGAAAATCCGTAGGCATGCCACCCGTAGGCATTTCCTCCATAACACGCACAGACATTTCCCCTTACTTTCTAGGAGGAAAAAAGTGTTATGGTGCAAAAAATATGGTAACTGCAGAATTAATTTATTTTGTAAACTGTGACAGCCTTTAAGCAATTAATCAGGGATGCTTTTTTAAATAAAAAGGCATCTAAATTTATTAATTGGTCAACATGCTTTAAAATTTTTTAAATTATTTTAAATATATGTACTTACTAAGCCTGAAGGTTACAGGCACTATCTTAGAAAAGGCTTTCAGGAGGTCCTATTTCTTCTATTACACCATCTAAAAATAAAGTTTGTTTTTTTCATCCTTTTAAACTAGGGGTGGGGAACCTGAAGTCTGCTCACCACAGAATGCCGGGCAGCAACACTCCAAAACCTCAAGCCAAGGTTTTTCCTAGCTTTGCTCCCAGCCCTTCTGCCGTATGGGAAGCCAGTCTTCAGAACAGATGTCTGCATTTCCCTGCCCACCCTCTGTAATTTCAATGTTGAAAACTGACGTTTGATGCCATTTTGGTTCTCTTCTACCTATCTCACCTTTGTAACATACATGCAAGAGACAGAGGTGGCCACAACATGACAGTGTTGGGAACACAACTGCCCTAACAGTGGATCAAAAGATTTGCTTAGGGGTGGGTGCTATTTTCATTAATATTTGTAGTTTTATGCAAACTACACAAGCATATACATTTTTGAACGCATTGCTTGGCTGGAGAACTTCATTGCACAATTCGGAGAAGTGCAAACCTCAGAGGATGGCTATGTTTCTGTCCGTGTACTATTTCAACAAGTACAAATTAGGCAGGTTTAAATGTGAACTGGATAAAATTTCTCCCGCACCCCTAGGCTTGCTTAGCATCACTTGTGAAAAAGGACTCTGGGAATTTTCATTCATAAGCAAATAGCATTTTTTTCCCTGTTGTTTCTTAAATTGGCATGCAATGTGGATACCAATTAATTGGTCGTGATGCACATCTGAATAACAAATTATTTTCTGCTTTAACTTTCTGATGCTCACATCAATACCTGGAAACCAAGTGTTTGATTCAGTGTTAGAAACTGAGATGTGAAAGCCAGGAGCTAAATGGCACTTTAAACATAGGTTATGAGCACAACAATGGAATGTTCAGGCATGCTTATTTTTTCTAACGAGAATACAAAGCTGAAAATGAATGAACTGCAGCTAAAATATTATGTTCATTTTCACATGGTCTAGTCCAGGGGTAGGCAACCTAAGGCCCATGGGCTGGATGCGGCCCAATCACCTTCTCAATCCGGCCCGTGGATGGTCTGGGAATCAGCGTGTTTTTACATGAGTAGAATGTGTCCTTTTATTTAAAATACATCTCTGGGTTATTTGTGGGGCATAGGAAATCGTTCATCATCCCCCCCCCCAAATATAGTCCGGCCCACCACATGGTCTAAGGGATGGTGGACCAGCCCACAGCTGAAAAAGGTTGCTGACCCCTGGTCTAGTCCTTCCCCTGCCCACTCCCCTAATATTCTTAAGAGGGTCTCTTCTTCAGTCTTCAAAGAGTAGCTGGAAGTGGGGAGGCAGAAAAAGGTCCTCCTTTCCTTCCACTCTAGTTTTAATTTGAAATCTTAGGCACAGTACTGCGCCCAGAGCTCAGAAACTGCTTGTGCTAATGAAATTCCCCATCGCAAAATGCGCCTAGAACAATGGGAGTTTCGAACACTGGTTTGATTACAGATTCTACTTCAGGCAAAAATGTAGCTTTGTGACGGAAGTTCCATGCAGTTTCCACCGTGGCCGCTAGTTGGCGCTGCTCTATTTCCTTTATGCCTCGCCTGGCATGTGAGTGATCTGACATAATTGCCTGCCTCCGTGAACCATGAAAAGCTCGCTTGTGTTGTTATGTGCGGGACATTCATGAGAATGTTGCAGGTTTGGCAACCCCCGCCTGCACTTCAGCCATGCTCGCTTGGACCGCTCGCAAATTTATACATGGGCAGGGTGGGAACGGCCTCGTCGCGGCATCTACTTCCTTTTCTCGGCTTTTGCCAAAGGTACCAAGGCTCTCAAAATGTATTTGGCTGCCTCTCTCTCGTCACCTCGCAACTGCCAGAAGTCGTAGCCAAACGCAGCTCTTTAAAAGCGGAGTTCAAAATGTTGGGAGCCCGCCATTCAATCATGCATCAGGCCTTTTCCTAGAACTAGTCCCAACCAAAACAAGAAGCCTGAAGCCAAAACCTAGAGTAGTCTGGTTTGCTGAAAAGTCATTTCATTTGAATCCTCTGCCAGTGCTTGTACATTAGACGGACGAGGCTGTAATCGAATATACGCTGCCTTGGAAGCAAGCCCCATGGAAGTCAACGTGGCTTCTGAGTTAAATACACACAGGAACAGACCACAAAAGATTTGGAGTTTTAATTGAGTCTGGTTTATTTATATATCCTTGCAATTACTACACTCACAGTGGGCTCACAACTGATAAAAGCCTACAGCAGTTCTTTAAGGTCCTCACCAAACTTTTTACAAATCAATGAGTCGTCAAAACTAACAGGCAGGGAACAGACCGCCTGAGGAATTAATACAACACTCGATTCCTAATATTGCATTGCGCAACCCCCACAGCATTCAAAATCGAAAACTGCAACTCATTTCTGCAACCGGGGGGGGGGGGGAGGGAGAATCACCGGTGGAGGTGTAGATAAGTTGTGCATGTTAACAGGTGCAACAAAGACATTTTAACACAGTTTAAAAGTTAGAAACTCCTAGAGAAATGCAATCCTTAGAAGCAAGAACCAACAGTCACCAAATATAAAATGCACAAGGCAGAACAAGAGCATAAGCTTTTTTATTTTAAAAAAACAACAAACTCGCCAGAGCTGTCAGATTTATTTATTTGAAATAGTAATAATAATTCTAGCAGAAGGGAAACATTTATTTTTGTGTGTGTATGTGTGTGCATCACATGAAGTTTTATAAGGTATGGTAAAAAGGTAAAGGTAAGTACGGCTAAGTCTAGTCAAAGGCGACTATGGGGTGCTCATCTCGCTTCAGGCCGAGGGAGCTGGCGTTTGTCCACAGACAGCTTTCCGGGTCATGTGGCCAGCAGGACTAAACAGCTTCTGGTGCAACTGGACAGTGACAGAAACCAGAGCGCACAGAAACGCCATTTACCTTCCCACTGCAGCTGTACCTATTTATCTACTTGAGCTGGCGTGCTTTCGAACTGCCAGGTTGGCAGGAGCTGGGACAGAGCAACAGGAGCTCACCCCGTCACGGGGATTCGAACCACCGACCTTCCAATCGGCAAGCCCAAGAGGCTCAGTGGTTTAGACCACAGCACCACCCGCGTCCCTGTTATAGGTACGGCACAATTTTCCAAAACATCGCCATGTCTGCCACAGGTGCACCACCTTTTAATAGACATAATGCAAGAGGAGGGGGAAGGGATGGCATGGGAACAAATGGGCAAACAAACTCAAAGTGGTTTATGATGTTGCTGCTCCTATGACAAACAGCAAGAATGAAAGCAAAGAAGTACAGAGGCCATGTTTAAGATTTGCTAGGGTCTCTTCAGTTTTTGTCCCCATACCATGGAATACTCTTTAACAGGATGTTTCCCTAGCTTTAGGCCTTGATGAGGAAGATAATAGCCTTGTAGGATAGAGCCAAAAGTCCAATAACCCAACAGCGAGCTTCCCATAGCAGCTAGTCAAATGCCCTCAAAAAGTTAGCAGTCATGGCTCCACATGGCTCTTGCTGTTTAGATCAGTTGCCCAACATCTGATATCCAGTGGCATGCTGTCCCTCTGATCTTGGGATTCGGTGTGGTCATCATTAAGGAGGGAAGGATCTGTCATTTTGGAGTCTCCTCGGTTTCCAATGTTCAGTCCTGTTCTCCATTTTCCCCTAGATATATATATTTTTTAATTCCCTTGAAAATCCTTCAGTATTTCACTGCAAATTTCTCCAAACAGGCACATTTTTTTTGTATGCAGTTTTAACTAACATACACATTGTTGCAAGAAACGCACACTCCAACAAATGCATTTTTGTATGTTATTTTCATAAATATATTCATTTTTATGTACACTTCCCCAAGCATACAGTTTTGTAAAGATCAGCTAGAGAACTGCATACCAAAGTATGGCTGTTTCGGTTCTCATATTGTTTCAGAAAGTGCAAACTTGAAAAATTCAGCTTCAAATGCGAACTAAATTCAATTTCTACCCCATTAATGTTGTATTTTAATTTTGTTTTTAAGTTGTAATCATCCAACTTGTTTTTATTATTGCTTGTAAGCCGCTCCCCTTGCCTGGGGAGGGCGGGGTATAAATAAAAATTATTATTATTATTATTATTATTATTATTATTATTATTATTATCTCTTGTCGTCACAGCTAATAACTATTGATTGATGCACCTGCCTCCATGAATGTGCCTGATCCCCCTTTGAAGCCATCTAAGAGGCCCATTACTGCATGTTAAGGTATCCTTGTGTTTTCCTGAGGGTATAACCGTCTTTGAAGTGCTGTTCTAGTGTGGTTTAAAGACAGAGACCCCAAAGAAGAGAGACCCTTGAAACTGATCATCAGTGGCACTTGGGCACCTGCTTGAGCCGACACAATGGTCCCCAGGGGACAACCTTCCCAATATGGTGAGAGGTGTTATTTTTCTACGTGAATTGTAGTAATTGCCGCATTTTCCGTGTATAAGACAGTATTTTTCCCTTAGAAAGAATAGTGAAAAATTGCAGGTCGTCTTATACACAGATAGCATAGTGGGGACGGGAGATTGGTGGCAGCAGCCAGCAGGAGATTGGCATCGGCGATTGGGCGTGTGAGTGGTTGCTGTGTCAAGGCCTGCGGCAGTGGCAAGGCATGCAAAGGTCTGTGTTTTCGTCGAGTGAGCAGGTAGGCTTTTGGCGGTGTGCGTACAGAGCGTACGATTTTCAGTGCAGGCTGTAGAGCGATTGGGCAATCTCTCCCCAAAGAAAGCTCCACAACTCTGGGCATCCCCTAATAATAATAATAATAATAATAATTTATTATTATTCATACCCCGCCCATCTGGCTGAGTTTCCCCAACCACTCTGGGTGGCTTCCAGTCAAGTGTTAAAAACAATACAGCATTAAATATTAAAAACTTCCCTAAACAGGGCTGCCTTCAGATGTCTTTTAAAGATAAGATAGCTGCTTATTTCCTTCACATCTGAAGGGAGGGCGTTCCACAGGGCGGGCGCCACTGCCGAGAAGGCCCTCTGTCTGGTTTCCTATAACTTCACTTCTCGCAATGAGAAGTGGCATTGGCGCTGGATCTCAGTGTCCAGGCTGAACGATGGGGGTGGAGACGCTTCTTCAGGTATACAGGAGCGAGGCCGTTTAGGGCTTTAAAGGTCAGCACCAACACTTTGAATTGTGCACTTTTGAAACGTACTGGGAGCCAATGCAGATCTCTCAGGACCGGTGTTATGTGGTCCCGGCGGTCACTCCCAGTCACCAGTCTAGCCGCCACATTCTGGATTAATTGCAATTTCCGGGTCACCTTCAATGGTAGCCCCACGTAGAGCGCATTGCAGTAGTCCAAGCGGGAGATAACTAGAGCATGCACCACTCTGGTGAGGCAGTCCACAGGCAGGTAGGGTCTTAGCCTGCGTACCAGGTGGAGCTGGTAGACAGCCACCCTAGACACAGAATTGACCTGCGCCTCCATGGACAGCTGTGAGTCCTTAATGACTCCCAGGCTCCACACCTGGTCCTTCAGGGGCACAGTTACCCCATTCAGGACCAGGGAGTCCCCCCCCGCCCCCCCAAAACAGTACTTCTGTCTTGTCAGGACTCAACCTCAATCTGTTTTTGTTGCGGTCCCCCAAAATAGGTGTCATCTTATATGCGTTATACATGTGTATAATACATGTATAATATATATATAATAATATAATAATATAATAATAATATAATATAATAATATAATAATAATATAATAATAATATAATATAATATAATATAATATAATATAATATAATATAATTAATATAATATAATATAATAGCTGCAGCTGTACATTGGCATGTGCACCTTTTATTCGTTCACTTTATTTAACAAAATTTGTACAGCGGCACCTCAGTTTTCAAACGCGCCTCGGAACTCGAACAGGAAACGCGGCTTCCATTTTGAGTTTTCCATACTGAGGCTAGCCTTTGGAGGCTTCCATTTTCGGTTTTTGAATGTTTCAGAACTCGAACAAACTTCCAGAATGGATTATGTTCAAAAAACGAAGTACCACTGTATATACCGCTTAACTGCAGGAGGGAACCCTAAACGGTTTACAAGAAATATAAAAATGATCAATAAAATAAAAGTTAAAAACAACTGGAAGCGTTTCCAAATAATTAAAACGAACATCAAAAAGAGATTAAAACACACCAGTATCTACATGTCTCAAAACAATGTTTTAAGCAGACATTGAAGGCTCCTGCTTGATGCCAATTTAGCCTCTTTTTATTAATTTTTTTTTGCAGGGAGTGATGCATACATATCTTGTGGCCGTGAATTTCTTAAATTCATACCTACTGCATGAGGTTAAAGTGTCTAAATTTTTCTTGGTTCTGCATCTAGGCGTTGGGAATTGGAAGCCTCCGTTTCCTGAGCAGACCAAGATCGAACCTGCCTCCACGCTCAGCCGTTGATTGCATTAGATAACATTGGCTTTGCTGCTTTCCATGGATGGTGCCTTGCTTCTTGGCTAATTAGATACTTGTGAAACAGCATAAAAATGTGGTAAATAAGCGAAATCTATTGAGTGAGGGTGGGGAGAGATACTGTACACAGACATTACGTTTCTGCTTCATTAGAGATTTCATGGCAATGTGATCCAGATAAATGGTCTGTGTGCACAGCTATATCTAAAGTAACGCTGCAGGCTATATTTATCCCTCGAAGTGCTAAATATAGTGGCAATTAGCCAAGCTCTCGATACCCTGCAACAGAGCACTCCCAAGCCAACCATCCACACTCGCTTTCCCCCAAGGAGCCACAACCAAAAGGCCCATCTGCTATGCAGTAGCCACGGGTGCCCAGAGGCACACGCAACCCCCAACTGAACTCAAGTTATGGGGCTTTGAGCTCATCCTGGGAGCCGCCAGCTTGGCTAATGTCCCAAGTTTGCCGGCCAGCTGCAGTTGCTCAGCAGGAAAAGGAAGCTTGTGCTTCACCTCCCCTGATACATTCCCCCCCCCCATTTACCGTATTTTTTGCTCTATAAGACTCACTTTTCCCCTCCTAAATAGTAAGGGGAAATGTGTGTGCGTCTTATGGAGCGAATGCAGGCTGCACAGCTATCCCAGAAGCCAGAACAGCAAGAGGGATTGCTGCTTTCACTGCGCAGCGATCCCTCTTGCTGTTCTGGCTTCTGAGATTCAGAATTTTTTTCTTCTTGTTTTCCTCCTCCAAAAACTAGGTGCGTCTTGTGGTCTGGTGCGTCTTATAGAGCAAAAAATACGGTAGATGTTTTATTCCGTTAAAAAAAAAATGCCACTTGATTGCAAAACAGCGACAACCAGCTCTCAGACCAGTTTACCAAAACAATGACATTATCAGTAATGCCAGTTGAAAACAAGTATTTCTAAACGTTCCAGAATAATACTTAAAATCAACAATAAGCTTAAAAACCAGATTAAAACGCCTCTCAATGTTCCACATGTCTGGATAGGCTTGCAAAAAAAAAAAGAAGATTTTAGCAGGTGCCGGAATGAGTACAGTGAAGGCAGGTGTCAACAGGCAGGGAGTTCAAAGTGTAGATGCTGCCCCACTGAAAGATCAGTTTCTTGCAAATGCTGAATGGGTATTAATGTGGCACCTGTAATACCACCAGTTCTGCATATTGAAGCAATCAAGTGGGCATATTTGGAGCAAGGTGGTCTTATAAGTAAAGGTAAAGGGACCCCTGACCATTAGGTCCAGTCGTGGCCGACTCTGGGGTTGCTGCGCTCATCTCGCTTTATTGGCCGAGGGAGCCGGCATACAGCTTCCGGGTCATGTGGCCAGCATGACTAAGCCGCTTCTGGCGAATCAGAGCAGCACATGGAAACGCCGTTTACCTTTCCGCCGGAGCAGTACCTATTCATCTACTTGCACTTTGACTTTGCTTTCGAACTGCTAGGTTGGCAGGAGCAGAGACCGAACAACGGGAGCTCACCCCGTTGCGGGGATCCAACCTTCCGATCGGCAAGTCCTAGGGTCTGTGGGTTAACCCACAGTTTGCTCTCTCTGTATCTAGAGCTTCTGGGGCTGAGTGTCCTCCCCCACATAAGAGCAGCAGTAGTAGCTCATTTGTCAGATTCTTAATCTCAGAGTCACGGGTTCAAGTCCCGCGTTGGGCAAAATATTCCAGAATTTGGGGTGGGGGGGCAGAGTTGGACTAGATGACACTCATGGTCCTTTCCAGATTCAATGATCCTGTGAAACCTGCCTCAGACCCACCTGGTTGGAGCATCAGAAGCTGCATTATGTGAAGTCAAGGGCCTTGGTCTAGCAGGCTCAGTGGAGGCTGGTGTCCATTGGGGCTGGCGTTGCAGAAAGGAAGGGAGACCAACAGTAGGTGGTGCTAGAGCCCACGAGAGGAGGAGACAACTCATTCTAGCTTTGGCCCTGACCATCCTGTTCCTCAATGAGCTCTAGAAAGTCAACACTGAGACGGAGGTTGAGGTTGACGGTGCCTGCCCCCTGCCAGACTGGTTTCAGGTAGGCTGGTGGGGGGCTGGCTGAGAACAGACAGGTTGGTCTGGCAGTGCCCCAGAAGCTCTAATGGGCTAGCCTCCACTGCAACCAACATTGTTCACACCAGGGATCAGTGCACCCTGGACATTCTATCTATCCTGTACGTTTCCAAGTACAATTCAAAGTGTTGGTGCTGAGCTTTAAAGCCCTAAACGGCCTCGGTCCAGTATATCTGAAGGAGCGTCTCCACCCCCCATCATTCTGCCAGGACACTGAGGTCCAGCGCCGAGGGCCTTCTGGCGGTTCCCCCACTGCAAGAAGCCAAGTTACAGGGAACCAGGCAGAGGGCCTTCTCGGTAGTGGCACCCGCTCTGTGGAACGCCCTCCCTTCAGATGTCAAAGAGAACAACAGCTACCAGACTTTTAGAAGACATCTGAAGGCAGCCCTGTTTAGGGAAGCTTTTAATGTTCGATGCATTAGTGTATTTTAATATTTTGTTGGAAGCCGCCCAGAGTGGCTGGGGCAGCCCAGCCGGATGGGCAGGGTATTATTATTATTATTATTATTATTATTATTATTATTAAGATTCTCGCCTGGGCACACCCCCTTCCCAGGCCACACCCCTTCCCCCAGCCCTGCTTCCCATCCACCCTGCGTGCTTCTGCCTGGAATGTGGGAATGTGCCCTTCAGCTGTGATAATGCGCCTTGCTTCTCTGGACAGAAAGGTGGGTGCAGAAACCCTCGACTTTGAATGTAGGTGTACAGCAGCTTCATGTACAAATGGAAGAATAGAACCTGCTGATCCACCATTTCTGTCTATGATCCCACCCACCTGGAAGGTTCCCCTGTTAGGGAATGCGGCTGAAAAAGGTTCCCCATCCCACTCTACACTGGGTGGCAGCAGCACCCCACAAGGTTTCTGGCAGGACCAGGAGTCTTGCCCACCCCTAGCCAGAGAGATGCCTGGATCAAACCAGAGACCATCTAAATGCAAAGCAAATGATGTACCCCTGAGCCATGGCCCCTTCCCTAGTCAGAAGCCGCCTTAGACTAAGACAGACCATTGGTCCGTTCAGTTCAACATCCCTTACACACTAAAGCTATATCCACACCATACATTATAACACTTTAAACCAGTGGTCCTCAAACTTTTTTATAGAATAAAAATGTGCTCGCACGCCGTTTTTTTTTTTTTTTATTGATAAGAAATACATTGGCAAGCAAAAATGAAACAAGGAGCAGCGCTTGGTTTATAACACAGAACACAACTGCTCTATATCCAGAAAGTATAAAGCAATACTGCAAAAACACGAACGTGAATCGTTCCCAAAATATAAACAAATCTTCTTCAGCACCGTGTTTGAATAGCGACTCTGGATCACAGCTAGGATTGTTCTCAGTGTCGCTTGATGCTTTTCCTCTCATTTCAAAAAGATATCTATCCATATTCTGCAAATAAAATTATTTTTATCCTATCCTACACTGAAACGTTTAAATGTTTCTTTGGTTATCCACCACACTTACCATCCTCACCCTTTCGAGGATCACTGCTTTCAACCGTCACGGCTTTCCCCAAAGAATTCTGGGAGCTGTAGTTTGTTAAGGGTACTGAAAGTTGCTGGGAGACCCCATTCCCCTCGCAGAGCTACAAGTCACAGAGTTCCCGGTGAAGGGGAATCGACTGTTAATCCAACGTGAGAGTTGTAACTTTGCCAGGGGAAAAGGGACCTCCTAGCAACTCTCAAACTACAGCTCCCAAGATTCTCTGGAGGAAGCCATGTGGTGTGATACTGCTTTAAACCTATGGTGTGAACATGACCTAAGTAGCAGTAACTGTCAAGGCTGGATTTAGGTTTGATGAGGCCCTAAGCTACTGAAGGTAATGGGGCCCTTTATATGTCCAGCTGTCCTTTGACAACAACAAATTGTCGCTGTTTTTTGTGTTGAATATCTGCTATATAGTATTTTATGGACCTAATAGGTAACTAAAGCCATTTGCACATAACAAAATATGTATTTTATCAAAGTAATTGTTGAACTGAAATACAATTAAGAAGTATATTAATAGTGAAATAATTATTAAGCCCTAACTGTATGTATGTATGGGATGCGGGTAGTGCTGTGGGTTAAACCACAGAGCCTAGGACTTGCCGATCGGAAGGTTGGTGGTTCGAATCCCTGCGATTGGGTGAGCTCCCATTGCTCGGTCCCTGCTCCTGCCAACCTAGCAGTTCGAAAGCACATCAAAGTGCAAGTAGATAAATAGGTACCGCTCCGGCGGGAAGGTAAACGGCGTTTCCGTGCGCTGCTCTGGTTCGCCAGGAGCAGCTTAGTCATGCTGCCCACATGACCCGGAGGCTGTACGCCAGCTCCCTTGGCCAATAAAGTGAGATGAGCGCCGCAACCCCAGAGTCGGTCACGACTGGACCTAATAGTCAGGGGTCCCTTTACCTTATGTAGGTTTTATTTTATATGTTTTTGATCTTATATTTTGGAAATGTACATCCAGTTTTTCCCCCCTTTAAATTTTTTGGGGGCCCCCAGGAGAGTGGGGCCCTAAGTTATAGCTTGTTTAGCTTATACATAAATCCAGAACTGGTAACTGTCCAGGGTTTCAGTCTTTTCCTGCCTAGCTGGGGATGCTGGGGATTGAACCTAGGACCTTTTTGCATGCAAAGCAGATGCTCAGCCACTGAACTGCAGCCCAGGCTGTAACCCAGGGGTCAGCAAACTTTTTCAGCAGGGGGCCGGTCCACTATCCCTCAGACCTTGTGTGGGGCTGGATTATATTTTGAAAAAATAATAATAATGAACCTATTCCTATGCCCCACAAATAATCCAGAGGTGCATTTTAAATAAAAGTACACATTCTACTAATATAAAAACACGCTGATTCCTGGACTGTCCGCAGGCCGGATTTAGAAGGCGATTGGGCCAGATCCCGCCCCCGGGCCTTAGTTTGCCTACCCCTGCTCCAACAGGACGAAGGAGATCGAAGCTTCCAGGTAGAAATGATCTCTCTCCCTCTCCCACCTCAGCTCTCTCGCAGAGAATATCCCCGCACAAACTGGTTGCCGCTGAGGTCCTGCAGCCCCTCCCTCCTTCTCCTATGCCTGATTAGCACTTCTTTTGTCAGGGCCTGCCAGGCTATATCCTGTCTTCCTCCTCCCATGCTGAGCTAACTCCATGGGAGTTCTGCGCTAGGGGATCAATGGCAGGATGTAAAAAACCTGGAAGTTAGCAAAGCGGGCTTCCTGCTGGGAGACAGCCAATAAAAAATGGCTGCCTGCCTGCGTCTGTAGGTGCTCTGTGCGTGCGAGGCAAAGTGCGTAAGAGACACGCAGGCACAGAGAAGAACTTAGGCCTGGTGTCTCAATGTTCTTTCCTGACACAGCTTGTGGGCCAAACTTGCCCACGAAACCCACCTTTCATGGAATCAATTTGTCCCGATGGCCCACAACCGAGCGGCTTATATTTGGATGTGATTTTCCACATCCATTCTCCCACAAAGAAAAATCTGAGAGACAGTCCTGTTTTTTAAAGGGGGGGAACCCAAACATCCCATCCATTCAAACAGGCCTCAGATAATTAAGAGTCAAAGAAATAGGTTTTGCCTGGGGCTTAAAGCTATGTTATGGTGGAACCAGGAAAGCCTTCCCAGAGAGGGCATTCCACTAGCGAGGAGCCACCACTGAAAAGCCCTGTTCTCATGTTGCCATGACGATCACGAGGTCCAGGCCAGTTCGTATGCAGAGAGGCATTCTTTGGTGTATTGGGATCCTGACCTGCATAAGCCTTTATAAGTAGTTCATATTACTTCAGCAGTCATGGTTTACCCTGGAGTCCTGGGACCTGCAGTTTACTTCTTAACAGTGCTACAGTTCCCAGCACCCTTAAACTACAGTTCCCAGGATACTTGGGGAAGTCGTGTGCTTTAAAAGTGCTTCAAACGTATGGCTGAACAAAAGCACTCCTGGTCCGTGGGAATACTTTGAAGCATTCTGTTGTGGATCCCACTAGTAAACATGTTTTCCTGTAATTAGAAGGGATCCTTTTAATCAGTGCAGAATGCAGCTACTAAACCCTAAATGGTGTTATGTAACCGATTGCAATGCTTAAATGGCTTCTGTCCAAGCAAAAAGGTTTTTCAGTTCAGTTTCCTTGTCTTTGTGCTCTCTTAAGCCAGACGCTTGTGGCTGAGTCTTTTTTTTCTTGTCTGCCGTTCTGATGGTTGAGTTTCGAAGGTCACATCCAGCACACCCACCCACACCCACACCGATGTAATCCTAGAAGCTGGATCTACAGGGGTATTATCATAATTTTCTATGCTTCCCCAAGTGGTAGCAGATGCATTAATGACATTCAGAAGTGACCCGTTGAAGACTAAATGGGGCTCAGAGCATCACTTGTAAAAACATCCAGAGACTCGCCTGCCGACAGAGTTCACTCCCGCACCCCAGGCATGAGGCCAGATCAATCGATGCAAACGGGAAGGAGTTTGGCAGCCTCCTTGATTTCTAGGAATGAGAAACCAACACCGCCAGCCTGAAGTGAAAGCTAGGCTGTAACTACACCAGCTCCCAGGGAGATTGCTCGACAAAAGCGATCCGGGAAGCAGGTTTAGCTCTGCAAGCTTCTGCATTCACAAGAGAATCGTAGGATTGAATGAAAGCAAACTTTAAAATTACGTTATTATCTGGGTGACATGCAAGATGCTTTTCTTATTATCATTCCTGCTGCGGCTGAGCTTGCAGGAATAAATTCTCCATTGATTGGCACCATGTGGCCGTCAAGCCAGTGTGCTGCAGTGGTTAGAGGGTCAGATTCGAATCTGGGAGGCCAGGGTTTAAATTGCCATGAAGTTAAGTAGCTGACCCTGGACCAGTCACTGCCTCTCAGCCTAATCTACCTTGCAAGGTTGTTGTGGGCATTAAACAAGGAGGAGAACTATATGTTGGTGCTGACCTTTAAAGCCCTAAACGGCCTCAGCCCAGTATACCTGAAGGAGCGTCTCCACCCCCACCGTTCAGCCCGGACACTGAGGTCCAGCTCCGAGGGCCTTCTGGCCGTTCCCTTACTGCAAGAAGCAAAGTTACAGGGAACCAGGCAGAGGGCCTTCTCGGTAGTTGCACCCGCCCTGTGGAATGCCCTCCCACCAGATGTCAAGGAGATAACTTCTAGAAGACATCTGAAGGCAGCCGTGCAGGAAGGGGGGGAGCAAATGCAGAAGGGGGCACTGATACAATCTATGTGACCTTCTCAAAAGCATTATCTTCAAAACAACGATTCTTGCATGGAATATCTGCAGTGCTTGTGAGAACGACAGCCTAGGGAGGAGAAACAATTGGGCCTTCTGAGTCTGGTGAGGCAGATGTTACAGGAAAATAAGGGCAGAACAACAGGATCCTGACCTTCAAGGGAGCCCCTGAGTCCAGTCTGAATGACGCAAGGGCAGGAGATCTGGAGGGCCTAGTAGCTGCAGACCAAGAGGCAATGGGGGAAGTGCCTTTAGGTTCAAGAGTGTGGTGTAGTGGTTAGAACATTAGACCTCTCACAGCACTATTAACAAGTGGCACTTCCAGGAATCTTTGGGGGAAGCCATGACTGTTTAAAGCCGTATGCTCATCTCCTCATCGTGGTGAGTGGGCTTGCATATTCCTATGCCCCTTGTGAGCAAAGCCGTTGGGAGTATCGTGCTCCCAGCAGGGTCACCCAAGGCGGTAAGGTCAAAGGGGAGGAGCCTGACCAAGAACGGTCCAAGACGTCCTCAACAGCAGAACAGGCGGAAGATAATAAGTGGCGTGTCACAATGGCTGCGAAGGCGGGTGAAGGCTGCAGCAGATAAGAATATACCGATCGTCGTGATACTCATGCCATTGAGATAGAGTCTTACTGTGGACACTGTGCATTGGTCAGCGTGCACTGATTGACACAGAAATTCATGCGCAGGAATCTTCCAAAAACCCATGCCAAACTGACTCACTGTTAAGACCGTGTTCATGGAAGACAATCTTACTCGGCTACGAGTGATCGCCAAAGAAAGAAGAAGCAGCTGTAGATGGGAGCCGTGTTTTAGGCTGGCTTTACTGAGAATTGTGTGCCTAATTACCACTACTGTTCTGTAGACTGACAACCCTGAGTGCGCTTTCATAGAGCCTTTCTATTTTTACTGGAGGTACCACATATCTGTATAGTTAAAGCTATGGATTTCCCAGTAGTGATGTATGGAAGCGAGAGCTGGACCATGAAGAAGGCTGTTCGCCGAAGAATTGATGCTTTTGAATTATGGTGCTGGAGGAGACTCTTGAGAGTTCCATGGACTGCAAGAAGATCAAACCTATCCATTCTGAAGGAAATCAGCCCTGAGTGCTCACTAGAAGGACAGATCCTGAAGCTGAGGCTCCAATACTTTGGCCACTTCATGAGAAGAGAAGATTCCCTGGAAAAGACCCTGATTTTGGGAAAGATGGAGGGTGCAAGGAGGAGGCGACGACAGAGGACGAGATGGTTGGACAGAGTTCTCGAAGCTACCAGCATAAGTTTGACCAAACTGCGGGAGGGAGTGGAAGACAGGAGTGCTTGGCGTGCTCTGGTCCAGGGGGTCACGAAGAGTCGGACACGACTAAACAGCAACAACAACAACACAGATTGAACTGGGAACCTTCTGCATGCAAAGTACAGAAACATGAGACGGGCTTGATGGATCAGGCCAGCAGCCCGTCTGGTCCAGCATCCTGGCCTCACATTGGCCAACCAGATGCCTGCAGAAAACCTGTAAGCAGGACCTGAATGCAAGAGCTATTAGACCGAATAGCAGGACCTGTTGATGACATTTTACCATTGCACTGTGGAGAGTGTATTAACTTATGGTCTGTGCTTGCGGTTTGGGAGCTGCACGGCCAGGGGAAAAACAATGCTGTCCAGAGTTGTAAAGCCTGCGGAGAGAATAATTGGGTGCACTCTTCCCACTTTGGATCAAATCTATGCTTCCAGGTGCCATAAGAAAGCTGCAGAGATAGTGCAGGATAGTGCGCACCCCGGAAATGATCTTTCAGCTTCTGCCTTCTGAAAGAAGGTACAGGGTTATAAAGACTAGGACTAGCCGCCTGAGAAACCCGTTTCTACCCAAATGCAATTTTGGTTAACGCAGTGTAAGGAGTCTCTATGGGAGTATATTGTATTTAAAAATGGGGTACCAAAGTTTTTAGGGGGCTAACCAGGTTGGGATAGCTGGGATAGCAGGCTTGTTGGGTTTTGAATATTTTATGTAGATTTTCAATTTCGTTGTTCTGTATGGGACAATGACAATAAAGATTATCATATTGTATCATATCGTATCGTATTGTAGTGCTCCAGGAACTGGTATTGAGGAGTGACGAGACAGAGCATAGCCGTCACGGCAAGTAGCCATTGATGACCCCCCTTCTCCATGGGCTCTTTGTTTCTGGGAACAGCTCAGAAGTGCTGGTTTTGAGCTTCGAAGCCTTATGCAACTCACGACCACTCTAACCGAAAACCCACTATTTCCTTGTATGAATCTGCCGAAAGCCTGCAATCATCTGAGGCTCTTCTCTCCGCACCACCTCCAACAGAGGTCTGGAGGATAACCACGAGACATTCCCTGTACTGTTGCTGTTGTTGTTTAGTCGTGTCCGACTCTTTATGCCCCCCTGGACCAGAGCACGCCAGGCACTCCTGTCTTCCACTGCCTCCCGCAGTTTGGTCAAACTCATGCTGGTAGCTTCAAGAACACTGTCCAACCATCTCGTCCTCTGTCGTCCCCTTCTCCTTGTGCCCTCCATCTTTCCCAACATCAGAGTCTTTTCCAGGGAGTCTTCTCTTCTCATGAGGAGGCCAAAGTATTGGAGCCTCAGCTTCAGGATCTGTCCTTCTAGTGAGCACTCAGGGCTGATTTCCTTCAGAATGCAGTCCGTGGGACTCTCAAGAGTCTCCTCCAGCACCATAATTCAAAAGCATCAATTCTTCGGCAATCGTGGACAAAGACAACAGGCATTCCCTGTACTAGCCTTCCTCTCTTGATGGAATACTCTCCCCAGAGAGGCTCACCTGGCTCCAACCTTGCTAGAAGATTAGACAATCCATGGAATTTAAACCTATCAAGGAGTACTAGCCATACTGACTATGTTCTACTCCCAATTTCGGAGTCAGTTTGCTACTGAATGCCCATTGCTGGAAACAGCAAGAGGGAAGAGTGCTGTTGCCCTCAGCTCCTGCTAGCCAGCCTCACAAAGTCATTTAGGTAGCCACTGCGAGAACAGGACACTGGTCTAGATAGGACATGGGCTTGATCCAGCAGGCTTTCCTTGCGTTAGCATAGTTTCTGCGGCAATTCAGCCACCCTCTCCAGTGGCCTGCATTCCTCAGTGGTCCAGCTATCTGTCTCCACGTCTCACTGGAGATGTTGTGAATGGAGCAAAATATTCTCTGAGTGCTGTCTGTGCTGAGTTTTAAAAAATGCCCTCCGTATTTCCAAATGCTAGAGCAATGTTAGGTATGCTATCCCAACCCTTTTATGGTGTCTCATTCTTAAGTGAGGATGAGTGACTCCTATCAATCTCAGTTTCCTCCCAATTTTTCTTTTCCCCCAGTCTTAAGTTCGGCTAGACGCATTTCAATAATAAAAAAAGGGTCCTCGCTGAAAATTAAACAGCATTTTCCTGCAAATTGCTCCTAATATAGATGTTTCTGTAAAGCAATTCCCCCAATTTTGAATGTTATTTTCACAAATATCTGCATTTCTGCGCACCTTTTACCCTAGAGCACACATTGCTGGGCTGGAGAACTGAATTCAGTGTGGAATTTCACAGGAGGGGCTGCGTTTCAGTCTGCGCACTGTTCCAGAAAGTGCTAGTTCTGGTGGGTTCACCTTTAAAGGCAAACTGAATCAAATTTATCCCCCCGTCCTTATTGTCAAAGACAACACAGCAAGCAGGTTGTTCTGAATCACCTCCAAGACTGGCTCTCTAAAAAATCTGGACCACTGAATCCTCATCAGCTTTGTGGGGGTTTTGGTTAATTTGCACAAAAGCCACCAACCCCCCCCTAAAAAAAAGTTATTGGGTTCCCCAGCGCTGCAGATCCTTCAGCCTGCTCATCTTTCCCAGAAAGCAACTGCGATTGAACTGTGTCCGACGTAACAGATACATCCACACATGCCCATTCCACTTTCCCTTTCTTCCCTGATTTCCTCCCCCCAACCCCAACCCCACTGATCCTCTGATTCACCTGAAACACCCAGCATTGATCGCAAAGCACTTTTTGACTTCTCAACTATTTATGAAGATCGCTTTGCGACATGCATCCCAAAAATGAAATAAAAACCGCGCCGTCCTTTTAACGCCATAAGGGCTGGTCTGGGTGGGGTCAGGGGGAGTGGAGCTTTTAATTGTGGGTTTAGGAGTGGGGGGAAAAAAACCCTCCTCCTCTTTCTCCCCAGAGTGTGAGAGGGGCTCAGCGACCCACCAAAGTGGAAGTAATCGCTCTTTCTCTCTTCCTCCTCCCCTCCTTACATTTGTCCTTTCCTGTTTCATTCAGGGATTGACAAACAGTTAAAGGGCATCAGCCCCCCCTCTCTTTGCCCCCCACCCTTTTCACCTCCCCTTCCCCCTTGATTGACTGGGGACCTCCTGGGACACCGGGAGGAAAGAGGCCTCGGGGTCGTGACCCCCAGCTTCTTCAAAGGCCCTGCCGCTGCCAGCAGCTGTCGCGGCTCCCACTGCCCAGAGCCACAGAAGGTTAGCAAAGAAAAATAAAAGCGGCGAGGCCTAGGCGGCTCTCGATCTCGCTCCCTCGCACACACCAGACCCAGCTCGTTCCAGCCGGAGCTGACACATGGGGAAGCCCAGGTCTCTCCGGCAAGGAAAATGGAAAGGGGGAGGGGGGAATGTGCGGAGAAAGGAGCTTCCTGGGAAGGCGGAGAAAGCAAAACGGGCGCCCACCCAGCCCCACGTTGCTCCAGCGGCCATTTTGTCAATGGCCACCTCTTCCTGCAGCATCTCTCTACCGCTTCTCCTTCTGCCACATGCGGGTATCGTTAACAGGAGGGACACGCAGAGAGGAAAAAGTGCTGCTTTCACGTTTTTCGTAGGGATGAGCAAACGGGACAATCCGAGTTTTGCTTTCTCTCAGTTTCTCCCATAATTTCAAGTGCTGGGGGGGGGGGATTTACTTTGGACATGTGGATCTAAATGATGCGAATCATTTCTTTTCGATGATAGGCGATAGAAAACGAAGGCTGTAAACGGAAAATCAGTACTACGCATTAAAAGAGATCAAATATTTACGTTAAATCAAAGGTTCTACATCCTGTGCGTAAGATACTTGCATTTTGAATAAATCCTGAAATACTGTTTGTAGGAAGAGGGTGGGGAGTAATCTATGTTCCCATTTATATTTACTTTTCTAATACAGCTTGGTATGAAAATTATATATATATATATTTCAGTTCTCCACATTTTGTTATCCATTTGCAGGGTTTTTTCCCTTTAAAAAATGTCCTCCTGAAAATTAACCAGCATTTGAGCAGGGATTTCTCCTGATAAGACATATTTTTATATGACAACTTGCCTTAGATACACTTCGTTTTTGCAACATGATTTCCCCTAATATATTTTTGCCCTTTTCACCAATATATGCATTTTTATGCACACTTTACCCTTCCATATGCGGGGTTTTTTCACATTATGTGGATGGAGAAGTGCACTGCAAAATTCAGAGAAGTGGAAATTTGAAAGGATGGCTGCGTTTCGGTTCACACATTGTTTTGGGAGCGTGAATTGACAGCATTTGGAATTTGGATGCATTGACAGAAGTTGGACTTAACTCTGAGTCCCTGCTTGGAGGAGCACGATTAACACCCCAGATGAAATCACAGTGAGACACTGTGCTTCGGAAAATAAGGAAGTTAAGTTTATTAAGGAAAATACATTCTTGATAGGAAAGTTCCTTGTTCCAGATAACACAGGTGGAGACACAAAGAGCCCTGCTTGGTCTTCATTCTTAGTGGGAGAGAGAGAGAGACAAAAGGGAATACAGTGGTGCCTCGGGTTAAGTACTTAATTCGTTTCGGAGGTCCGTTCTTAACCTGAAACTGTTCTTAACCTGAAGCACCACTTTAGCTAATGGGGCCGCACCGCCAGAGCACAATTTCTGTTCTCATCCTGAAGCAAAGTTCTTAACCCGAGGTCCTATTTCTGGGTTAGCAGAGTCTGTAACCTGAAGCATATGTAACCTGAAGCGTATGTAACCCAAGGTACCACTGTATGTTTCCTCCCTCAAGGAGGGACAAAGAAGAAGGGAGGAACAGGAAATGAGGTCAACAACCATACTCTTATCAGTCTAGCCTCAGGTCAGCATTTGTTAGGTCAGAAAGGCTCATTTCTCAACACAGTTGTACTTTGGAAGTCGAACTGAATCCATTCTGGAAGTCTGTTCGACTTCCAAAACGTTCGGAAACCAAAGCGCAGCTTCTGATTGGCTGCAGGAAGCTCCTGCAGCCAATCAGAATGAGTGGAAGCCCCATTGGACATTTGGGTCCCAAAGAACATTCACAAACTGAATGTTTGGGATCCAAGGTATGACTACATATACTTTATCCCCATGCAAACCCACCAGCTGTCAATACAAACTGAGTTTCACTCCAGCATTTCCAACACCCCTTCTTAATCAAGCTTGCTTCCGTTCACGAGATCCATCTTGTCTCTCAATTTCTGGTGTTGGACCTTGCCCAAAGCTTTGGTCAACGAGTCAGCAGCCATCTCTTTCACTTCTAGAAGCTCCTTGTCCTGTGTATCTCTTTAGGACGTGGAACTTCATGTTGTTGCGCATCATGCTTGAATTCATTCCCTCTGTTTTTGCGAATTGTACGCAAGCTTGATTGCCTTCAAGCATCCCGATAGGCTCCAACTCAGGTATGCCTAAGTCTTGTAGACATCTGTATAGCCATCTCATCTAACAACATGCCTCAGCAAAAGAAACACACTCCACTTCTGTGGAAGACAGTGCCTGTTGCTTGCTTGTGGCCTGCCCAGCAGATAACTGACCCTCCTTAACGAAAACAGGTTTCCACTGGTTGACTTGTGATCTACAACGTATCTGACCCAAACAGCACCTGCGTATTCCAGAAGCTTGAGATCTGCAGTAGCCGATACTTGAAAGGCACTGTGAACCTAAAGCTATCCTGCCACTCTTTTACCTGCTTCTCATTCTTTCTTGGTTGGTGGGCTGGTTTTCCTGCAATGGTATTACATTTCTACTGCTGTCATCTTCTCCATACTTTGGAGAGTATCCTTCAGCAACTAGTCTTGCCTTGTACCTCTGAATCTTGCCTTCAGTGTCAAGCTTCTTCTTGAAGATCCACGAGGCATCTTAGCGTTCCTCCTTGCGGTAACTCACATCAGTACCCAGGTCTTGTACTTCTGAAGCACATTCAACTTACCTTTGGGTGCCTTCTTCCACTTGTCAGCCTCTACTTTGGGTAGGGTTTCAACTTCTTCCCCTAGTGTTGGCTCAGGAATAATCTCTTAAAAGGTTGGGCAGTCTCACTTCTGTTTGCACCAGCATTAGAAACAGATATGAAAGCTTGGAGCTGAATGTCACCTTAAACCTAAACCTAAGTTATGGGTACAGTGGTACCTCGGGTTACAGATGCTTCAGGTTACAGACACTTCAGGGTTACAGACTCCGCTAACCCAGAAAATAGTACCTCGGGTTAAGAACTTTGCTTCAGGATGAGAACAGAAATCGTGCGGTGGCGGCACGGCAACAGCGGGAGGCCCCATTAGCTAAAGTGATACCTCAGGTTAGGAACCGTTTCAGGTTAAGAACAGACCTCCAGAACGAATTAAGTTTTTAACCCGGGGTACCACTGTACAACAAAATGTCTAGGCACACTTTTTTTATAACGAGAATACGAAGCTGAAAATGAATGAACTGCAGCTAAAATATTATGTTTATTTTTTCACATGGTCTAGTCCTTCTCTTGCCCACCCCCTAATATTCCGGTCCACTGTCCCTAAGACCTTGTGGCGGGCTGCAGAAGCGGCACCGGGGGGCGGAGCTGGAAGAAGAGGCGAGGGGGCAAGTAGTCCTCCCCACCTCCAGCCGCTGTGCTTACCTTCCCTGGGGCTGCCACCACCATCACCGCTGCTTCTTCTCGTGGGTAGGCAGAGTGAGCTTGCCCGCTCCACTCTGTGGCCCACAGGAGCAACAGGGCGGTGGCGGCGGAGGGAAGATGAGTGGCACAAATGGGCTGGTTCTGGAGAGGGGCTGCTTAAAATGACGCTCAGCCAGCTCAGCCCAGCCCCCTTCCTCCTCTAGGCAGGGTGGGGAGAAGCCAGGAGAAGGGAGGGAGGAGGCACCGCCACAGTGTGTGTGTGGGGGGGGGAATGGAATGGCGCAGGGGGGAATGGTGCAGCCTAAACGAACAGAATCCCCACGCCGATCCACAGACAGTCCACAGGCTGGATCCTGAAGGCAATTGGGCCTGATCCGGCCCGCGGACCTTAGTTTGCCGATCCCTGCTCAAGAGAGTCTCTTCTGCAGTCTTCAGAGACTAGCTGGAAGTGGGGAGGCAGAAAAAGGTTCTCCTTTCCTTCCATTCCGCAGTTTTAATCTGGAATCTTAGGCGCAGTACTGCGCCCAGAGCTTAGAAACTGCTCAAGCTAATGAAATTCCCTGTTGGAACAATGGGAGTTTCGAACACTGGTTTTCACAGTCTGAGCATATGGGTGTGGGCTCCATTGCCCCTTCTGGCTGTGTGGCTTCATCTGTTCCTGCACTCCCCTCTTGCTCAAATTTCTCACTCTCTGGGGAGTATCCCACCAACGTTTCTAACTGTGTTGTATTGTCCAGTTTGGACCTCTTCTGGTCTGGCATGTGGATGTTGTAGACCATTGACCCAAAGACTCTAAGATGAGCTATACTGATTATGTGCTCACACAATAAAGTTCATATGGCGCCTTGTCTGTCATTCCCATCAGTAGACGGTTCTATAGTTAGGTGTTACTCTGCTCATCCCTAACATCTTGTGGGTCCTCCAGTGCATCCCCACAGCAGACAACTCATCATTTCCAGCAATGTGCAGTTCCTGTGTTCCGCAACACCATTCTGCTGTCGGTTTGCAAGGCGCTGTGATCTGGCTCCTTGTTTAGGCAGGAACTGCTGTGTTACTCCAGACACCTCCTATTGTCTGAACGTAGCATCTGTGGCTTTCTTTGGAATTTGTTGCTCCCTATAGCCACATACTGCTTCAGCTTTTCAAGCCCTTGGCTTTTCCCTCTCAGTAGATACATCACAGGATGTACCTTGAGTAATAATCGATAAAGATGAAACAGGGTGTGCTGCCTTGGCCTTAAGTCTTATTCTGAGCTTCCCTATCTATCATCTGTTGCTGCCATTTAAAAACTGTGCTCTCAAGGAGGAAATGATTTGATTCCAAACTTTTATCCTGTTGCTCATTAAATACAAACCAAAGTTTTGAAAGGATCGTGGCACTGAGCTCAGAAAACCAGCAAGCTTTCCATCTTCGTTTAACTACAGTCATACCTCTTGTTACGTTTGCTTCAGGTTAACTCTTTTCAGGTTGCGTCCCGCGGCGACCCGGAAGTACCGGAAAGGGTTACTTCCGGGTTTCGCCGCTCGCGCATGCGCAGACGCTCAAAATGACGTCACTCGCAGAAGCAGCAAATCGCGACCTGCAGACACAGGTTACGTTCTGCTCATGTTGCGAAAGGGACTCTGGAACGGATCCCATTCACAACCAGAGGTACTACTGTACTGGTCTTCCTTGTTTAGAACTTTGGAGCAGTTCTAGATAGTCTCCTTTCGATTTAAGGTTCAAGGAGACTATGCTACAGAAGCATTACAGTGGTACCTCAGGTTAAGTACTTAATTCATTCCAGAGCTCCGTACTTAACCTGAAACTGTTCTTAACCTGAAGCACCACTTTAGCTAATGGGGCCTCCCGCTGCCGCCGCACCGCTGGAGCACGATTTCTGTTCTCATCCTGAAGCAAAGTTCTTAACCTGAAGCACTATTTCTGGGTTAGTGGAGTCTGTAACCTGAAGCATATGTAACTTGAGGTACCACTGTACTTGACTTCTGTCTGTTTCCTTGTACGCTATTTTTAGATTCCCTCCCCCACCTGTTTAGCTGACTCAGAAAGTTACAAGAACCTAAGAAGAACATGGTGGATCAGGTCAATGGCCCCACTAGTCCAGGATCCTGATCACACAGTGGCACAACAGATGCCTTTGGGAAGCACATAAGCAGGACATGAGCGCCAGAGAACCTTCTCCTCCTGTTCCCAGCAATCTCCCCCAATTGTGGAGGCAGAGCATAGCCAACACGGCTGGTGGTTATTGATCGTCTCCTCTACGAATTTGTCCAAACTCTCACAAAAGGAACTTGTGAATCACTCACCGAAGACACAATCAGGTCTCTCGCTTTCTGATCAGCTTCCCTCCAGACATTCCAGCCTGCCAGATCCTCGTCTCCCATAGAACAGTCCTCTGTAATTACTTCAAAGGGCAGCTCTTGTCCCATCCGAGTTTCCATCTGAACGTACCATATCGAGTAATTTCCTTTTGTTAACTGGGTTATCAGCTGCTTCAATTCAGCCATTTCCCCGCTCTTCCTTATCTCTCTCTCTCTCTCAAAAGCATAGTCTCTGGCTTCTTTTGAGAAGGTGCTCCACATTCCAGATTCAGACTGTCAGCTTTGTATTTTGGGCTAACGTAACCTGGACGGCGTTTGGAGTTTAAATGTACCAACAGGATTTGAACTTAACTTTGAATCACTGCTCTCGGAGGGGCATACTTTACTCTTGGATGTAATCACACCGACACGCGAAGTTTGGGAAGATAAGAAAGCTAAGTTTATTAAAGGAAGTGCATTGTTCATAGGAAAGTTCCTAATTGGAGGGCTCAGTCTTTGTTTTCAGAATGAGAGGCAAAGAGAAGATGACTTCTCTCCTAAGGTGGGATGGAGGAAAGAGGAGCAGGAAATGAAGATAGCAACCCTTAAGAGTTATCAGTCCAGCATCGGAAGGAAGGTCAGCATGGTTTAGGTCAGAATGAGTGTCTAGGAAGCTTGGAGGTTCTTCTCTCTATATTTACTTTCTCCCCGTACAAACCCACAAGCCTGATGGGTCAATGGTCTTGACCATGGGTAGGCAAACTAAGGCCCGGAGGCCGGATCAGGCCCAATCGCCTTCTAAATCCGGCCCGCAGACGTTCTGGGAATCAGTGTGTTTTTACAAGAGTAGAATGTGAGCTTTTATTTAAAATGCATCTCTGGGTTATTTGTGCGGCATAGGAATTTGTTCATTAATTTTTTATAATAATTATTAATTGTTTTATTTGTTATTTGTTATTATTTGTTTTATTTATAATTTATATTTGTTCAAAATATAATCCAGCCCCCCACAAGGTCTGAGGGACAGTGGACTGAAAAAGTTTGCTGACCCCTGGTCTAAAACCATGTTTTTGAAGTGATTTCCAATGGACTCACTCAATAGGGTACATTTCCCAGTAGGTGACTGAGGACCCTAGGCGAACTATTTAAAGTTGCATCCAACGTCACACACCCAAGTAGACCCATTGAAATTAATAGGCACGACTGGTTTGGGGCCTTTAATTTCAATGGGTTTATCCTTATCAGCCCCCTGCTGAAAAAGTTTGCTGACCCCTGGTCTTGACTCACTGTAAGGCATAGCCTACTATGAAGAGGAGAGTTTGCCGTTCAGTGGTAGGACATCTGCTTTGCATGCAGAAGGTCCCAGGCTCAAACCTTGGCATCTCCAGGTAGACCTGGGAGAAAGCCCAGAGAGCCACTGCCATTCTGTGCAGACAATAATGAACTAGATGGAACAGTGCTCTGACAGCATCCTATGTTCCTAACTTCAGATCCGAGAGACCTGCTGGATCAAGTCAAAGGCCCATCTAATTCAGCACCCTGTGTTCCACAGTAACCTATCAGATAAGAGTAATGGAAATCTGATAATAATAATAATAATAATAATAATAATAATAATATTTATACCCCGCCCATCTGGGCGGTTCCCAAGAGAATATCAAAAACACAGTAAAACATCAAACATTGAAAACTTCCCTAAACAGGGCTGCCTTCAGATATCTTCTAAAAGTCCGATCGTGGTTCATTTCCTTGACATCTGATGGGAGGACATTCCACAGGGTGGGCGCCACTACCAAGAAGGCCCTCTGCTTGGTTCCCCGTAACCTCACTTCTCGCAGGGAGGAAACTGCTAGAAGGCCCTCGGCGCTGGGCCTCAGTGTCCGGGCTGAATGATGGGGGTGGAGACGCTCCTTCAGGTATACTGGGCCAAGGCTGTTTAGGGCTTTAAAGGTCAGCACCAACACTTTGAATTGTGCTCAGAAACGTACTGGGAGCTAATGTTATGTGGTCTTGGCGGCTACTCCCAGTCACAAGTCTAGCTGCCGTATTCGAGATTAATTGCAGTTTCCAAGTCACCTTCAAAGGTACCCCATGTAGAGCGCATTGCAGTAGTCTAAGCGGGAGATAACTAGAGCATGCACCACTCTGTCGAGACAGTCTGCTGGCAGGTAGGGTCTCAGCCTGTGTACCAGTGCTGGTTAGAGTTAGGGTTGGGCTGGTTTTAGGTAAGAAGCCTGACATGGTGAGGTGGGGTGCTGGCTAAAGGCAGGCTGAGGCTGGTGGGTCACTGCCCCACTTGCTCTCATGGACGAGCCCTCCAGGGAAGCAGAGAGTAAGACTAGAGGGGCAGTTTTCCCAGTAGAATATCTGCGCTGAAGCTGAAGCCAGCTTGACTTGTATATAAATGGCCTGAAGCGAGGGGTGAGCAGGGAGGTGTGCAAGCTAGCAATAAGTCAGCTTCCTATGTTCCTAAATCAGCGAAGGAAAGCAGGTTCAAAAAGCACAAATGTAAAAAACAACAACAAAAAAACAGGCCCCTGACTCAACAAGAAACAATTCACTTCACTCTTCTTATAAACACCCACCTCATGGCAGACCATTCTCTCGTGAATGTTTTGTCCCCACTAACAGCTAACTTGTTGTTGAGTGACGGTCGCTGCTTAGCCAAAATGGCATTATCCCCACAAGAGAGAGAGATATCGGCCAGCATGGTGAAGCCCAGAGGTTTACACATGTCCCACAAACCTCTAATAATTCTAAGGCGAATAAAAGTGACCCCCACACAAACCAGCGAGGACTGAATTAATATAGTGGTACCTCAGGTTACATACGCTTCAGGTTACAGATTCCACTAACCCAGAAATAGTACCTCGGGTTAAGAACTTTGCTTCAGGATGAGAACAGAAATTGTGCTCCGGCGGCGCGGCAGCAGCACGAGGCCCCATTAGCTGAAGTGGTGCTTCAGGTTAAGAACAGTTTCAGGTTAAGAACGGACCTCCGAAATGAAGTACCGTATTTTTCGCTCCATAGGAAGCACTTTTTTCCACCGATAAAGTAAGGGGAAATGTTGAGTGCATCTTATGGAGTGAATGGCGCTGCGCAGAGACGTAGAGCTGTGCAGCGCCCCTTCAGCCACGCGCCTGCCTGGAAGCCGGAGGAGGAACAGAAGGGTCTCCTTCTGTTCCTTCTCCAGCTTTGCTTGAAGGGGCGCTGCACAGTTCTCCCTCTCTGCTGCAGCGCCTCTCCTGCAAAGGAGAGGCGCTGCACAGAGAGGGAGAACTGCGCAGCACCCCTTCAGCGACGCGCTTATATGGTACTTAACCCGAGGTACCACTGTAATGGGGTGCTAACTGTTGGGGGAGGGCAGAGAACCCAGAAAAACTCTCTCCGTGTGTGTGCACGCATGTGCACGCACACACGGAATGGAGTTCCTTGAAAAGGACACGGCTGACTGGCTGGCATCCTGAACAGGTGCACCCCACGCTGCAAAATTTTGCTGCAGGTCCCATGTGTCGCTCCTAATTCATCCTTCCAAACACTCCCCCCAGTGCTCTCTCATACGTCCATGCCAGTCATTCATCCATATTGTGCTACATAACCACAAATCGTTTCCACTTCTGTTAATAATTACTAAACCCAACACTGGTGAGTATGTTCAGGAGGGGTAGAATCCACAGCACCATTCGGTCCTTTTCTATTGCCATATTAATAATCACGAAGCAGATTTGCATAAAAGGGGACCACCGCCACATTTTAACCCCCTTCAGGCAAAACTCAGCCAATGTTGGGTCACTTTGAAGCTCACCTTATTTTGATGGCATTTAAAGCCGTATCACACACCACTTTAAACCATAGCTGTCAAGGGTCCCTTATTTGGCAGGACAGTCCCTTATCCCAGCGCCATGTCCCGCTGCTGTCCCTTATGGATGATGTCCCTTAAATAAGCTACTGAAGGTAATGGGGCCCTTTCTATGTCCCGCTGTCCTTTGTCAACAACAAATTGTTGCTGTTTTTTTGTGTTGAATATATGCTAAATGGTAATTTATGGACCTAATAGGTATCTAAAGCCGTTTGCACGCAACAAAATATGTATTTTATCAAAGTAATTGTTGATCCCTTATTTTGGCTGCTGATCCCTTATTTTCGAGGCTGCTGGTCCCTTATTTTCAAATCTGTAAGTTGACAGCTATGCTTTAAACAGTCATGGCGTTCCACCCCCCACCCACCCCAAAATCCTGGGAACTGGAATTTCGTCATAGTTGCTGAAAGTTGTGAGGAATCCCCTATTCCCCTCAGAGAGCGACAATTGTCAGAGTTGCCTGGAAAGAGGGGTTGACAGTTATAAACCACTCTGATAACTGCATATTTATTTGGGAAAGGGGGAGGGGGGAGTCTCTACGATGATATGATATGATAGCACAGATGGAGCCAAAGTCTCTTGCACTGAAATCAATGGGATTTACAAGCACTCAGCTAGACCAGACCATGCCCTACAAATTTATTGCAATACAGGCAAACTCCCCACTTGCACATGACTGCTGACGAGTGTGCTGTTTTTGGTACCGCAAGTAGGCATGGCGGGGTGGGGAGATCGGGGTTCGGGGCAGGCTAATATGTGTTCTTCTGAACACAACCCCTGCATAAATCGGGAGTTCCCTGTATCCCTGTTTCTCATCCAAATGACTCTTTGACGTAACGGCCTCCTAAAAAAAAGAGAGAATTCAGAAAGGAAAAAAAGGGAACCTCCGCATTAAATAAGCCCATATAAAACCCAAATCTTAACTTTAAAAAACAGAACACAGGGCAACGTGCCTTTATTGAGAAATCATTTCATACAGTCTCATAAATGCTTCTGGTTCAAGTGTTGCAAGCTCTCTTCTCCACACACCTTGCCCGACCTATAGAAATAGATTTTCCTCCCTCCGTCGAATGAGAATTGATGGCTCCAGAAATGTGTCCTAGAGATAGACATGTGTTTCACATCCACCCCCCCCCACCTCGGACATTCCTTGTGCCCACCTGTACAGTGGTACCTTGGTTCTCAAACACCTTGGTACTCAAACAACTTGGAACCCAAACACTGCAAACCTGGAAGTAAGTGTTCCGGTCTGCAAACTTTTTTCGGAAGCCAAACATGCTCCATTTTGAGTTCCACACTTTTGTTTTGAGTGTTACGCTGAGGTTTGTCTGTTTTTGCTATTTACTTTGCATTTTTGTGGCTTTTTTATTTTGTTTTTGTGATGGTGTGGAACCCAGTTCAGCTACTGATTGATTGATTGATTGATTGATTGACTACAGTACATTATTGCTTTCATTTTATGGATCAACAGTCTTGTTAGATAGTAAAATTCATGTTAAATTGCTGTTTTAGGGGTTGTTTTTAAAAGTCCGGAACGGATTAATCCATTTTGCATTGATTTCTATGGGAAAGCTCGCCTTGCTTTTGGAATGCTTTGGTTTTGGAACGGACTTCTGGAAAGGATTAAGTTTGAGAACCAAGGTATAGCCCTTACTCTCTGTCTCTTATTAGCCCCCCGCCCCTCTTATTAGACACTGCAGTGGCTTTCTCCCAAGCTGAGCTGGCCAAACATGTTTTGCATGCAGGAGGTTGCAGGTTCGATCCCCAGCGTCGCCAGCTTTTTAAAAAAGGAAGAAGAATCAGGGTGCCAGTGGCAGGAAAGTCTCTTCTCTCGAGAAACCTTGAGAGAGCTGTTGCCAGTCAAGAGTAGACAATACTGGGGTAGATCCGGAATACGGCAGATTCCTACATCCATACAAAAGCTGCTTACAGAAAACAAGGGGTTGGGGAGCCCTCTTCTCCCTACAACATGGTGGGACTCTCACAGCGCAGACCTAACCACGCTGGCTCCGTCCTACCAAATTCAGTGGGGTTCGCCCCCAGGTTAAGCAGGATTTGAACTGCAGCCTTAACATTGTTGTCATTAAGCCAGTGTGCAAGGAAAGAGCAAGCAACTGGGGTGCTGTAGAGCAGGGCTTGGGACCCTACGTTGCTCTAGGGCTCCAAACACCCATCAGACCCCAGTGAGCATGGCCACTGGTCAGGGATGATGGGACTTGGAGTATAGCAGCATCTGAAGGGCAGCAGGTTCACGATCATTTCTTTCCAGGGCAGGCGCTATCAAAGGCTGTGTACATGCCATACATTTAAAGCACACACAACCCCAAAGCATACTGGGAATTGTAGTTTGTTGAGGGCGCTGGGAACTGTAGCTCAGCGAAGGGTAAAGCTTCATTTTCCAGGAATTTTGGGTGTTGGGTTTTTTGTTTTGGAGGTGAGAATATTCATTTCATTTCATTTATTTATTTCTATTTTACTTATCAAATTTCTATACCGCTCTTAATCTGTAGATCTTAGGGAGGTTCGCAACATAATGTATGGAGTGAACACAGGCAAAAGCTTTGTTCCATTCTATGAATTCCTTGCTGAAACACTTACAGTGGGTGCTGTTGAGTCTATTACCTGCACCTGTGAAATAAAAGCCTCTCTCGGATTTGCGTGGAAGTCAGCTGACGAAGAAAACAAAACTCTGGCCCCTTCAGCCTCATTGGTTGCCAACCACTGGGGCAGCGGAATAATAATAATAATAATAATAATAATAATAATAATTTATACCCTGCCCATCTCGGGTCAAACTACTTTCTCCATAGGACCAGCCAACCTCCCAGCCACAACTCACCTGGTCCCAAGAAACCGCCGAAGGTTATCAAATGCTGAGATGACGTTTTCAGGGGGGAGGGAGAGAGGGTGGGCTTGGCCAGGGAAAAACGATCCTAAATGGTCCAACCCAAGTTGACCCCCCCGCCCAATGCAGCTCTTCAGGGGTGGCTGACGCCCTTTCATTATTGCACTGCTAGCTGTAACTTTGGACAGTAGTGCAACAGGGAAAGAGTAGCAGACTGCCCCATTGGAAACTTTTGGGGTCCCCCCGTACCTCCTAAGCCCCCCCATGCTCTGACACACCCACCCACACCCACAAAATGAATGTGCACATGAGTCAGAGAGGGCTTTTCAAAGCAGCCCTCGAATCTTCCCACCCCGTTTGCGGAAAAGCGAAACCTCGGTTATACAGCGGGCGACAGTTAATTCCGCCTCCCTCCTCCCCGAATGTATAAAAACATCCCAGGAATCCAACACGACCTGCTGTGTTTACAATATATTATCGTAGCCTTTGGGGGGCTGCCAGCAGAGAAACGGGGGGGTGAGGGGGTCCGCCCATGTCCAAGTGACCAGGGACCACCACCTTTCCTCACCACAGAGCTCAGGAGCTATTTAACGGCTCGAAGGCTCTTGCCGTCGGCAGCAGACCACGCCGGGCCAGAGATACAGATGGCCCCGGCTTTGTTGCGGGGGGGGGGGGGCGAGGCTCCGAAAGGGCTGCTATTGTCCCTGGGCCCGCCTCACAGCGCTGGCTGCTGCAGTGAATTGATGAGCACTCTCTCTCTCTCTTTCTCCCCACCCCCACCAATTCCCACCCCCCCTTCACCACCTTTCCCCCTTTCCGGGCCTGGTGTTTTCCTCTGTTGTTCTAATCCGGTCTGAAGTCCGCTCCCGCCCCACTTTGCCCTTTCCCCCCTTCTGCTCCGGGCCTCAAAAGGTCCCTCGAAGAGAGAGAGCGAGCGCAGGGAGACCACCTGAAAAACAGGGAGGCCACCCACCCAGACCCTTTCAGGCCCTCTGTCAATCCCCCCCCCCCCGCCATCCCCGCTTCTCCTGTGACTGATAATTTACAAAGGAGTGGGGGGGGGATAAGGGATTTAACACCCTTCCTCCATTTTTTCTCCCCACATACCTTCGTATTGAGCTGGGGTGGAGTGGGGGGGAGAGAGAAAGAGACTTTTATTGATCAGAAAGAGCCCCTGTCCCCTTGGCTTAGGAAATCCATTCAGCCAGGCTTCCCAAAACCGAATCCGGCTGCCTTTCAACAGGCGTTTGTGATCACTTTGCAGGTTATTGTTATTTTTAAATACTTTTCAGTTGAGCAGGATTGCAGAGCTCTATAATGCCTCTGGGTCTATTACTGGGAGAAATGTCATTTGCTGATCAGGTGAAATTAGCCGTGGGAACGGAGTAATACGCTATCAATCTTTGGATCGATGTTTCTACCCTGGTTTTTCTGGCCCTAATAGTAAATCAGGCATCCTGGCTTGTCGCGGTTTACTGTGTACTAGCAGTAAGCCGGTGCAAGTTGCCCGACTCGTCTTTTAATAGGTGCAAGTGCAACCAGTTTAAAAGTACCAAACTAAGGATTTGGCAGGCAACCTGTATCGGCATGTTGTTTCTTCACAGTAAACCGCGACAAGCCAGAAAGTCTTTGGCAAGTGCAGCCGGTGTAAAAGTACCAAAGGATAAACCCGACTTTCTGGCTTGTTGCAGTTTACTGTGAAGAAACAACATGCCGATACAGGTTGCCTGATCAACCCCAACTTCGTTCTGCCTCTGACCAGGGCAGGAGGAAGGGGATGCGGTGGGGGCAGGCTGCCCTGGGAGTAACAACTGAGGGGGTGACAAAATGCCAGGCGGCACTCACCGCGCGGACTGCAGTGCGCCCAAGCCACGCGTCTCTCCTGGGAGTGACACGGTGGCTTGGGCGCCCGCAGGCTCTGCCCCAAACGGTCCGCCTGCCGCCTCCCGCTCAGCTGTAGGGCGGCTGAGTGGGATGAGGCAGGCAGACTTCTTGGAGACCCCGCGGGGTGTCCTGCCCCAGCTGGCCCCGCCCCTGGGTGCACAGCTTCCGGGTCATGTGGCCAGCATGAATAAGCCGCTTCTAGCGAACCAGAGCAGTGCATGGAAACGCCGTTTACCTTCCCGCTGGAGCGGTACCTATTTATCTACTTGCACTTTGACGTGCTAGGTTGGCAGGAGCAGGGACCGAGCAACGGCAGCTCACCCTGTCGCGGGGATTCGAACCGCCGACCTTCTGATCGGCAAGTCCCAGGCTCTGTGGTTTAACCCACAGCACCACCCACGTCCCACAAGACTTGTTAGGGGGCAACAATTCAAGATCCCTGTTTCTGACGTGACGGGAAGCTGAGGGTGGGCAGGGTGAGGAATTTGGTTCAGTTTGCACCTACCGCATTCACACTTCCTGAAGCAATATACAAACCAGAAGAAAAGTTTCAAATTTCCACTTCTCTGAATTTTGCTGTGGACTTCTCTAACCAAATAATGTGTTCAAAAATATTTCGTTTGTGTGTGTATGTGCATAAAGCCTATTATTAGTGACATTATGCATGCTAATTAAAAAAATATGATGCATAACTAGGCATACTATAATAATAAGCTTTATATTAGGGGAAATTGCTTGCAGAAGTGTCTATATTAGTCAAAAGTGCATTAAAAATGTTACTTTAGGAGAAATTTGCACTGAAACGCCAGTGGATTTTCACAAGGACTTTAAAAAATGGTTAATTATAACCACAGACTGCTGAGGAAATGGGGAGAAAGGAATTTAATATTGAAGATATGAAAAACTGAAATCGACAGATTTGTCAAAAGCTTTTTGGTCTGGAAAGGACCAAAGGGGGAGGGATCAGGCGGAATTCATCAGCAAGCAGCTAGTCCACAGTAAACCACAATGAGACAGAAAGCCTGGGCTATTGATACATGCAAACAATGGTCTTATTTCCAGCCCTCTTTCAATATCTCAAGTTCAATGCACTCATAACTTGTGAAGTCTTAGTGGACTCAGTAGTAAATCTTTCTGAGTAATGATGCTTAATATCTGGTTGCACAGGATCTAGCCTTTTTAAAAAAACGAAGATGAGGCAGTTTCTTCTCTTAAGACTGCCACAAACCCCGCAACAAAAATCCGTCTAGGAGAAGAACACAATGTTATCCAACGCCAAATAATATATTACCGCCCTTTCTAGATCGCAAGAACTGTTTGTCTTCGTTTAACCAGCCTGCCCCTTTTCTGCTTTTGTTTCTGGTTCAGTTTCTACTTATTTATTTATTCCTTCCCTCGAAGAATGCCCCCCCAAGGAAAAGACCCTATAAGCAATATTGCACTACTAGGACCCAACACAGAAGCAGAGGCAATATTGATAGGGTCTTACCCTCAAGGTTCTCATATTGGACGTTACTTCCTGCATCGGGTGACTTGAGTAGTTTCGTAACGTATCTGTAAGCATTGCAATTGCACAGGGGGGAAAACGTTAGAAGTACGTCAGAAGTACAAGGCAATCTCTTCCTTGCTTTTAGCAATCTATTCAATAACATTCTCTCATTAGCGGGGCTTTTTGCCTCTTACTCTTACTCCCTCCTCGCAACCACCCTGCAAAGAAGGCTACAAACTTTCCCAGCTTAAGGGGGGGAAACCGAGGCAAATAGGCAAAAATGACCCAAAATGTATGTTTGCGGCTCAGCAGAAATTACATCCCAGCTCTCCTAAACCGGAGGTTAAAACTACAACTTTGCACTCACTTATATGAGAGCAAGTCTCTTTCAATCCAGTGACCATCATTTCTAAGCAAGCAAGCATGGATCAGGCTACTGGGCCATTTTCAGACACGAAACCAAAAGGGCTTTTTGAAAGGTTTCTGCATCCGGACGGCAAATGCAAAACTTGTTATACAGGTGATCGCTTTGAAACAGCCCACTTTATCCCAGACTCACAACATTCATGCATGTATACAAATAGCGTGTGATGCCCCCAAGGTCTAAATATCCTGAAATGTGAGCTCAAACAGAATGTTTCTAGGAGTGCTTCAGTCTGTCATCATTCCGTCTAACGGCAAATTTGGGTGGCAGAGTGCTGATCGTTTTGGAAGTGAGGTGGGCCCACCCCAAAAGCAGGAAATGGTTTTTACATACCCAGAGGACACCCTAGGTATGGAGAAGTTTGTACAGTGGTACCTCGGGTTACATATGCTTCAGGTTACATTCGCTTCAGGTTACATACTCCACTAACCCAGAAATAGTACCTCAGGTTAAGAACTTTGCTTCAGGACAGAAATCGTGCTCTGGTGGCGCAGCAGCAGTGGGAGGCCCCATTAGCTAAAGTGCTGCTTCACGTTAAGAACAGTTTCAGGTTAAGAACGGACCTCTAGAACAAATTAAGTACTTAACCCGAGGTACCACTGTAAATGAAAACTTTTTTAAAGGCCTGCGAGTTCCCTAAGTTACAGAATGCAGAGGGCACAAGGATGAGAAAATGATAGAATAACTCATCTTGTCTACAAAATGAAGCTTCCTGGTATTTTTATACAGTCGTACCTTGGTTTTCAAACAGCTTAGTTCCCTAACGCTTTGGCTCCTGAACATCACAAACCCGGAAGTGACTGTTCCGGTTTGCGAACTGTTTTTGGAAGCCGAACGTCTGCCGGGGCTTCCGATTGGCTGCAGCAGCTTCCTGCAGCCAATTGGAAGCCGCAATTTGGTTTTCGAACGTTTTGGAAGTCGAACGGACTTCCGGAACGGATTCTGTTCAACTTCCGAGGTACGACTGTATTAGCAAAGAGCAGCTGTACTGGGAGCTCAGATTGAATCGATGGCCAATGGTCAGGAATGAAAGGACTCCACTAGTAAAGGAAGGACTCATTTGAGAAACCACCTCCTTCTCTCCAGACCTTTCTGGGTGTTGAGATCAGTAGGAGTCCCTCTTGGCAGTTCCACCTCCCTCAGAAGTTCAGGGGTGGCTCAGGAGACAGCATTCTGTGTGGCAGTCCTTAAATTGTCCAATTCCCCCCCCCAGCTTTTTGGCAAATGCAGTCACCCCTCTTTACCTCAGCCTTTGACACTTGAGACACATGTTTTCAGGTCCCACCCTATTCCTGTACCCGGGATCTGTTTCAACTGTTTCTAATTCCCAATTTTAAATTGCTTTAACTCGACCTTGGACCAGCTAGTGAAGGGCAAGTAATAAATTTAATTCACAATAGTCATCATACCGTATTTTTCGCTCTATAGGACGCACTTTTTTCCCTTCAAAAATGAAGGGAAAATGTGTGTGCGTCCTATGGAGCGAAGACGCCATAGCCCCGCGACCCTCTCCCGGCTGGAGAGGTGACGCGCGGCTATGGCAGGAGCCTCTATAGCCCCGCGTCACCTCTCCAGCAAGGAGAGGGTCGCGGGGGGCTGCTTTAGCCCCGCGCGCGCTCTCCCGGCTGGAGAGGTGACGCGCGGCTATGGCAGGAGCCTCTTTAGTCACGCGTCACCTCTCCAGCTGGGAGAGCACGCACGGGGCAAAAGAAGCCCCCCGCAACCCTCTCCCGGCTGGAGAGGTGACGCGCAGCTATGGCAGGAGCCTCTATAGCCGCATGTCACCTCTCCAGCCGGGAGAGCGCGCGCAGGGCTAAAGAAGCCCCCCCGCAACCCTCTCCCGGCTGGAGAGGTGACGCACGGCTATGGCAGGAGCCTCTCCGCTGCGCCTTTCCGCTGCTCCCTGACCTGCTCTTTGGGGCTGGTGGTGGGCTTCCCCCCGCCAGCCCCAAAGAGCAGGTCGAAAGGAAACTGAAGCCTGGAGATCGAGAGGGGTGAGTGCACACCGACCCCTCTCGCTCTCCAGGCTTCCAAGGTAGCCGCCTGAACGGCACCTTGTTTTAGAGCGGGAAAACAAGAGGGGGAAAGTTCTCCCCCTCTCTGCACAGAGCCTCCTGCCACTTCGCTGAAGGGGCGCTGGGCAGAGAGGGGGAGAATTTTTTTTTCTTGTTCTCCCCCCTCTAAAACAAAGTGCGTCCTATTGTCCGGTGCGTCCTATGGTGCGAAAAATACGGTAATCATACTGTTGAGAGTTGCAAGCCAGAAATATACTGGGTGGTGGAACTGGTTTCCTATCCCTGGGGTATAAAACTGCCGGTGGTGAGGGAAATCTTATAGATGGAAGGGCCCTCTGTGCAATATACCTAAAAACTAGGGAAAAATCATGCTCCCCTACCCAGAATTATTCGCCACCCCTCTTCTGCAGCTTGATGGTGACCATCATCGATTTAATTTATTGACCAACTGGAAAATCCTATATGCAGTCTCGTTTCCTAGCAGAGAAGTGCAGCCAAATTCACATGACGTAAACTGGTCTTGGGAGCAGACTAGATGCGATGTTAGGGCTGGTGTCCCAGATTTAAAAACCAAGCAAATGAACATAAGAAGGTAGTGGTGTTGTTGTTGTTTTAAACATAAATAGCCAGCAAAAGGGTGGGGGCAGAGCCATATTGCGGCAATCATTTGAGGGAGACAGGGGAAGGTTTCTCAGGCCGAGGGCTGCGTTATCCCAAACTAAACTGACTTTGCTGCGTTCTAAAATTGGGTCAGGTCATGCCAAAAGTGGGTGGAGTCAAGCAGAAACACGAGTCGCACACCTAGGCTCCATCTGCACTATGCATTTAAAGAGGTATCTGTTAGGATATTTCCGTTCCACCTTAAAAAGGGAGCAGGCTTTTGTGAGTCACAGAGTCTGCGCATTTCCTGTTCACAGGATGTTTATGTTTTCTGTTGCTTTCGTTTCTCTCTCTGTGTCGTAGACACTAAAGCAGGCAGTCATGTTTTTCTGTGTTCTGATCAACGCTGAATAAACTTGTAAATAATGCTCTCCTGAGTGCGACTTTGGCTGTGCATTATCTGCTGATAGAGTGTGCATGAGCTCTGGAATGTGGCAAGCTATTTCTAGAAACTCATGTCACTAATTGTTGATACTGCGTGACTACGGGAGATCGATGGATCGTCCGGCAGCCGGCTTGGGGGCCATGATGGACTTTGTCTCCCCGGCAGTATCCCAACAGTATCATGCCTCTTTTATACTGTAACTGCTTCTTCCAAAGAATGTTGAGAAGCGTAGTTTGCTAACGTTGCCAAGAACTGTATAGGGCCTTGCGCAAACACACCCCACCACTGCACGCCCAAGTGGATTTACAAACCCAATGAGAAATGTCATTCCTATTTGCAAGTACAGTGGAACCTGTACAGTGTACAGTGGTACCTCGGGTTACAGACTCCGCTAACCCAGAAATATTACCTCGGGTTAAGAACTTTGCTTCAGGAGAACAGAAATCGTGCTCTGGCGGTGCGGTGGCAGCAGGAAGGCCCCATTAGCTAAAGTGGTGCTTCAGGTTAAGAACAGTTTCAGGTTAAGAACAGACCTCCGGAATGAATTAAGTACTTAACCCGAGGTACCACTGTAAGATTTCCAGTCAGGGATCAAAAGACTGGTGCTCCCCTTCCCCCTGTCATGCAATGGTCGGATCCTGCCAAACACCCTAGCTGCAGCTGCCCCAGGTGGCTATTTGTGTTTTTAAAATCCTGCCCACGTGGCGCAATAACATGACTCAACGCCATGATCTAGAATGGCCCCAAGTGTCCATTTTTGGGGTGACTGCCCCAAGATAGTACTTATCTTGCCTGCATACCCACTGCCCCACCAAGTTGACCAAAACTCACCAGTATAGTGACCCACCAAGACCTCAATAAACTTCCTGTTCTTCCTGCCTGTAAAAAAAAAAAATCAGAACATAGGAAGCAGCCATATATACCAGGTCAGACGCTTTCTCCACATAGCCCATGGATGGGAGAACATCTGTGGTCCTCCAATGTCACCGGACTACAACTCCCATCAGCCCCAGGCAGCATGGCCAGTGGTCATGATGGGAGCTGTAGTCCCTCAGCAGCTGGAGGCTCACAGCTCCCCCACTGCTGGTCTATTCTTATGGCATCTCAGTTCTCCAGGGTCTTGAACTGACGTCCTTTCCATCTCTTGTCATCTGATAATTTTTATACAGGCTGAAAATGCCACAGGGCCTTCTATATGCAGGCCCCAGGCTCTGTTTGGCTGGCTGAATTGTGAGTTGCCTGGGGTGCCCTAGGTCCTAGGACACACCCTCCTTTAGGGAAAGTCCGTAGCTTAGTGGTAGAGCACCTGTTTTGCAGGTGAAAGCTCCTCAGCATCTCCAGGGTAGATCTGGGGGAAGGAGTCCGGCATGATACCTTGGGAGAAGCCATTCCTAGTCAGTGAAGGCAGTAATGGGGGAGATGGACTGTTGGTCCGAATTCATCACCTTCCTAGGTTCCTCACACAGCTGCTTCTTACGTATTTTTTGCTCTATAAGACTCACTTTTTCCCTCCTAAAAAGTAAGGAGAAATGTGTGTGTGTCTTATGGAGCGAATGCAGGCTGCGCAGCTATCGCTGAAGCCAGAACAGCAAGAGGGATTGCTGCTTTCACTGCGCAGCGATTCCTCTTGCTGTTCTGGCTTCTGAGATTCAGAATATTTTTTTTCTTGTTTTCCTCCTCCAAAAACTAGGTGCGTCTTGTGGTCTGGTGTATCTTATAGAGTGAAAAATACAGTAATTAGCTAGATCTTCTCAGGCATCCCAATAACATTTTAAGCATTAAGAGTTACTGGAGGGTTCAAAGATTCAAACAATGACAGAGAAATTTAATATATTACTTTAAGCACAGAAGAAGAGCCTGTGGGATCCATGGTGTCCTATGGACACTCCTTCAGGTATACTGGACCGAGGCCGCCGCTCCCGGACCTGTTCTGGGGACTGGGGTCAGGGGAAGTTCGGGTTCCCCCGCCCCAGCCCCACAACTAAAAATGAAGCCAAGACAGTGAGCGGGATCCATCCCGCTCGCTTTCTTGGCTTCTGCCAAAGCTGGCTGGAGAGGTTGTGCATGGCTAAAGAGGAAGCCAAGACAGCCAATGGGATGGATCCCACTCACTTTCTTGGCTTCTTTGCCCTTTGGGGCTGGGGGGGAAATAATTTCCCCCCCTTTATTTCCCGCCCCCCTAAAAACTAGGTGCGCCCTATGGTCCGGTGCGCCCTATGGAGCGAAAAATACGGTAATAGTTCCAATAATTCTTCCAATGTGCCTGTACCGCTGGTCAGTGAGATTTTGACTAGAAAACTGGCAAATCACACGCACAGCCTCAGCTTATCTTTACATGTTTTAATTTTATTTTTAGAGTCCTGGCAAGGTAGATATGCCTGGAGCTAGGATAAAGGGACTTTCCTCAAGGCTACCCTGGGGGAAGTTAGTTCAGTTGGCATCCAAAATAGCTCCGCTGGTAGAGCATGAGACTCTTAATCTCAGAGTCATAGGTTTGAGCCCCGTGTTGGGCAAAAGATTCCTGCATTGCAGGGGGCTGGACTAGATGACCCACGTGGTCCCTTCCAGTTCTACAATTCTATAATTCTCAACTCAAGCCCAGTAGTGTACTCTGCTGCAAGACAACAGAGACGCATCAGTTCAGAGCTGGCCTGGGGAAGATGGCAGTTGTGATCCAAAACATTTAGAGAACAGGGAAGGATGGCAGAGACAGCTGCTCTTGTTGTTTTAGAAACAAGTGTGCTCTAAAACGTAAAGGGACCCCTGACCTTTAGGTCTAGTCATGGCCGACTCTAGGGTTGCGGCGCTCATCTCGCTTTATTGGCCGTGGGAGCCGGCATACAGCTTCTGGGTCATGTGGCCAGCATGACTAAGCCGCTTCTGGCGAACCAGAGCAGCGCACAGAAACGCCGTTTACCTTCCCGTTGGAGCGGTACCTATTCATCTACTTGCACTCTGACGTGCTTTCGAACTGCTAGGTTAGCAGGAGCTGGGACAGAGCAACGGGAGCTTACCCCGTCGCGGGGATTCGAACCGCCGACCTTCTGATCAGCAAACCCTAGGCTCTGCGGTTTAACCCACAGTGCCACCCGCGTCCCTTTGTGTGCTTTAGGGAGAGGAAATGTTGGAATCACGCACCCAGAGAGCTTTATATCTATTTAAGTTGGTGTCAAGTTGGACTATCACCTGAATGAATGAGTTTTAGGTCCCATTTGCACTATGCACTTAAAGCAGTATCGTACCACTTTAAACTACCATGGCGGCTTCCCTCAAAGAAATCTGGGAACTGTAGTTAGTTGTTGGGAGACCCTTATTCCCCTCACAGAGCTGAAATTCCCATAATAGTTTAATGATTGATCCTTCTTCCCAGGGAGTTCTGGGGACTGTAGCTCTGGGAGGAGCCTGCTAGCAACTCTCAGCAAACTATACTTTCCAGAATCCTTTGGGAGAGGCCATTACTGTTTATAGAGTGGTATAATAATAGTGCTTTCAGTGTATGGTGCAAAAGGGTGTCCTAACCGATTAACAGTGAAATCCAATAAATCAGAGGTGAGCAGAAAGTAGATTGGGATGTACTGGTAGATCTCTGGGTGATTCATAGTAGATCAGCAATAATTTATGTCTCCCCGTTGTGGAACAGACTCCCGCAAGAGATGGTGGACTCTGCTTCCTTGGAGGTTTTTAAGCAGAGGTTGGATGGTCAACTGTCATGGATGCTTTAGCTGAGATTCCTGCATTGCAGGGGGTTGGACTAGATGACCCTCGGGGTCCCTTCCAACTCTTAAGATTCTATGAACAACAACAAAATGGTTTATCCATCTTCCCAGATTATACTGATGAAATGGACAAAAATGGTGGGGATGGGGTGCAGCTGAACTCTTGAGTTCAGTTCAGTTCAAGGCCTCCAGCCAAATCCCAGTCTAGGATCTTCTGCTGTTGGGTTTTGGAGGTTTAATCAAACACAAACACACACAGGAGATCCCACAACACTGGAAGCTGCCCAGTCCATGCTATGCCTGTCTATTGAGAAATAAGCCCCACTGTGTTCAATGGGATTTGCTTCCAGGTAAGTGAAGTACCTGGACGCGGGTGGCGCTGTGGGTTAAACCACAGAGCCTAGGGCTTGCCGATCAGAAGGTCAGCGGTTCGATTCCCCGCGACGGGCTGAGCTCCCGTTGTTCGGTCCCTGCTCCTGCCAACCTAGCAGTTTGAAAGCACGTCAAAGTGCAAGTAGATAAATAGGTACCACTCCGGCAGTAAGCTAAACGGCGTTTCCGTGCGCTGCTCTGGTTCGCCAGAAGCGGCTTAGTCATGCTGGCCACATGACCCGGAAGCTGTACGCCGGCTCCCTCGGCCAATAAAGGGAGATGAGCGCCGCAACCCCAGAGTCTGCCATGACGGGACCTAATGGTCAGGGGTCCCTTTACCTTTAAGTAAAGTACAGCTTTTATGGGAGCAAGCTCCACTGAAAGCAAAAGGACTTGCTGCAAAATAAATGTGCATGTCACTAAAACAATGACGTTGCAGGAAATTGAATAGCTCAGTTGGTTAGAATGTGGTCTGATGATGCCAAGGTTGCAGGATTGATCCCCATATGGGGAAGCTGCATATTCCTGCATTCTGGGGGGGGGGGGGTTGGACTAGATGATCCCTGGGGTCCCTTCCAATACTACAGTCTTATTATTGCAAGCATACTTTCTTCACTTTTAAATTGCATGAAAGTATGTGTTGCAGCAAATGTTGCAAGACTGATTCCCTCCCGTGAGAGAATAATGGCAGAAAAGGGCCTCCTCTAAGATTGCCCCCATCATCTGCCATTTTACAAGTGCTTTATAAAAATATATACAAAAGAGAAAAGAATTAAAGACACATAGACATCATAATCATACAATAAACCAGTGCTTGGAATGAACTAATTTGGACCAACTAGCTCATGAAAACAATTCCAAAATCTCTGAATTTCACCTGAAAGTAGTTTCTATGATTTTCAGGTAAACTGAATATGAATAAAGTTTCTTTCACAGTGGAATTTTGGGCGACTTTTAATTCAGTTCATACACACACACCGTGTTCGACTGCGGCCATTGCATTTATCATTTTTATCTATCTGAAAAGTGATGCAGCTGTTTAAGCTTAAAGATCATAATTGTTGGGGAAAGTAAATAAAAACATTTTTTTCACATTGCATCGTGTGTTTTTTTATGTTTTCTTAGTCTTACTCAAGCTGAGCAACTTGTAAAATTTTGAAGGCTGGGGAAGTATAGCAGAGGACCACATGAACAAAATGTGAACTGAACTGGAACGGAATTAAGTTTCTTTTTTGGAGGTGGCAACTTGGAACTGGAACTAATTCCTATTTCGAAGGGGTGAACTCGAACTATTGGAACTAAATGAACTTTCCAAGCACTGCAATAAACAAATAAACCAGCACAACAGACAAAAGCACCACATTTTTTAAAAACAAAAACCATAATAAATCACATCAGTGCACAACTGATTACTAGACACAACTATAAATTAACTAACCAGGGGCAGCAAGAATATTATTGGCACAAAAATGGAAGCAAGAAGAATTACCGACAAAAGAAGAATGGAGGATGAAATTAATGGACTATGCAGAACTAAATAAACTAACAGGAAGGATTCGAAATCTGTGGGACCAGAAATTCACAGAAGACTGGTGTAAATTTACAGATTATTTGAAAAGTAATTGTGATGATCAGACTACGTTTGTAGGTTTGCAAGACGTTTTGTGAGGTGAATTATTGGAACTATGGATAAAGGGGAGGATGGTTAGTTAAGATAATTAAAGGCAATATGAATTTAAGAAATTCATAAGAAGTGGTTAAAACGGTGGATCATCAGAGGTGCTGACGGAAATCCCAAAAAAATTGTATGTGGTGAAGTTTTGTTGTATGTATTATAATTTATATGTTAAAATTAATAAAAATTATTATTAAAAAAATAAATTAATTAACTAACCAGGAATGGAAACTTGTTACCCTGCTGACGCTGTCAGATTCCCATCAGCCCTAGTCAGCATAGCGCAATGGTCAGGGATGATGGGATTTGTAGTCTAACCATATCTGGAAGGCCATGAGATCCCCATTCTTGCATTAAACCACTGGCAAAGGATAGTTTCAAGAACTTTTTATCAGTTCTGAAAGCTTGTGTGCAAAGATTTTTCCTGGGGAAGTTTGTTCTGAAAGGTAAGACCATTTCCCCGTTCGTTAGTAAATTTAAGAAACAGCCTCAACGTTTTCCTTTGTATGTTTGCAAGTGCATTTTTCATCCACAATCCTCTCCAACTTTCCTTCCCCACTGCCATGTGGAAGAAACTTTATCGTAGCTCCAATATTTTGCTGACAACATACCGTATTTTTTGCACCATAACACTCACTTTTTTCCTCCTAAAAAGTAAGGGGAAATGTCTGTGGGTGTTATGGAGGGAATGCCTACGGGTGGCATGCCTACGGATTTTCCTCCTCTAAAAACTACATGCGTGTTATGGTCGGGTGCGTGTTATAGAGCGAAAAATACGGTAGTTGATCTTTGTACACACCAGTGTTATCTGATTAATTGGGATGCCTTCTTTTTAGTCAGTTTAAATGTTTGTTTGTTTTTTATTCATTCTTCTAATTCAGTGGTTTCTAGAGCGGGGGTAACTCACTCAGGAAGGCAGTGAGATTAAGCGGGGGGGGGTTGCTAAGGAGGTGGGGGAGGGGCCTCTGGAGGTGTCAATAACCATGAGACTTTGAAACGATGGTATCGCTGATTTCAATTCTTCAATTTGTTTTATTAATTAAGCTGAATAGTTTTCACACTGGGTTTCGAATAAATATGCAAGTAACTCTTTCCATTTCAAACTTTATGGTGCTATAATCTTCCTTCGTGGGCCACGCAAACCACAATTTTGGATAATGCTTTTTATGGGGAGGGTGGGAGGAAGTGAGGACCACTTTATGGAACCCAGGGGGCAGTAGCCTGAAAAAGTTTGGGAACTACAGATCTAACTGATTACTTAATCAAAGCTTGCAGCCCATAGCAGCCAATGGATTTCAAATACATTGGTACCTCGAGTTACAGAGACTTCAGGTTACAGATGTTTCAGGTTACAGATTCCGCTAATCCAGAAATAGTACCTCGGGTTAAGAACTTTGCTTCAGGATGAGAACAGAAATTGTGCGGTGGCGGCGGCAGGAGGCCCCATTAGCTAAAGTGGTACCTCAGGTTAAGAACAGTTTCAGGTTAAGAACGGACCTCCAGAACGAATTAAGTTCTTAACCCGAGGTACCACTGTATTGCTGGCACAAATCTGCACTCCTCTTTAAAAAAAGATTGAGAGGAGAACTCCCACTTGACTCTTTTGTGGTTGGGTACCATGTCCACATTCACCAAGAATGTGGCAAAGGGCTACAGTTGCTGTTTTGGAACAGGCAGGCAAAAACAACCACAGAAAGCATCGCTACGTTGAAATCGAGGTGAGCAGGGCTTTGCCTCCTCTTTCCGCTGTCCCCCCCCCCCCGAAACTTTTCATTCTCTTTCTAATTCTTCGAAAAGGAAAGAAAGAGCATTCACTGCATTTTTCGCATTCCAGCCTCGGCTTCTTAAGGTATCTAGCAAGCTGATACAAATCCTGCCAGAAAACGGGGATTCTTTCAGCCTTGCAAGAGCCAACCTGTTCCGATGCTTTCAGGGAGGGTTCCTAAATCTCTCAAACTGCACTACCTCTCCTGAGCAGATGGCACCGTACTTTGCGGGCCGGGAAGGGGGGGGGGACGGGGCGCAGCGGTGAAGCCAGATCACTACATCAACAAACAAACACCCTGAACACTTTTTAAAGTACCTTCCTCATGTCCCTTTTCCACTGCAAGGAATTTCCCCCCCCCCCATATGCCTTAACCCATTCCGTCACCGGTTTACAACGCACGCTACAACTGCACACCAGATCACATCCCTTTCTCAGCAGAGGAGCAAGAATCTGCATCTTCAGATGCTTCTGTTGTTGTTTTCGAAAACAAATGACATGGCTTCTTAAACCAAACAGGATGTAAAATCACAGAATCATAGAGTTTGAAGGGACCCTGAGGATCATATAGTCCAACCCCCTGCAACGCAGGAATATGCAGTTGTCCCATAGGGGGATCGAACCTGCAACCTTGGCATTATCAGGACTGCACTATAACCAACTGAGCTATCTAGGCATAAAATGCAGACACCCTCCCCTACCCACACAAGAAGGTGCCTTTTACCATTGGTCCATCTAAGCTCAATACAGTGGTACCTTGGAAGTCAAACGGAATCTGTTCCGGAAGTCCGTTCGACTTCCAAAACGTTCAGAAACCAAGGTGCAGCTTCCGATTGGTTGCAGGAAGGTCCTGCAGCCAATCGGAAGCCGTGGAAGTCGTGTCGGACGTTCGGGTTCCAAAGAACGTTTGCAAACCAGAACACTCACTTCCGGGTTTGCAGCGTTCGAGAGCCAAAACGTTTGACTCGCAAGACGTTTGGGATCCAAGGTACGACTGTATGGTGGACACTCGGATTGCGAACATGATCCGTGCGGGATGCACATTTGCAACCTGCAGCGTCCACAACCCGCAGTGGCACGTCTGAGCACGCGCAGGTTGCGACCCGGCACTTCTCCACATGCGCAAAGCGCGATTTAGTGCTTCTGCACATGCGTGACTGCCAAAACCCGGAAGTAACCCGTTCCGGTACTTCCGGGTTTCGGCGGTCGGTAACCCCAAAAAACGCAACCTGAAGCATCTGTAACCAGAGATACGACTATATTGCCTCCTGCCAGCTGCTTTTGAGGTTTTCAGACATGCGCCTCTCCCAGTTCTATCTGAAGATGTTAACGAACGAACCTGGGACCTTCTGTATGCAAATCGGAAGCTACCACCAAGCTACAGCCCTCTCCTGCAAACTATGCCTTTCCCACATAGAAGTGGCTAGCTTTTCTTTATCCCACGACATGCAGGGGAATAGCGGGTTGGACTAGATGACCCACCGGGTCCCATCCAACTCTGCAATTCGATGAAAAGTAAAAGGAACAAAACACACACCCCAATTCCTCTTGCCTCTATTAGAGCAATGAGTTTGCTCCATTTCTTGCGGGCTGTTCACCAGATCGCACTCTGCTTCTTAAGATTTCAGCTGTATCGGCTTCCAAGTTTTGCATCCACACAGGATTAATTCTGTTGCGAATCACCACGCCACGTGTACAAGGAAATTAAGAGCAGGAGCCAATGTTAGTCCTACTCAGAGTAGAGCCATTAAAATCAACAGGCATGGCTAATTAAGGTCCCCTAAATTTCAACAGGTCCGCTTTGAGTAAAACTCACGCTGGTTTCAACCCTGAACATCCTTTATGAACGGTTTGATTTTCAAATACCGTTGTGGGTTTTGACAAGTGTTATTTTCAAAAAGAGTAGACTCAAATCTTTCCCCCCATGGACTACTTGAAAATTAATGATGCTCTTGGCGGGCTGCTTAATGACTTTTCTGCCTGTTGTAGCTCTGCTGTCCTAAGAAAGCTGAAGAAACAACTTATACAGGTGGTCACAGGTGAAATGCTTGTAGGCATTTGCTCAGAGTTCGCCACCCGGAGTATGCCTTTCTCAGAGTGGCCAAATCCACATCATATAGTGGTACCTCAGGTTAAGTACTTAATTCGTTCCGGAGGTCCGTTCTTAACCTGAAACTGTTCTTAACCTGAAGCACCACTTTAGCTAATGGGGCCTCCTGCTGCTGCCGCGCCTCCAGAGCACGATTTCTGTTCTCATCCTGAAGCAAAGTTCTTAACCTGAGGTACTATTTCTGGGTTAGCAGAGTCTGTAACCTGAAGCATATGTAACCTGAAGCATATGTAACCTGAGGTACCACTGTATATTTAAAGCAGGATTATAGCACCTTCAACAGTCACTGTTTCCTCCAAAGAATGCTGGGAAGTGTAGTTTGAATTGCTAGGAGACCCCCTGTTCCTCTCACAGAACTACAGCTCCCAGAAACCCCTGGGAAGAGGGGGTTGTGAAACCACTCTGGGGATTTTAGCTCTGTGAAAGGAATGGGGGGAGTCTCCAAACAACTCTCTGTACCCAACAAATTACAGCTCCCAGGATTCTTTGGGGGGAGTTATGTCTGTTTAAAGTGCTATAGTAATGTTTCACATTACTTTTTAGATTTCAGGTTTGTTTGTTTGTTTCTTCATCTTCCGAACCACTGTTTATGTGCAAGTTATATTTTCTTAGGACAGATCCACACTCTGCATTTAAAACACGCCCAGCACATCATGCAAGGAATCCTGTGAACCATAGTTTCCCCTGTTACAGAGATACAGTTCTCAGGGGCGGAGTTTGGGTTTGCAAATTTCAGCGGTGCCTTGTGCAAGGCCAAAATTTGGCAGGGCCACATCCGTCACCTTCCGATCTACGCATTTATTACATCATAGTGGCAACGGCGCTCTGGGCTCGGTGCCCAGTGTGGCAGTACCAGTAATGCCTCCCTAAATCTGCCTCTGCAATTTTCAGGCCCTTTAACAAACTAGAGTTCCCAGGATTCCTTGGGGGAAGCCATGAGCTTTGAACGTGCATTGGGTGTGCTTTAAATCTAAGGTGTGGACCTGCCCTGACTTACTTACCCGCTTTTATTCTTCCCTTTGCTACAACTGTTTTAAAAGCTGTAAACCACTGAATAACTCGGTGGGTTAGAGTGTGGTGCTGGTAATGCCAAGGCTGCAGGTTTGATCCCCGTATAGGACAGCTGCATAATCCTGCATTGCAGGGGGTTGGACTGGATGATCACTAGGGTCCCTTCCAGTTCTATGAAATTGTTCTTTTTCTCTCTTTTTTCATCTCCTACTATATCTAAAAGAACTGAGAAAATTTGGTCCCTAGTCGCTATAGCTGAGCTAACGTATTACAAAAGAATACATATGAACCAGCCTAAAAGGTTTACCGGGGAAATTGGTATTTATTTTTTGCAATGTTTTGGAACAAGTTCAGTGATAATGCCCAAACTTATCCTGCTTTCAGCCTGCTGTAACAGTATTTCTAGCATTTGTTTATTTTATTTATTAATAATAAATAAAGAAGAAAATTTTAAAGTGTTTTTATTTGTTTTATAACTTGTGTGTTCACCACCTTGGGCTCCTTTGAAAGGATGGGTGGGATATAAATTTAATTCATAAGGGGAGGGAAACAGCCCACCCAAATGATCACTAAATGTGCATCACTTGTTTTAAATTATGGAATACTCTGCCAGGTAGAGATTAAGCCGGCGTCTTCTGTTTCAACATTTAAATGCCCGCTGAAAATGTTTCTATTCTGCCAGGCTTAGGCAGCCAATTAAGAATACATCTTTCCATAATATTTAGCTGATTTGTGGTTTTTTAACATTTTTACATGGTTTTAGGCATAACCGTTGCAAAGTGATTTGATGTAAATATATTTTTTTAATAAATAAATAAACAAAATAATCAATGCACTGTTTTTAATTTGGGGTTTTTTAATTGCTGGGACCTTACACTGAAGGGCAGGAAAGAAATTGAAATAAAAGTAATCATGCAATTAACCAGCATCAAGTGACCTTAATTACGATACCCAAAGGAAATTCAGACACACACATTCCTTCCACATGTTAGGAGCACATCTTGGAGATTTCTAGTAGTAGCCGTTCAAAAGCTTTTAAGCACCACTTACAGCTCACAAACTTTGGTTAAAGCGTGGCTAAAAAAGGAGGGGGTGTCTTTATTTACTGCCTGAGCATCCTGCCATTCCTCCAAGGAATGGTCTACTCAGGCAGACGGTGGATTCTGGAATGGCTGGTAGCTCTATGAATTAGTGGTCTGCTGTAGAGCAGCAAAGATTTCCATCCCCCTAATATTTTTAACAATAGAAGCAACAAAATGACTCCATGTACACACCCTAAATTATACTGGCGAAAGGAACAATACTGGTGAAAACCAGAAGCAGAATTTTGCATGAAAAGATTGGGAGTTCTGTTCAGTTTGGATGCTCAGAACTAGTTCCGAGGCTGATTTTTTTAAAAATTCCAAATATATGACATTTGCACCAAATCCCAGGCTAGTGAAAACAAAGACCACAACAAGCTTAACATCTGTACATCCTTGGTGCATGTTGTTCTCACACTTCCATTTTATCCTCATGACCACCCTGCAAAGCAAGTAATAAGTTGACCAAGCTCACCTAAGCGTGCTTCATGGCTGAGGGAAGATTTGAACTCAGATCTTCCCATTCCAACTCCCAACATTCTAATCACTCCCCACCACAAACAAAAACTATGCCAGCATTCCCCAACCTGGTGCCCTCTAGAGGGTTTTGTGCTACAACTCCCATCATTCCCAGACAGCACAACCAGACGGGGGAAATTCTGAATGCGCTTTCAATCTGTGTTTATGGCACAGTTCTTATCATAGCTGTCAACTTTTCCCTTTTCTTGCGAGGAATCCTATTTGGAATAAGGGAATTTCCTTTAAAAAAAGGGAAACGTTGACAGCTATGGTTCTTATTGCCCCGGGTGCAAAGCATACATTTTGCTCGGGATCTGTGAGAGTATTTTGCAGTTAACAAGCGTGACGCATGAATTGTCTATTAAAATTCCATCCCTGCCTAGGAAAATGTTTTGCTTTTCAATAGGTGCCAGCTTCCAGACTTTGGGAGAGAACCCCGGGATTCCTAGTATAAAGTTTCTAGGAAACCCCACACTTGGTCCTTTTCCCAGCACTGATTTCTGTCACTGAAAAAACAACAACAGGGCTGGAAGATTGAGAGCACTGCACAGATCAGGGACAGGCAACATGGTCCACGCCTCCAGATGTTGTCGGGCTGCAACTCTCATCAGCCCCAGCTAGCATGGCCTCTGGTCAGAGATGATGGGAGCTTGGGTCCAACAACATCTGAAATACACCACGTTGCTGATCCCTCACATATCACCCCATCAGACAAACAGCCAAAATCCTGAAAGACTTTGGAAAGGACCGTATAGCAGCACAGCACATGTGAGCCAGTGCTGTGCAGCGGTTAGAGCGCTAGACTAGGAACTGGGAGTAAAGGTAAAGGTAAAGGGACCCCTGACCATTAGGTCCAGTTGTGACCGACTCTGGGGTTGCGGCGCTCATCTCGCTTTATTGGCCAAGGAAGCCAGCGTACAGCTTCCAGGTCATGTGGCCAGCATGACAAAGCCGCTTCTGGCAAACCAGAGCAGCGCACGGAAAGGCCGTTTACCTTTCCGCCGGAGCAGTACCTATTCATCTACTTGCACTTTGATGTACTTTCGAAATGCTAGGTTGGCAGGAGCAGGGACCGAGCAACGGGAGCTCACCCCGTCGCGGGGATTCGAACCGCCGACCTTCTGATCGGCAAGTCGTAGGCTCTGTGGTTTAACCCACTGCGTAATTCATTTTTACTAGCAAACTGGATGTTGAACTAAACCAATTCCAGTCTGGGAGGAACGCAGGGAGCATTCGTGTGACACACTAACGTGTCATGACACAGAGTTTGGAAAGCTCTGCTCTAGCCACTATACCACCCTGCCTTCCTAGAGTACTTCTGCTATGGGGCAGCTCTATAAATTACCGGTAAGTAGGTAAACAAACATGGGCAAAGCAAAATGTCACTTAGAGAAGGATCTGAAATATTTTTCTTAAAGCTTGAATTTGTTTTAGTCTGGATTGTTTCATTTGTTGTTTTAATGTGTTGTAAACCGCTCTGAGATTATTTATTTAAAATATAAAGTGGTATAAAAATGAAATTATTATCATCATTATTATTAATGTCTCATAAAAAAAATATATGGCACCCAGACATTCCGCAGTGGCAACCGCAACCTAGGTTTAAGGTGGCATTTTGCGATTAGCTTGTATATCTGAGTTTCTAACATACTCAAGGTGGGGCCAGCAGTCTTTGTCAACGTTTGGATGCCGGACGCCATTTTGAATCAAGATGGCGGACCAAATTAACCCTTATTAAGCATTAGCTTCCACACACAGAGACAAAAACAAATTGATTCAGAGCCAGGAAAGATGTTCCCCAGCTAAGGTTGGAGCCTTGGGTTAGTGTGTGTTTGCATGAGCCCTAAAATTCGCAAATTACACTATCCCATTTTTTAAAACTACAAAATTTGGGGGGGTTTCGACCAATTCCCACGCAGCGCTGGGCACTCCTAGCGCTAGTTAATAATATTGCTACTACGCAGCCGTTCTGTTTCACACCCCACCTTTCCCCCCACAATGGAAACTCAGTCTAAAGAAAGGAACAGGTCTCTTCCCTCCCTCATGCCAAAACCTCCCCTCTCTCCACAAACCACCCATGTGCGTGATTTTTTTTTTAAGGCAAGAATCTGGCCACTGCAATGACTCAGAGAGAAAGTATGTCCTCCTCGGTGGAGGGACAGGATGATGAAGACGGCCGCCAAACAAACACCATTTTGCTCCTGAATATATATGTGTGTGCGTATCATCCATTTGATTTCATCCGCCATCCCAATGAGCTGTGTAGGCAGGTCAAAACTTCACAAAAACACACACAGTCAAACCTTCCTCAGCAAGTACTGATATCCTACGCATGCTCCTTTTTTAAAAATGAGAGAGGGGGGGTTCTCTTTAACAAGTTTATGCAATAACAGGATGGAAGCGGTTCCATCACCCTTTGCCACCTCAGGCGGATTTGATTCCTTGCATTCCAAACAGCCCCCCTGAAGTCCACTGCCGAATCGGACACAAATCTAGGAATGTTGCAGGCACACACGTGTGTGCAAGCACACACACAGACATGGACACACACAGAGAGAGAGTCTCCTTTGTACATACACTCCAGGAGTGGGGCCCTTTGCTTCTGAAGCCCCTCGCGCCCCTCCCATTCGCCTCTCTCTCTCTCCCAACCAAGAATCCCACCCCTTCTCCTGTTCACTGTGAAATTCCTTGGCTAGCCAGGGTCAGAAATAAGCCACCTCTGGAATGCAGAACCTCCATCTTCAGAGTGTCTCAGGAAGTCTTCTCCTCCCCCAACAGACACCCCTCTCAAAAGGAGATCCGGTTCCCGCCTGCATTTTCCTTTTTTTATTTTTTTTTTTTTATTTAAAACACACACCACGATATATAATTTTTTTCAGAGTCACTCCCAAGAGTTGCAGCTTCTTGGAATGCACTTTCTCAATGAATCATTGAGGCTCGGGGTTTAAGGGGCACAGTGAAAAAATTCAAAGCAGCCACTGCTGCACCTTTCTTTTTTTAAAAGGTAGGAAAGACTTCATACCACACACAAACACACACAGAGAGACAAAGAAAGCCCTACTCAGACTCTCCAGCCGTCTCCCACCAGTTTTCGACTACAACTCCCATCAGTCCCAGTCAACATGGCTTTCGTAGTCCGAAACGTCTACAGAGGGCACCAGGTTGGAAAAGGAGGTTACAGACAATCTCTCTCGTGTTTTGAGTCTGGCAGCAAAGCAGAACAGATGAACTTTGTTCCACTTAAAAAAAAAAAAAGGAACACACCAGCTCCAAAAACATCCACATTTCCATTTCTGCAAAGGCCTTGTTTCCTAACCACCCCCCACCTCCATCTCCCACTAAATTGGACTAGAAAAGTCTTATCTAGATACATTAGGAATACTCCCGGCTTCTATGTACTCCCACAAGACACAAGCTTTTGTCGTATTATTATGACTCATATAATAATAATAATAATAATAATAATAATAATAATAATAATGGAATCCCAGAGCCTTCCAGCATAGATCAAATCAATGCTAAATCCGGCTCTGCAAGGTGTTTATATATACTAAGCACTTAAACCTGAAGCTAGGAAAGAGCGATTCTGCGACCTGTATAAACTACCTGCCCATTATTTCCTGGGCATTTCTATTCTGCTTCCTTCCTGCTCCGCTCCCCTTCCAATCGTGACTCAGCCAGACCAGTTTGTCAACTGCTAGGAAAGGGGAGGCCTGCTCAGGTATGTGCAACACGCCACGTATCAACAAGGGCAGTGGGGGCGCCTTGCAAGGCGAGACGGGGCAGATGGGTGCAAACAGGCCTAGCAGAGAGCAGGGAACGCTTTTCAGGCTGAGGGCCACATTCTCTTACGGGGGCCGCTTGCCAGTGGCGGCCTGGGTTAAGGAGCAAAAATGTGTGGGGCAATGAATGTGAATTTTATGACTACTTTCTACACACGAGCACCTCTCTCTGTCTTCTAGTCAGGAGAGAGAGACTTATTATCAGAACTCGAAGTTACCAGGGGTGTGGCCTGGCTGCTGAGGGCCGCATAAGAGAGGCCTGGGGGCCGCCTCAGCTCCCAGGCCTAATGTTCTCCACCCCTGAACTAAAGTTAATTAATAGGAGAGAGTTTGAAACCCGTACCTAAAAAGAACCCCCAAAAAAGAGGTTTCACGTCTAACAGCGGCATGCGACCATTTCCAGAAAGGCCTCGTCAACCTCCCCACCCACCCATTTTGCCTCCCTCCGTGGAGATATCTTAACCTACTGACCCTAAAAAACAGTGGGGTGTCGTGGTTAAGAGTGTGGGATTTAAAGGTTACAACCAAAATCCCTCCTTGGTCCCAAAACTTGACTTGAGGCCATATTAATAGGATGCCACTATAAACAGTCATGGCTTCCCCCAAAGGATTCTGGGAGCTGTTGTTTTGTTATGGGAATCGCCCCGATTGAGAGTTGCCCCGTCCGCCCCATTACACTCACACAGATACAGTTTCCTGGGGAGGAGTGGTTGTTAAGCCACTCTAGGAATTCCAGCTCCTAACATTTAACAAACTGCAGGATTATTTGGGGGAAGCCATGACTTTTGAAAGTGGTACCGCAGTCCTTTAAATGCATTGTGTGGATGCAACCTACAACTCCCACCAGCCCAGAGCTGATGGGAGCTGCAGTCAAAAACTTATAGAGCAGAAAGGGGACCTGTGGCTCTCTAAATAATGCTGGGCTGCAACCCCCGCCCCTCCACCAGCCAGCATGCCTAATGGTCAGGGAGGATGGGAACTGTAGTTCAGCAAAAGCTGGAGGGCTACAGCTTCCTCACCCCTGAACTGGAGGACACTAGGTATAAGGGAGGCTGGAGTAGAGAAAAGTGCTTTAAAACTGCTAACTGATAAGTATGATTATGAGTCGAGACAGAGCGCAGCATACCTATGGCAACAAAGCAATGACTGAAGATAAAAGGAATGCGAAAATGCATTCTCTGCTGAGGGTGTGCTAGGCAAAGGGCTGGAAAGGGCTGGAAATTCCTACGTGCCAAAATCCAAGTTTTAATAGCCAATCCAGGACTGGGATGGTGGAAGGGAAAGAAAACTCCTTAGGTGCAAAGCAAGCTGTTATTTTTCAGACCAGCTTTACCCAGAATGTGGTGTGTACCTCAAAGCAAAGTTCAGTCCAAGGTACGTTTACTTGGAAGTTCAGTCCTACTGGCTTCAGTGGGCCTTACTCACAGGTAAGCATGGGATGGATTGCAGCCCTTGCCGGACAGTGAAATAACAAAAATGGGAGACAACAGGTTGCCTGTGTTTGTATTACAAAGCACACCAGATCTGATGCCTTCTGCCTTTCCGCCCGAATCCTTTTTCGAAAACAAGCCCCGCTGACACTTTGGTCCCATAGATCCCCCTTCAGGATACTGATCTGAAAGAGGAAGATGTCTGACCCCTGACATCATATGCAGAAACAGAAAAGCATGGCTGGCAAAGATCATCGCTAAAGCATTTGCGGATTCTGACAAGAGCAACACACACAACTCTCTTAAGCCAGGGGTGGGGCAACCTGTGTCCCTTCAGAAGTTGCGGGGCTGCAACTCTCACCAGCCCCAGTCAGCATGGCCGATGGGTCAGGGAAAATGGTAGCTGCAATACAAGAACAGCTGGAGGGGGCACAGGTTCCTCACCTCTGCCCTGCGCTAAAGATGCAGCACAAACGATAGAAAAAAGATGCTCCAATTTCTTCTGGAAATTGTCTATCTGCAAATTCCAGCCAGAAGGCAAATCCACAAAGATCCAATTTCCAGCATTACCGCATCTCTCTTTCCACCCCTCTCACTTCTCTCTTTCCAAAGTTATACAAAAATGGTCCCTCTTCTCTCCCCACCCCCCACTTCCAAACTTCCAGTGCCCCTTCCCCACTTTCTAGCTGTTCAAAAACATTCCACCGCCTGCTTTCTGCCGAAGCCATTTCAGTGACCATCTCCAACTTATTGTTAATGAAGAGAGACCGATTCTTAACACCACGTTGCTGTTTCTAAGCCTCCAAGCATCAGATAAATATCCCAGATTGTTGAAAAAAAACCCCACAGATTTTCATTGCACACAGATCCTGTTATATACGTATCACCTCTATTGACGGGAAAGGTTTTCTTTTGTTTAGAAAAGGAGGATTTTTTTATTATTTTGACCTCACCAATAATTCCACTTTTTAAAAATAAATAAATAGAAAGCCTATCCGCTTGTCAAACGTAACTAAAAGGGAACTTTGAAGGAAGCCACCAGAGAATCAAAACTCTGTGAGATACAGATTTTGTTTTCCTTATGAAAAGACTGTATCTCTTCACCAAATTCATTCACATCTCCCTGGAACAAAACACAGGAAGACAAGACAGACCTAGCTAAGTCAAGGGCTGGTTCTGAAAAGTGGTATTTTACAGTAGCCTGACCATTTGCACTGTCTTGGGACACATACAAACACCTACAGTTGTATACTGCAACCACCAAGAACCAGAAACCTAATAGAAACAAATTACCCTCTTAACATAAATTAAAACAAAAACTGGGTGCTTTCATCATTTTGGACCAGGTTTCATATTGGGCTCCCCCACCAAAAAAGACCATTATCAAGCTTTTAAAAAAGAAGGAAGTCCTCAGAAGTCAAAGGGGAGGGACAGGGAGGTTTTGTCTAGTTAAAATAGGATTCAGCAACCAGCAAAGTGAAGAGTGTGCTGCAACACTGGGCTGGTCATAATTAAGCAAGGATGTACGAGGACTGGAACCAAATGCTTTGACAATATTATTGCACTGCTTAATTTGTGAAGACAGTAGTGCAACACTGTCAGAGCCAGCGGTCCCAGCAGCCCACCAACGGCATTGTATCCAGCTAACCTTGGATTTCACACACACACCTTTTTTAAAAAACAAAACAAGGATTTGTTAATACAAGAGATAGTTGCAACACATTAACTGGCAGGGCTGGCGATCCCCAATAAAATCAAAATCAGAATGATTTCAAGTTTTATCTGAGATCATCATTAGTCAAGGTTAGAGCAAGGACACAAACACACAGAAAAGCAGATTAATTGTGTATCTTTTCTTTCGTAAGAACTACAGGAAAACAGGACTCAGCTGTAACATAGGCAATGTAGGTGCATATACCATTAATTTTCTCTATTGCAAAGGGCTGGGTGGGTGGAAAGCTACTTCAAATTCCTAGGTTATCAGCTTTGTTTGGGGGTGCATATTTTTATTTTAAATCATGTCTATTACTGCAATCCTATGCACAAATCTGAAAGGATGTAATTTTGAGCTTTTGGGGACTTGTTTCCAAGTAAACATAACACAGGATTGCAGTGAAAGTTATGGAATGAGACCAGGAGGAAGGGTTATGGTTATCCTCTCTTTAACTTTATACAGGATGCTGCAATATATGCACATTTCAGTTCAATAGCAAAGGCAGGCTCCGGACTGAAGAAGTCAAACATTATTGCAAATAAATAGTGTAGACATTCACAACTGATTTGTTTTCACCAGCCTTTCCCCCAACATTTTCTAAAATGACCCAATTACACTGAGGTCCCCCTCTACCTCTTCCCCCAATTCAGCATCACAGACATTTGAAAACGAAAAAAACGAAAAAAAGAGCACTTTGAATGTGTTGTGAACAATGTTGCGGAATCCACAGCATTTTCCCAGAGAGACCTGTCTATACGCCTACAGGATGTGGAATAATAAAACAATTGGTTTGCGTGTGGTATTGTAAAGAATGTTCCACCCTATAAAAACCCAGCCCGGAATCATTCCGAAGAGCGTTTGCAGAATTACAGTATATTTTTAAGAATACACCACCAGAGCACACACACCCCATATTTATATATATATATATATATATATATATATATATATATATATATTATTTTTAAAAAAGCAAAACAAACACCATGCAAATCAAAAACAACAGCATTTAAAATTCAGCCACATACGAAGCAGATGGTGGGCTATCTTAACATACACAGCATTTATCAATACACCATTACAGGGAAGGAACCGCCATTATTAACATTTTAACGAGAGGCACAACAGAAAGGTGGGAAGGGGGGTGGGAATTAAAGCGCAGGGTGTCTCAATTCCCCTTTGGAATCCTACACAATAAACAGAACACATAAAAGTTTTTGGGGGGGAGGGAGTGTTGCACGCTAGAGTCCTGGTTCCATTGACATACCTACATGTAACAAATCTTAATATTCTTTCCCCCCCAAACATATGCATAAATACTCTGGAGGAAGCATGGTCCCTACAGTTGGCCATTCTGGAGAGAGGGGAGGGTCTGTATCTGCCAGCCAATGCCCTTTTAATATTGCACTGCTAATCATAACTGCCAGTAGTACAACAGAAGAAGGGCTTCGGACAGCAAGAGTTCCCACTAGGCACAAGGGACTTCTCGGAGGGAGGCGTGTGTGTTTTTTTTCCAGGTGAGATTTTCCTTTAAAACAGATCCATGGCAAAAAGGAAACAGCAAACAACACACACACACATACACACAATATCAACCACATGGATACAGTGGGGAAATCTTCTTCATCATGTTTGCAAGACTTCAAAATAATAATAATAATAAATCAGCAATTCTTCCAGAATATAAATCAGGGACATCTTTGCTGCTTTTTAAAAAAATAATAATAATGAAAAACTACTTAAGCAGCATTATGCTGGATAAAAGGGATAGGAGGAATAAAAATAAGGATGATGAGCTTTCCCCATCAAACATTCTCCAGATAGCAATATAAAGCAAATGCAAGAGGCTGGTGTGCCATTAAGTAAAAGACGCTATTAGACTAGGAACTTTTAACGGTGGTTATTTGGATCAATAATGTTTCCTGACTATCAAATTCATCTGTTCAGGCTCTAGATCATTTACTAAGAAGAAGCCTCACTGATCTAAACAGAATTTACTTCCAAGCAGAAATGTACAGGAAGGGGCTAAGGTTTTCTTCTCCAAATAGATGTTCTAAATATAACATTTATAAAAGGACTTATTATTGTAAGCAGTTGGGGGTTTTTTTGTTAACCATATAAGGCTGTAGTCCTATACTGCACACGCTTACCTGAGAGTGAGCCCTAGTGAAAACAATGGGACTTACTTTTGAGTAGACACCATATGCAAGATTCTATACACCACAAACATATATTGCAAACAGACACATTGTACTAACACATCTATTTTTCTGTTGAAATACTTAATGGTAATGAAAACAGCTATTGGCAACTGCATATCCGAAGTTCAATACAGTAGGTATATATATTTACAAATATGAACCTAATTCTCATCTAAACCATTTCATACTGGGATAGGGGGGTGGGATACAGCCTAAAGCAACCTTTTAGAAAGTTTAATCAGTCCCAAAATGACCAAGTGACTCTCTCTCCTCGCACACAAAAGTTAAACAATTTAAATAAAAACCCATGGAGCCAACCTTATACTTCATTCATAGCCTTGTGCAGAAAATTCCATCCAGATCAAGACATTTGCAAGGGGCTTGAATAGACTCATTCAAGGTGGCTATTGGAAAGGGTAATTTTGTTTTGTTTTGGGGGGTTTTTCCGTTTTGTCCCAGCTAGTAAAAAGCGGTCCCAAACTTTTTAATAGTTTGCTTTCTAAATTGCCAGCACAAAGTTTTCACAGGGCAGAGGTGGGCAAATTAGTCAGACAGCTGAATTAATCCCGGGTTCCTGGTTTCCTTAAGGGCATTTCATTTATTTATATTGCCTCTTTGCTGCAGGAAGAGATCCGCGCACTGGCAGGAAAAGTGGAAGCAGCAACTCTGTAGACTTTAGAGAGTTTTAAAGACAGACGGAGAGAGAGGTGGAAGGAGGAATTAAAAATTAGACAAGGAGGGAGTAAAGATGCATTTTCCACTCGAGGAAGAAGTTTTCGAAATCCAACAGCCCTGGGACTGTGATCGTGAAGGGGGCTTTCCTTACACAATGCTGTAAGAAAAGAGAAGACCACACGCTGGATAGGAGACCCTGTGCCGAACTGGGGCAAAGTGCAAGAACTACCGTCGAAAAACACCCGCGCGCACCGCTCGGACTGTCGATCCTCAAAAATCTCGGCGCTCGCCGAAGCGGCGCGTTAGGATTTTTCTCTTCTACGGGATTTAAATGCGCAACCTGCATAAATACAGAATCGAGATCGCCTTGCTGTGTTTACTTGGGGGGCGGGGGGCGCAACCCACACCCCTCTTAAAAAAAGAAGAACACGTTTTCTTTCCCAGGCAAAAGAAAAAGGACTTCCTTTCAGTTAAGAGTGACCACCGCCAGCTACGTTCTTGGGGACCTCCAGGCGCCCAGCGACGATGAAAACTTCCCAAGCGCGCATAGCGAGCGAACGCCAAGTCCCTTTCCAGACTTCCTACCACCGACGTTTTGGGGGGTTTGGGGGTGGCTGCTGAGGGGGGTGGGGTAGAAATCTAGGCTCCCCCCATGCCCATTTTACAGATCCAGGGCCACCTCCCTCCTACCATTTCTCAGGGATGTTTACGTCGGTGAAACGGCGCCCCAAAGCCCAGACTCCCGACCTCTCCGCGCGTCCGAGGTTTTCTAAAGCGCAAAGTGGGAAGCTTAACTTCTCTTGCAGCTTCGCCGCGCTTGGACACCGAAAGACGCATTTAAAAGGCACGACGGGCCCGATCCTGCGGGTCCCCTACGGCCTCTGTGTGTTGCTCCAAAACTCCCTTAATAAAAACTTTTCTTGGGGGCGGGGGGGGCACTTTGAGTCTCCCGATCGCCCAGAGACTAAATTAAGCCGTTGGGGGGGTATCTTTCTTTCACTCCTCCAGGAGAACAACCCGACAAATTCCAGCACACGCGCCCAGACGAGAAAGCCCAACCTCAACTCTCTTTCGTAACGTTATTGCGGAGCCTCGTCGAAAGGCAAAAAGAAACGCGAAAGAAAGAAAAATGATCGGCAGATGATTTTTTTTTTCTTAGAATGCAAGGTGACGGGTGTGTGTGTGAGGGTGTTGGAGAATCCTTCCCGATCGACAGATCCTCCAAAAACGAAGAGAAGTTGAAATTAGTTCCACCCCAAGGGGGACAAGAAAACAGACTTTTTTAAAAAAAAGTCATCATTTAAAAGTCCCGAAACAGGATGGGATGACTCTTCCCATCACACCCCACACACAAAAAAAGGAAACGGGGTGGGGGGAGGAGGAGAAAGAGTAGAGTACAATTCAAAGCCACCCACCTACCTCCTTGTAAAGTCAGATTTCAGATCTGGAAGGCGGGAGGAGAAGGAAGAAATAAATAAATATTAAAAGAAGGAGTGTTGGGGAAAGGGGAAGGCAACACATGACCGGACTTTCTCCGCTTCTTTTTTTGGGCTCATTCCACCCTTTCCAGGTTTTAAGTCGAGTTTTGTTTTGTTTTCTCCAAAGAGTGGGCGAGGGGGGAAACACGCGAAACATACAATAAAGCACACGCGCGCGCGCATGCACACACACACCCCTCCAAAAGAAAGGAAAGGGAAACCTGGGATGCAAAAGTGCCGTTACAAAAAAAACCTCGCAAGTTCCCCCACCCTCAGCGTAAATATAAAATACAATCCTTTAAAAAAAGAAAAGAAATAAGTGTTCCGCTTCAGGCCTGGCCGGTGGGCTTCCTCTGCCTCCTCGCCTCCCTCTCTCTGCCCGCTCCCTCCCCACAGCGCGCAGACCCTCCCTCGCCTCTCCCTCCACCATCCTAGCTGCCCCATCGCGGCCGAGCCTTCCCCCCAACTCCCACCCACCCACCCGGGCCACACGGGAGTCACTCACTCACACGCGCGCGCCCCGATCCCTCCGGCTTCACTTTTTATTTTTCATTTTTTAACACCCTGGATTAAAACCCTTCCTCTCTCTCTCTCCACGCCCCCCCTTCCTGCAATCCCTCTTCTCTTCCCCACCCCCTCTGCACCTCCCCCTTTTCCTCTTTTTTTCCCATTTTTTTTTAGCCTTGAGCTCCCGCCATTTCCGCCCAGTCACCCGGATGCTACTCACAAAACAGCTCCAGAAAAAAGAGAAAGGATCATTGCACCCACCAGAGATGCCAGGGAGATAGAGAGAGAGAGATCAGATCTAGACCAATGCAAGAAGGATAGAGGTTTCCCCTCCACTGGAGATATATATATATATATATATGTGAATGGTACCTGGGTGGGAGAGGGGGCGCTGGGTAGGTTGCTAAGTGGGTGGGTGGATAGGTGGGTGGGGAGCAGAGGGGGTGGGGAGACAGAGAGAGTCTTGGATCCCAGGAGGCGAGTCCGTGGGCTGAGCAAAACTTTTGGCCCGCGGCTCTCCCCACCCGGCCCGCGGCCCGCCTTGGGGTGGCTGGACTCCATCTGCGCGCTTTTGCGCAAGAGGCTGGCTGGCTGCTCGCGTCTCCCGGCTTCTCCCCCGTCCAGGTCTGCGGGTGGGCGTCGAAGGGAGGGAGAGAAGGGAAGAAAGAGAGAGGAGCTGGGAAGAAGGAGGGAAGGAGCGCGAGAGAGAGAGAGAGACAAGAGAGGGGAGAAACCCTCCAGTACAAACCTCATGGCTTCCCATCTCCAGCCTCCATCTTTGACTAGTTGACATTCACCTCCTGCCTGACCAAATTCTCCATTAGCATACTTCCCTCTCCATTGGTCCTTCCTTGCGCTAGTCTTTGCCACCGCCTCTCCCATTGGCTGGCACGGGGGACATTTAAAAATATCATCCCATCTCCCATTGGACGGCCCGGACTGTCGCGTCACAGCAACTCTTTATTTTAACAATGAATGCACAAACACATTCTTCCATTCACAAATTCCCCCCCCCTTCTCTCTCCCTGTACTTTTTTTGCCCGCCTTTTCTTCAACTAGATTTTCATTGATTTTTTTTTGTGTGTCTGTGTGTGTGCGTGCATGTGTGTGTTTCAACTAAGGGGGTCCCGGTTGTAAACAGATAAATCAAAGGCGAACAGAGAGAAAAAACTTGTACAAATATTATTTTCTAAGGCTCCCTCTCCCTATCCTGCTTGAAGGGGTTGATGTTTGGAGGGCCATTTAATTCCAAGCGGCTTTTAGCGAAGAGGTGTGGTCACAGGGATGTTTTTTTTTCCTTTGCCAAACAGATTGTAACTGTTTTTCTAAGTGATTCCCCCCCTGCTCCCCCAGTACCAGAAGGCAAACTTCAGAGAGATTCGACATGGTTAATAAAGAAATTGCTAAGCTGTTAGCATTGTTGTCTTTAATTTTGACTCTATAAAAGAAAACAATGATTTTTTTCTCTCTCCCAACCGAGTTGTACAGAACAGTCGCTGGCCTGTTTAACTTCATACATGCAGAATCTAATAAGACCAAATTCGTTTCAATTGCAATTTACTAGATCCTCTACTTTATACCCGGTCTTTTCAATACTTCTTCCAACATTCAATTTATTTTCTTTTGCAAAAATTGATAATGAAGCATGATGGAAAGCATAATTATTATATTAAAAGTTTGGAGGGGCTCAGGTCTTCCCATAACCCTTTCTTTTCTAATAAAAAGGCTGCTTTCTATACAAACAAAGAAAAGCAAGCTTGAAGCACAACAATTCAGAAGTTTGTCGACTTTTGTTGCTGCTGAAAGAGTTATGACCAACATTAAAAACAATACCTCCACGTGGCTGTACAATTATTCCTCCAAGGTTTCAATCCAATTTAATTTTGTTCAGAACCCAGGAATGTACAGAAATGATTGTGCAATTTCTTTTTTTAAAAAAAGACCAAACAAAACCCAATTGATTTCCAGAAATGCATTTTTTTTCCTTTTCAAACAATTCTCTTTGCAAATCCAGTTGTGTTGTACATTGTGAATCTGAACTAAAATCTTTTCTATAAGAAAAAAAAAGTTCTTTCAGATGACTATTTTATGGCATGGGGACATGGGAATGTACTTTTGTCCAAAATACTAGCTTGCATGTTTTCCCTCCTCCCAAATGGTGCTTAAATCTGATCTGAAATTCTTGTAGTCTTTGCTGCCTACACCTTTCCCCCAACAAAAGTAGATTAAGCGTCCTGGGCAAATAAGATATAGACCGTTTCAAAAAACAACAACAGAATGCAACATTTTTAATGCTGCACCTTTGAGGTCTGATTGCTTTTTTCTAAAACAAAAAAATGGGGGTGTGATTGCCCTGTAAAGCAAAATGTGAGGGGGTTTTTTGGGGTTGAAATTGGGTGGGGACATTTAAGCAATGGGGTTTGGGTTGGATTCCCTCTCTCTCTTTTTTGGGAGATGGGAATGATGAGGGTCATTGAGCTGTGAAATCTTGCATTCCTGTCCAATGGAGCTGAAATAATGGTATTGTTCCCTGGAAAAGAGGTTGCTTTTCTCCCCTACATTCTGCTGCCTGATCTGCAGGGACCTGATTGTGCAGTTAATCAGCAAAAAAACGTTTGATCTAAGGCAGGGCGTGAATTCAAAAGGGCGGGGAGGGACGGGGGGGGGGAGGCGGGGAAATTCAAGAAGGATTCTTCTTTCTGTTAGGAAACGTTTCTGAATCCAAAATGGCAGACATTTGAAAGTTGGGGGGGGGGGAGAGAACAGAAACTGTTCTGGAGTCCTTAGTAGATTGCCACAAAAAAGAATCATATAACTTCTTTCTTAGGAAGTTTTTTTGGGGGGAGGGGAGAAGCTGATGTCACTTTACTGCCGGGGGGGGGGAGAAAAACATGAGTGAAAGGCCAGCTGTCCCATCTCCTGGATCCCCTCCGATCTTTTGGGGTATATATCTTTTCCTTCTCATATTTTCTGTGTAAATGCAATGCAATGTTTGTGTGCGTGTTCTGTGTGCGGTGGGGGGGGGGAGAAACTGAGTCCTGCATGCCACAAAGTTTTTTTCTATTCTTTGTAAGCCTCTTTAAACCTCACAATGCAACAGGTAAGGTTTGACTTGCTTCCCATTCCCCCCCCCTTCTGCTCAGCAGTCCCCGACATAGATTCTCAGAAGCCAGCCCCATTGACTTCAATGGGGCTGACTCCCGGGTAAGTGTGGTTACAGGAAACTGCAACCTAAACCTGGTAAGGAGTCTCAGCAAACGTGAAAATTTCTATTTCCCCTGTTCTTTCTAAACTGAAAAAGAATGCCCTGACTCTGACGGTGGCTCTGTCCTTGTTGTTTATTTTAATTCATTCATTCT